CTAAGTTAAATGTTCAATAACATATGCTTGAATGTCGTGTTTTTTTACATGTGATTCAAAGAATGATTCATATGCAATTTTAATTAATTAATATTGACATACCCTACATGTTACCTTTAACATATTTAGATATTGTTGAAGTCAATATTTGGAGGCATCCCCCACCCTTGGCTTGACTCGGGGAATGTGTTTCCAGTTCTCCAGATGCGCACATAAAGTGTGTGTGCTGTAGAAATAGCACGTTTACTTACACGGCGTTTGAACATTAAATGTACGCAGTGAACAAGCTGTAAGTGCAAGCTGTGATCCTGCTTGTTCTGCGGCGCAATATACCCATACTGAGAACAAAAAGAAAAGCTTACTTAAATATGTATTTTTATTGAGGCAATGTGTGAGCCCGATACATCACGTTGTGTGACGCACACAAATAAAAACTTTTAAGTCAAAGGTGTATGGACTTTCCATCTTCCAGCATGCGCTTTGTCAGTTTAGATAAGCGCAATGGTTTGTCACAGCTGTGGAAAGATGTGGGCCCGTGTCTGGACTCAACGCTGAATGATTTTACACATGTGTTTTCCAGATGTGCGTTTTGTGAGCCCTTTAAAAAACACAACTTCTAGAATGGTGTTGGCTCTCGCCAAACTGCAGTGATTATTATTCTGGAGCAAACCACAGTGTAAACACTATCACAATGAAAAAAAAAATGACTGAGACTTACAACCGGTCGTGAGTTAACATTGAACCTCATGTCTTAACAATAATTTCAAACATCTTTGCAGCTGAGGTGAAGACACCAGTTTTGGATGAAGATGGAGTGGACCCAAGCCACGTGTGGAAGGATATTAAAGTGGAGAAGAGGGAAAAGTATTGCCACGGAGCAGGTAAAACTGTGCTTTTATTGTCGCTTTCAAAAGAGTGAACAGTTTTGTAGAGTAACACTCCATTCACTAATGCAAAATATATTCAGGCCAAAATTAGGCAAATAATTTAGCTTGGATATATGTAAGATGTACTTTTACAATAGGTCTTTATGCTTATGAAGGTTTATCTAAAATCACTATGCACCAAATGAAGTATTTAAATGCACTTCTTGTTTATTTCCTAAAGAAAAACCCCAGTGTTTTTATCTTTTACACAGGAGAGGTGGCACATACACGACAATAAAATTATTTAAATTCTCAGAGCTGGAATTCGGCCAATTTAATTGCAAAACCATTTTTTTCTTTGTGTACAGTAATTGGTGATTGGCCTCTTACACCATTGACTCACTTTCACTTGAAAGCTGGGTTTTCATTCTGGGTGCTGGTGGGATTTCAACTGAGAATCTCAGCGGTGCTAGCTCATCATTCTGACCGCAGCTACCCGGCCAACTCGGCATGTCCTGATTTAAACCATAAACTGGTCTTTTGTAAATGGAAGATAACAGAGCGGGGGTTGGGAGCAGTGGACAGCTCTGAACCCAGCGACCTTGGTTCAACTCCCAGCTACAGCTAACATCAGTCACGAGTGATGTCTGAACCAGGCTTGGGCCTCCCCCTTCACCAACCTGCATTGACCAGCATGGTGATAAATAGATGGCAGTAGAGCAAGTTAGTCCGTGTACCCCAATGGATTAACGAAATGCCACGAATTATAAATGACGAGAGTATAATGCTTGCTAATGAGACGTGTGGCGTTTCAGCCCGTCGGGGATGTGCGCGGGGGATTTTTTCTTTGCGAGGGTTTTAAAGTTTTGTTTTTCCACAGATTCTACTCCTGCTGGGGATGATAGTGAGGCAGCTGAGATGATGCACTGTGCCGACACGGAGGGCGACCCCACACAGAACGAGTGGGGCCTTCCTGCGGACAGCAAGGGGCCGCACGGCGCCGAGGGTATGCTCCCAAGTTTATGTGGCCCACGCGTGTCACACGTTACCTTGCAGCAGTTTGACCCAGAAGGGGTCTTAACCTTCATGGGTGGTTGTAGTTTTAGGCGAGTGTGATGGCCCACACCGTTTTTATGCAGCGTATCGGAGGCAAGGGTCTGGATCGCGCGTAGTTTTTGACATGTCAAATCTTGTGCACGGGAGATGGCAGTGGCTTTTGTGTGTCGGTATATTCGAACCTCGGAAGTGTTAACTCGAGTATTCTCTGGATGTCTTGTTTCATTGCACTCAAAGAAAAATGCTCATTCAAAAAGTGAATAGTATTTCTAACTCGGCAGTGAATTGGCAGGTCATGCATATGTTTGACAACGTACCCGCAGCTTGTTACCAGAGACCCAAGTATCATTAAAACAGCCTGAACTTTGACTGAAGCCCAAACTATCACTAGGATCATCGAGGCACGTCACTGTGCTGTCGGCGCCACCGCTTCATTGGCGTGCACTTAACCCACTCTGCGGCTGTTTTCCCCGACCTCATCTGCAGGCGAGTGGAGGGAGGATCCAGAAGAGGGCCTTTACCCCGTGGACACGAACGTTGTGCCGCACCAGCGGCCACCGAAGCACTCACTGCAACTATTCGGCGACTGGAGGGGCCACGACAGCCGAGCCTGGGTGCACGGAAAACAGGCGGCAGTGGTGGCAGCAGCGACGGAGAGCCCGGGTGCGGCGCGGTCCTCGTTTGAGCACCAGCGGACCGTAGTGACAGGTGAGGACCCTAAAGGAAATGGTGCTGAGTGCAAGATCCCCAAAACGGCCGTCCAACTGAAAAGCAAAGGCGTGTCGGACAGAGAATTCAGGAGTCCTTCACAACATCAACAGCAGCAGCAGCAGCATCATCACCTGGAGGGCTGGAATGTGCTGGCACACCGTAGCTTTGTCAAGCGATGGGGGGAGGCGTGCGGCGAGCAGTCCCCGCAGGGGTGGATGGGGGATGGAAAAATGCGGCACGCGTGCGAGGTGTGCGGTGCCCTCTTCCGAAAGGCGTGCGAAGTGACGCGGCACCGGCGCATCCACACTGGGGAAAAGCCGTTTGCTTGTGAGAAGTGCGGAAGAAGATTCACGTGGTCCAACAGCCTCGCCCGGCATCGCAGGATTCATCGCTCGGCAGCCACCTACATGGACGATGCCGACCTCCCGTAGGGGCACCCACTTATTTTTTTTTATGTCGGAAGACTCTAGAAGCCCTCGTCGCTGTAGTCCGGTGTTGTTACCGTTAAGGAAATTAATAAAAGCAAAGAGGACCACAATGGAAAACTTCCCGTGATGGATCAGACGCATGCAGCCACTGGCGTGCGTTTGCCAAGGTGCTGTTCCAATATTTACAATGATGGTGACACTGAAGAAGAGTCGTCATTTGCTGTAAAGATTTTTTTTTTTAATTTGCCCAGAGTGCAAGATAACGTCCACACAAATTATTTCACCTGCTTAGGGAATCGCTGACGCTCGACAGCCACAGACTTCATTAAACCTGCATCTTTTGGCCAAACATGACAAGCGACATAGTCTCAAATTGCTGTAGCTCTGTTAGTTTAAAAACCGAGAACATGAAGAGTTCTTACAAAGGCAAATGAATAAGAGGCCCAAGTCAAAGCTCGCTGTACTCCAAACCACCTTTGTAATTGCAAGCATACTTTGACGTTTGACCTATCCTAGCTGTCAATGGCTGATGCTAGTGCTCTGCCCCAATGCTATTTGGCCACCTCTCCTGCATTTTGTCCAGGATTGCATTGCTGACCAAGTACATGTTCATTAACACAGTGCTCTGATGAAATTTGTAATCTTGCATGCTATAGTTTAAGAGAAATTTGGGGTATTGCCAAAGTCTGCCAAGGCTGTTAATTGGATGTTAAGTGAGACATATTACAAGTAGGTTAGGTCAGTTATAAAAATGGTGAAAAAAATGTTATTTCATAAATGCGAAGTTAATGGCAGTGAGACAGTTATGTGTATCTGTAATTGTCAGTTTTATACTGGAAGAAAGAAATAATGAATGTGCAACAATAATTGGTTGCGTGTTAAATCGCTTCATTTTCTATAACACAACCAGAAAGCAAAGGCTGCATTGTATTTTGTAAAGGGGCAGGAATATTGATAAGTTATATATATAAAAAAAGAAAGGGATTGTGCTTTGGAGCAAAGTTGAACAGCAGTAGTGGACGAGTTTGCTTTTCTCGGTTTGCAGGTGTCACGAAGGAGGGGTCTGTTTCAAATTCCAGTCGGGCAAGCACACCCCAGTTCCCTCCGTTTGCCGCAGTGCACAGACTGAATGAAAAGGGCCATGTGTTTTCAAAGTGGAGGTACCACCGCTCCAATTTCTCTGGCCTGGGCCGACCCCGGGCATCCGTGTCCAATACGATTACTCAGTCGCAACAGGAGGCCGGCGGCCCGTCGGATATCCCTGGGTTCGGGATGCACTTTGAAATTGATGGCCCCCCTTCCGCTGATGTCGGTGGCGGCGGCGTCGGCGGTACGCAGGCGATCCAGGATGCCGTCGACAAGATGTGGCTACACCTACCGTCGGCCGAGACGGGCGAAAGCAAACCCTTCCAGTGCGGCGACTGCGGCCACCGCTTCCGCAACGTGATCTCGTTCCGAAGGCACCAGCGCACGCACACGGGAGTCAATCTGTACGCGTGCGAGGACTGCGGCAAGAAGTTCTCGCTGTCGCATGACCTGACCCGCCACCGGCGCATCCACACCGGGGAGCGGCCCTTTTCCTGCAGGGACTGCGGCATGACCTTCCGGCTAAAGCAGCACTTGCGCAGGCACCAGAAAACGCACGAGGGCGAACTAGGAGGGTTCAGTCTGGATGTGCCCAGCTTTCACAACATCCACTGCCCGCCGATCGAATGAAGCTCGGTGGGCACGACGACAATAGGGCCTTGCTCGCCCCAGTTGTTTGGCAGGTTTTTTTGTTTTTGTAATTGTGACAAGTCGATGTTTGGGAGAGGGTTTCACTTGTTTTGTTCTGTTTATTTTTTTCTTTGCCGTTGTAAATATTCTAGTATTGTAATGGATATGTGCTTAAGTTAAACGTTTTATACATAATTGTTTGTACATACACGGTAGTTAAGGTGCTGTTTTAAAAAATATATTTTGACTTGTAAAATGCATGTTATTTAAAAGAATCTAAAGAAATCTATTATACACCTTTCATAAAGAAAACAAATCTGTGGCTATATTTATGAAAAGATTTAAACGTAAAAGAAAAAATAAGAAAGCGTACATAATGCAAGATTCCAAACCAGAAATACGTTGACATTGCTGACTTGAGCATTTGACGAGGCCATCTGTATCGTTCATGTCCTTATGGAGAAATATTCTTGGTTTTTCAGCTTGTAGAAATGTGGACTCCTTCAACACTCGTGCGGACAATGCAGAAAAGCTGAAACATCCATTGCTTCCGAGCGAGAAGGCTTTCGTAGAGAATATCGTTGGGCCCGAAAGTTGGCGATGGAACGCGTCGGGAGACGCCCGAGCGAACAGCGGCGAAGGGAGCAAGCGTGGCGCGGAAACCGCCGCCACCGAGGCCACCGCTCCTGGATTCCCGCCGGTGCCGCCCACCGAAGACGGTTTGAACGCACCGTTCCGCTGCGACCACTGCGGCCGCCTCTTCATGCACAAGCGCAGCCTGCGGATCCACGTGCGCAACCACACGGGCGAGCGCCCGTACGCCTGCGACTTCTGCGACCAGCGCTTCCTGCGCTCCGACAACCTGACGCGGCACCGGCGCATCCACACGGGCGAACGGCCCTTCGGCTGCGAGCGCTGTGGCAAGCGCTTCTCTTGCTCGCACCACCTCACCCAGCACAGGAGGTCCTTCCAGCATTACTGAAGCTGCCGCCGCTGCCACCACCACTGGTGTGCTGTGCCCATGCTACCGGCGTGCAACTGCCCAGAAAGAGTCAGTCTCCGACTCCGAAATTAATTTATTTGCTGTCGCTTTACTACCCCGCGAACTTCCACACGCCGGAAGGACTTAGCAATGTTCCATGATGGACACATCTTCTCCTTGACTTTAGCGTCTCGATGATGATTATCAGTCATGAATTTCCTCGCCAGTGAAAGGCGGTGTCACAGATGAAGAGGAACTGCGGCATATGATACTTTTCTTCGTACCAAACACTACCTTTGTTATGGGATCATGAATACCGCAGCCAGTTTAGGACATGGAGTCCTATGCTGCAGTCCATGGAGGGACGACAACACGAATGACAACGCTTTTATACACTTGGTGTTCTTACTTGTATCTGGAGTGCAGTGTTGTGCCTATTATAATAATTAGTTAATGTACTGTGCTGTATCCAAAGTGATTAATTGCTCTTTTTGGAATATGTTAATATTACTAGTGTTATGAATAATTGTCCATTGCTGGTGGTAATGGTAAGTTAGAACATTTTGTTATACTTTAATTTAAGTGTACAATTAGTGTTTTATATAGGAATGTGTAGAAATATTTTCGTGGTCCTCATGGCCCACAGACATTTTAAGTTTTTTTTATACATGTAACTGTACCTCGACACATTCTTTTTTTCCCACTGAAGAACTTTGCCACGAGTTTTAAATATTTGCATTTAACAATCAGTATAATGCACGTACAACGCAACATTAACCGTGCGTTCCGTTTGGGATGTGATGTGTTTGGACGTTGGGAGGTGGGTTCTAGCAAGTGTTGCTGCCGTAGTTAGCATGCGCTAGAGTGGAAGCGGATTTGGCTCAATAAATTTTGCGAGTGGGAAGGACGCCATACAACAGAGGGTGGTCTCTTGTGTTGCTCGCAGGCCAGTGGAATGCCCTGTGGGAGAGCTCACCCGCTCAGGCGAACGTCGGCTGTCCCCTGCCGAGCGCCGATTCTGACCACACCGCCTACCAGGGCGCCATTCCGCACATTGAACGGTGCGTCCAGCACATCCCCGGCCCCGCAGCGGGCGGTGAGGCTGTGCGAATGCATTCGGCGGTGGCGCGCACCAAATCGCGCAGGTACGGCAGCGCGAGGGCTCGAGCGTCCGCCGCTGCCTACGCCGTCATCGCCGCCGCCACCGGCGGCACCATGACGGCTCCGTTCACGTGCACCCTTTGCGGGCAGATGTTCGGCAAGAAGTACGCGCTGCTGTCTCACCAGCGCAAGCACACTGGCGAGAAACCGTACGAGTGCTCCCAGTGCGGCAAGCGCTTCAGGGTGTCCAACAACCTGGCCCGGCACAAGCGCTCGCACACGGGCGAGAGGCCCTTCGCGTGCGAGCAGTGCGGCAAGCGCTTCGTCACGTCCGACAGCCTCGGCTACCACCAGCAGCTTCACATATCCAAGCGACTCTTGCACGGAGCTGCGCTGTGAAGTGAGAGCCCACGGGGTCAGCTCTGCGCTTAGGGGATTGTACCAGGAGTGGCTGAATACCCTTGTAGCTGATGCTTCACTCATTGGTGCCCATGGCTACTTGTGTAAATTGTGGAATATATAAATGGGTCTGGTTTTCCAAAGCTGGTAATGCTCCCAGTATTATGTAGATAATGGAGGTTGCCAGGATCATCTGTGCATGCGTGTGTGTTTTTTTTGGTGGTGTAGTAGTGGCAGGCTGGCTCATGGCTGTGTGGCAACTGATAGCAGCTCTGATCATAGCCTGGATGCCTGAGGGCTCAGCCCAACACTCTGACCTGACTCCAGCTCGGGTCTTCCATGCGGGTCTCGACTCCATCAAGATAATTCACTTGAGGGGACATCTTATTTTTTTTCCAACGAAAAAAAGATCCTTAGTCATTTTACCCAAGACTAAGCCATTGTGAGCAGATATCTGCTCCGTTAAGAAAGTGACTCGTCAACATGAGCTGCAAGCAAGCCAAAAGGAGCTGTCCTGTTTGAAGAGGTGCGGATGCAGGAGTGCAAGGTCGGCTGAATCTGCCAGCTGTCTGTCACATCCACACACATCACCAGGATTCTACATGCACATTGCATCATGTACCGCAGTGCTTCCACGCATTCCAGTCGCACAGCCGGCATTATCGCTGGTGAACTTGGTACTGGAATATCAATACAGCAGTTGTTGAATTGGCAATTTGTGCGGCGTCCATTGTGTGTGATGTACGGAATTTATATATACGGAGCAATTAATGCGGTGTTGGCTTTTACGTGATTTTATGCTAATCGGTTGCCATTGACCACAAACGCCTCATGATCCGTGGCTGCCTGCGTTTCCCCGTGGACACTGATGGTAGTGAAAATAATGTTCTTTAAAAAAAAGAAGCGCGTGTTTAACAAGGTTACTTGTCGCACACATACAGTATATGCGATGTTTCGAGCGTGTTTGTGAAATGTACATATGAACTTTGAGGTTTGTGGAGTATGGAAAAAGTGATTCCATAGGGATTATGGGTGGGAGGAGTCCATACCCCCCCCACCCCCAATGGATTTCGATGCTCTTCCCCATTCAGAAGCAGCACCCCAAATGTGAAGGCAGAGGTCACCAAGGACTACGCGCGGTTGATGCCATCGATTTCAAATTCCAGATCCCACAACGGTTGCACGGTTCGCCACATGCTTGGAGGTGTGCACACCTCCAGTGGAATTTCGGTCATCAAGGCCGTCCGTTAAAGGGAAGAATCACTTGGAAGTGTTACCAGCACCAAGGCGTGCTCCTAACGTAGTTTTAGATGGCGAATATATTTATGGGTGCACCCCTCCCCGCAAATTAAGGCGGTAACGACCCCCCCCCCCCCCCTTACTACCGCCTGTGTATTGGGTCCTGTCCCGAGTTGTGTAGGAGAAGCCTGATGTGAGAAAGACACTTGGTCCTGTGAGCAATGAGGTTTGTACTGCCTTGACGCGCATAAACTGGCGTGGCCTGCAACACGGGGAGACGTCTGCTGAGAGATCGCATCATGGATTGTGTAACTCTTCCTGCCAAGAGTGTAACAATTTACTCTTTGACCTGATTTATTACAATTCGGTACAAAAATCGGCTTCCTTATTTTGCCTCGTTTTGTATTCTCTTATTTTGTACTGGTTACTTTCTCCCCTTCCGTATCATTCATCTCGTTTGTCCCTTCTCATTTGCATTGTTTTGTCTGCTGTCCGCGTTGGTTATGTTTTTCCTGTTTCTCATTTGTTACTGCCGGTACTCGACAATAGTTTGTACAATTTGCCGTGATGTGTCTAGATGGTACTTTGTGTCTATTGTTCAGCCTCATATATTAACCCGTCTTTACAGTAATTGCACTACGTGCACTGCATGTTGTTTGTCCCAGTTTGTATTGCCACCTTTGTAGTATTCTATCGTGTATGGCACTATCCGGTGTGAACTGTCAGTCACTGATGTACAGTCATTTACAACACGTCTCGGTCTGCCTCAATCTCGTTTCATCCACTAGGTTAACATTAAACAGTCCAACTTTTACCTTCCGTATTGTTCCTTAGTGGTGGAATTGGTTTATTCTGCCTGGTTATCAGTGGCCAGAATGTGTGCCCGGTACATAACGTAAGATAGCTCGGGGGGTGTGCTGTTTGTCCAGTCTCATTCCTGCGAGGCACAATCAGAATATTTATTTATACTGGAGGAATCCGATGATTAATAGGGCTATTAAGACTGCATTTTTTTCCATATAACCATTACTTGATTGCATCATTCTTATATTTGCCGATGCAGAGATGCTGCTCCATGAAATTGTTTTATTGTGGATTGAATGTTTGTATTGCCTCCCGAGTAAAGTCCCTATCAAGTTGCAGAATGCAGCAGTCAAGATGCTTGCTCGTCCTGCACTGCGAGAATAAGAATACATCGCTCCCTTGCATTTTCGCATTGGCTTCCCGTCTCTAAACAAGTGGAATTTAAGATCATGTTGCTTATATTTGAGGTCTTTTTGAAAGCGAGCTCCAATTTATATTCAGCAGCTAATGCAACCGTGTGCCCCTTCAAGATTTGCCGATGATGCCCTTCTATGTATACCTCGGTCTTGGCTACTTTCTTGGGGTGATCGGGCATTTACTGTGGAACTCCCGACCACCCCCCCCCCCCCCCAAGTTGTGGAATTCCCAACTGGTGTTTCCCTGGTTGGAAAATTCCCGGCCTGGTGATCCCCCCCCCCCCCCCCCCCACTTGTGTAAATCGGCCTCTTGGACAGTGTTAGTACCAACTAAAAACATTTAATTAGCTTTGTTTCTCTGGCCGCTTATTCTGTGTTTCCGGCTCTTATCCGTGACATTTTCACCCGTGGCACCTTGAGATTGTGAAAGTGCAACTCATCATTGCAACAACTTCACCTGTGTTTCTTTAACGTGGGCTGCGAGAGGGGGGATGGGTTTTCCCGAGGGTCTGCCGTTAACTTTTTTGGAGCGCTGTCTTTCCGACAGCTCTGTTTCTTAACCTGAGGACGGCTGCGTGTGTTGTGGCCGAAACGTCGTGAGAATTTTATTTTATTATGTTTTATTTTATTATTTCCCTTCTACGTGATTTTACCGAAAGAACCAAGAAGATTCACAACTTTTGTTCAAATTCACTTCAGAAATAAATTGTCAGTATCCGCAACAGCGCTGAATATGCGCGCACATGGACGGTCGTTATTGCTAACGTACGGCAACGTTAAACATGCGTGATGATTTTTTTATTGTTTTAATGTTTAATAAACAAAAGTGGTATGAATCGTCTGTTTGGTGGCAAGTGAAAGTAAAAATACATTGCCTCTTGTGGACGGGGCTATGCAAGTAACTGCCATAAAAGCGAAAATCTTGACAACCTTTTATTACCCTCCATAAGGAACATTTAATGTGCTATTTTATTAATTCCGACGTTTATTTTTTTTCTTAATGTGTGCTTGTGCACTAAAATTGCCAACGCAGCATCACTAAATAATTTGTGTAAGCGGTGTACACGGGGCTGATGGAGGAAGAGAGGGGTCTCCCCAGGGGTCTCCCCAGGTGTCTCCCCAGGGGTCTCCCCAGGTGTCTTCCCAGGTATCTCCCCAGGTGTCTCCCCAGGGGTCTTCTCAGGGGTCCGCGCAGAGGCGTCGCTCGCCTCGAGCCCTGGCTGCTTCAGGTGCACTTCTTGGGTTGGACGCATCGGGAAAAAGGGTCGGGCCTCCGTGCTCCAGCCTCGCCTATAACATTTACTTTTATACACGGGGAAGCCGCTTCTATCTTCCGGCGAGGCAATTTAAATTAAGCTTTAAAAAAAATCCCATCGCATGCAATGGGCCCAGCCAACAGTACAAAGCAAGTTGCGTGTGCCACAGTGCCGGCCTTCAGAGGTGCTTGCTACTCGCTAACAGCACTGGGCCCCAACAGTCTGTTCAGGCTATCCGGGGGGATCTTTATCTTTGTGGGTGCTTCCCATCCCTTCCAATATTTCTGGGCAGCGTAGAAGAGTAACCAATAGCAACCCCATACAGGAGCTCTCACGCTCCTTCGATGTATGTACAATGTTAAACTTCGTTTGCACCGTACGTAGCTAGTCGAGAGTGAGCCCCTTGAGCCAGCAGTGCGGGGCGCAAGTGGCTGCAGGGGCGCTGCGCCTTTACCTTTGTAACGCCTGCGGGACGCAAGCTCAAATGTGAGCCAATCAGTGCTCAGAGATCTCGGCCAATCAGTCCTCAGAGATCCCGGCCAATCGACGCCGAGAGATCCCGGCCAATCGGCGCCCGTGTTGACTCGGCAGAACTCGTCACTCGGTAATGGTGGCCGCGCTCGACGTCTGCGCTGAGATGTAACAGCAGCTGCTGCTGTTTGCCAGGTAACGCCCGACCAACAAACAACGCCGTTTGTGTGAATAGTTTTATTTAAACACTACTTCTTAACTTTAGACATTGGCTTTTCAGCAGTGCTCGATGGTTTCATTGTAGCCACCGGGCCGGCTCTCGGCCTACCCCTCATCTACGCACCCCCGGCGCTTGTCTGATGACAACTGCCGGGGCTGAGCGCGGGCCCCTGGCAGGGAAACTGAGCCCGGGCGTGGAGAGGCCGGGGCGCCCGCCGCCTTAAAAACGAATGCCACTGAACTCGCGCTGCTCGCAAATTGCAAACGAACCGTGAACGGTTCCACTGGAGCTGCTGGCGTGCGACTGGCTGCAGGGATCGAAGCCGGGTGGTTCCAGTACCTCTGTGGGTCCTCCTCGCCGTGGCGTCCGTCTCGTGTTTTTGCTGCGTCCCATTTACGACTTTTGTTTGTTCTGCGCGTCTCGTGTGGTCGTTTTGTCCCGGCGTAGCTTGTACTTCGACTATATGTGTGTGTGCTGTCCGTTTTGTCCGCTGTACAGACTGGATACATTGTATCGCCTCGTTTATATTCTGTGCATACATCTATACCTACTGGCTTACCTTGCTATTTTATTTCGACCAAAGTGTCCCATCTGTACAGCCCATCTCGTTTGTTGCGTATGTTCAGTCAATCACGCCTGCGCTCTCTTCCTCGTCTGTTCTATTTCGTATGCATGTTGAACTTCTTTCGCACCTTACGTTGCCAACCGTGTTCGTCGGAGGTGCACTAGACATTGCGTCTGTTTCGCCTGCTATGTTGGTATCGTCTCCACGTCAATGTTTAACTGTCCTGTCTGCGGCCTTCGTGTCTTGTTCCGGCTGACCGTCTCGTCCGCAGTGTCTGCGGTGTGTACTGTCTTGATACGCCGTCTCTTCCTGGCCTGTTTGCGCTGTCTGCTTTGTTCTAGTACAGCAGTGCGTTTCTCAAGTTAGGTTTTAATTGTGTTCCATGAAGCGTGTAAGTTCATCGTTGTGGTGGATCCTTAGTTTCGCGATACGTGCATCAAAATGTGTGTCGCGACTTGAACGTGCATGATGACTAACGCGCATGCAATGCGATAAGTGTATCCCCTTTCGGCTCATCGTCGCAATGAACGAAACAGAACAAACGATGGAGAATAAACAGTCGTGATGAGACAAAGCAAACAAGAGAAAGGACGAAACAGTACGATCTAAACAGAACAAACGAGACGCATTGAACAAACAAAATGAAACAAATTAGACAAATAACTGATAACGTAGTACGACGCGAGGCAGACCCGAAACTACAAATTCGAGTGCAGATGACAGACATCACAAATGAGACACTGCAACGAAGACAAATTACGAGTCTCTAATTATAAACAAGGTTCAGCAGTACAACGCAGACCTACAGTGCGGACTAAACAGAGTGAGGACAGCACAATACGAGTTAGACGGTGCAGGTTGAGGCAGAAATTAACCTCGAGGTCACCGAGATCAAAGCACAATGTAGGAACCACTGGAACACATCTCCGCTGTTTCGCTAGAACCTCGGTGCATCCGCATGGCGGTCAAACCACTCCCAAGCCCCCCAATGTCAGGAGTTTGATGCTCATCGCCTGTTCAGGAACGAATTAATATGCGATTTCTTGTGTGTGTGTGTCCCTCGTCGCAGTGAGAAAATTTATTCAAATTAAGATAATCTAAATTTAATTGGCGCTGATACGTCACGCGAGACGTCTTTACCATTCATCAGACACGTGCAGCGTTAAACCTTTTATTGAATGGAGAGGATTGTAAAATCTTGAAAGTTGACTGGTGGATCATGAGCATGTGTTTTGGTAAACATTGGTGTATTCTCTACACGAGGGTCTTGCTCTGTGGTAGTTTGGTTGAGTGGGAACCCAGTCAGAACAGTGCTGGGGTGTCTGACCTCAAAGTTTTTTGGGCAATTCCATGAACTTTGGAGTAATCTTTATCATGGGACACTAAACATACACACACTTTATTATGTCGCCAGCTTGTTTCAAAGTGCATTATTAAGTTTCACTGGCGTATAGCCATTTATATTATGGTTTCTGTGGCATAAGCTCGGGCCAATGTTCTGGTCAAGTATTTTCTGGACGGAGAACTTTGAGAAGAGGAACCCACACGGCCACTGTCATTTGATGCTGTGTTGCCTGCGTTACTCTGAAACAGAAGTTGTCACATCGCATGCACGCTATCATACGGCCAGTGCCCTGTCTGTTGTACCTCAAACAAAAGAATGTTTGTAGTAAAGACTTTTGAAAGGTCTAAAGGACAAATGCTGACGTTACATTTTTTGCGCTCTGACACAGTGGGTCTCTGTGCAGAGTACGAATGTGCACTCACCATGCTCGCTGCTGTCTGTTCCATTCATTGTGGGTTTTTTGGCATCCACACCCAGCACAGTCTCATGGAGCATTTATAATTAGTGCTTCAACATCTTCTCAGAAAGTAAGATGACAATTTTTTTTTTATAATTAATCTCTTTCTTTGGACATTGGGATGATCGTCACATCAGGTTTTGCAAACTGTTGGCGATTCCAACCATCATCAGGTTGGAATCGCCAAGGCAAATCGACAAGAGAAAGGTGTTATTACATGATTATGGCGTAGACCATTCATGTGTTGGCCGTGCATTTCATGGACACGCAGGCCTGCAGTGTGAACCGAATTTCCAGCAATGGCGGCGGTGGCGGCGGCCGCAGTGGTGTCCCACATCAACCCTCGTCAGGACTTCCCAGCGTGGCTGGCCGCTCACGGCGTGAGCCTCAGCGTGGCCGAGGCCGTGGACAGGGAGCTGGGCATCGGCGACTACGAGGCCTTCCTGGCGTGCGCCGAGCAGCCCCACATCAGGGCCGAGATGTTCGCTGCCGCCAGGGAGCGGCTGCCCTTCGCCTTCTACGCCGTGCTGCGCCGCGTCACCGAGGCCTCGTCCCCCAAGCGCCACGACGGGGCCGGCGGCGGCCTTCAGGCCGCTGGCAACACGGCGGCGTTCCAGCCGTTCCTGAGCGGCCTGCTGGACGCCATCGTCCTCATGCTCAACAGCCTGAGCCAGGAGCTGCTGCACTCGGCCGAGAGGTTCAGCTGCCTGGAGCCCGCGCTCTACCCGGTGGTGTCGCTGGACGATGGTGAGGGAGAGCACGTCCCGTACCCAGGCACAGGTGGGCGCCGCTTTCCACTCTTCCTCGTTGGCGCTGTAGAAACTAAGAGCGGATAAAGGACGTGTGAGAAAACGTGCATCATGAGGAATGTCGAAAGCGAGAGTTCTTTATGGAATTTTCGTCTCGTTACGTGATGCCGGTAGCAGTCAGTTCAGTGCTGTTTGTGTCGTCACAGTCGTGGGTCGAGTGACACTCGCTTTGGTGCACCATGTCTCATGTTTAGACTTGGCTGGAGGCATTTGTGAACCTCAAACTCAATTATAATTTACGTGTGTCATGGAAAATCTTGATCAAATATTATATTTTCAAGATGACCTATGTTAGTTATAGTCATTGAAATTATTTACAATCACCCCCTAAATTTGTATTTCCCTTCTACGTGACTTTACCGAAAGAACCAAGAATATAATCACCCCCTAGTTTATATAATAATTTGTCCATAGTTTGCCGCACAAGGAACTTAATAAATACACTTTTTTATCCATAATAGTATACTGCCTGGGCTATGAGACTGGATTATCACGTCTTTTTCAGTATGCCCATCAAATGTGTACCGTATATTTTCCCGCATATAGCCCGCATACGCATATAACCCGCAGACGCATATACCCCGCAAAAATAGCGTTTTGTGTAAAACAAATTTCAGATACATCTTCTTTGGTTCTTTCGGTAAAGTCATGTAGAATGATAATAAAATAATAAATTGATAAATAAAATAACACAATAATAATATTATTGTGTTATTTTATTTATTAACACAATAATAATATTATTGTGTTATTTTATTTATTTTATCAATTTATTATTTTATTATCATTCTACGTGACTTTACCGAAAGAACCAAAGAAGATGAATCATTGCAGTCACGAAAGCTTTAAATCGAAATTTCAGATAGCCCGCACCTCCATATACCCCGCATGCATTAATATATTTAACATCGTTACCGCAGCTTAATTCCATCATTAATACGAAGTTTGCATTTGTAATACATTCCACTATCAATTGTTAACATTAAAATCATAACGTGCACAAAGACAACAAACTAACCGGAAAGAGTGAACTTAAAACAGTAAATAAGTAACAAAAGTAAATATCCAATAAATAAGTAACACATAACTGGTAGATAAGAACAGTTTTAGCTGCCCCACCCCCCACCTCTCCCTCCCCCCAGCTCTCCCGTTGCCGGTGCGCGCACTTGAAACTGTCGTTTAATTATACAAACAATTAATTTAAAACGTGATAACATGTGCAATTTTAGTGTGAGTGGTTTATTCAGCAGTGATTTAATCAAAGGTAAGTGTTGCATAGTGGATAGTCCTACCATGAAAAAATTAAACGAGTCGTGACATGTCACACGTGTAAAATATTTTTGGGATAGCCCGCACCTCCATATACCCCGCAGGGTCTTGTTTTGTTTGTAAAACGTGGTATACCCCGCGGGTTATATGAGGGTAAATACGGTATATGAACTTTGCAACTCCAGCAGTCTAAAGTTCGCGACACCAGTAGCCGATTCGATTTGGATTTATTGTTTTACTATTTGCTGGACCTTTTGAGTTTGCATAGAAGAATGGTGGAATGTGGCAGCAGTTTTGGGGGATGCCTTCATCCAGAAGTGAATTGACCAAAGCCGATGTTGATGATGATGGAGAACTTGTCCCTCTCTGGTGCCCTGCAGTTGTCGACGCGGCCGACGATTACGAAGCGGTGGTGGTGGACTCCTGCGTGACGGAGGAAGCTCAGGACGTGGCTGACGAGGAGGAAGAGCCACTGGTGGAACCAGGTGACGTGCAATCCTGTCGGAATTCCGGGGCGGCATTTTCAGTTGCATTTGTTCATGTCTTGTCGTGCATAAGGGCTGTCACTCGGTCATAGATCTCTCGATAATCGTTTTTGGAATCGATTCTCGACTAGTGTTGCTCATCCATTGTGGGCCGGAAGAGGAGGGCCCGACAAGTGCGCGAGGATGTTGATGGGGAGCGGCGGTACAACGGTTAGCGCGCCGCGCTACGGAACCGGCGACCCAAGTTCGATTTCCGCTCGTGGCCATCGCCAGTGACGATTATCTGAATCGATTCTGAGCCTGCCCTAGGTTGACTCGGCCTCAAATGAGAACCTGGTGCGGTGTGTAAAATCATCGCCACTTGGGAGACAAAAGGTGGCCGGGCGTGGTGCTGGCCACCCCCCACCCTCTCGTGTGCCGTGCCGGGCTTTCACAGGTGCTGCTCGCTAACAGCACTTGACCCTACAGTCTGTCAAGGCTACACGGGGGAACTTTGTTGTTTGTTCTCCCGGCAGGCGATGGCTCCGCCATGGACATCGTCCCGCATCCCGGCGGGGACGACAGCTCGGGCTGCATGGCGTGGAAGGGCGCTGCCATCAAGTTGGAGCACAACTCCGAAGGTGCCTGGCTCTTGGTCCCACATCTCTCTCGTCACTTTGGGTCAAATCAAAGTGGTTTTAAACAAATACGTTTCGCTACAGGTCGCCTACAGGATTGAATGCTGAATCCTCGCCGCTCTTCCTTTATTGTGATAAATACATTCGTACGTACATGTGAACTGTATAGCAGTTGAGAGCCTCTTGTGCAAGTGAGATCTGGATTGGAAAGTATGGTGCAACATGTCTCAGCACAGCAAAATAAGCAACATAACATTAAGCATCAACAGATAAGAGAAAAACACCTATGTTTGAATATAAAATAATAATGATATGTTTGAATAATTAATGATTATCATGTCTCCTGTTCCTATGATGGGGACTCCATTCTCTATATTTCTTCAATTGGACTGACTGCATGATGCCATCATCATCCTTCTTTGCCATGTAGCCTCCTACCCTCTCACCCCAAAAACATTTCTTCTGCTGGACACCTTGAACACGTGTAACCTGTTTAGGTGTGATTCCTTTTGGACACTTTAATTATCCAATTTTTATTGCAACAACAATCACACAACATAGGTTCAGCTCTAGATTTGAAGCTTTCATGACTGCAAGGATACATACTCTTTGGTTCTATTCGGTAAAGTCACGTAGGTAAAAAATAAAACAACAAAAATCACGACGTTTCAGCCACAACACAAGCGGCCTTCATCAGGTGAAGGGACCAGACTGTCTCGAGGACAGCGCTGGAGTGAAACACAGCCAAGCTCAGACCGCGACCTTTAAGCTGTGTGAGAGTAATTAAGGTGCCTTGACAATGGAATTAGCATAAAAATTTGCATTTTAATAGGCGGACTTAGCATGATGAAAGGTAGGGAGGGGGTCGACCTGTGCAGGCTGGCGAGGGGGCACGGTAGCGTCCACATGCTGGTGGTGTGAAAAGGGGATTTTAAGAAGCTGCGAAAGTTTGGGGTACCACTACTTGAAAAATATACTGTATCATTGAAAATTAGTTTAATGTTTAGTTTAATGTTCTAAATCGAACCATAACTACAGCCTCCCGCTCCAAAGCCACCAAGCTCATCTAACAGGCAAGAGTCGTAATGATGTCCGTGCGCGATAGTGATCTCCGCTTGTAATAAAATAGCGATCCTCTGGCTACATCTATTTTTGTGTCGCCTTTAGCTTCGACGAAAGTGCCACTGGCGGGAGAGGATGAGCCCCTGCAGGAACCGCCGCCAATCGCAGTTTACGCTGCCAGTTGTGTGAGCACGAAAGAGCTGCTGGCGGAAGTGAAGCTGGAGAAGGACGAGTTCCTGAGAGGTTTGTGACCTATTTATATTGCAAGTTAACCCAAAACCCCGCAAATCCACAAGTGGCAAATCCCGATACACGATAAGTAGAAAATGCCACCTCTGCAGTTGGAAGGGAAAACTCCGCTGATGCGTGACCCCCAACTGTCATTGAGAGCAGGTGTGCGAAAAGTAAGCTCCGCTGGCCACGCAGGCGACGGTGCCCTCACCTTAGCCGTCCGTGTCGCGAGTCGAAAAACTCGCCTCGCAGCTTTCGCCCTGCGTTGCGTCTTCTCAGACGACAGGGTCGGGTGCCTGGACCAGCGACAAAACGTTTTCGATGACGGGGAGCGAGGAGATGGAGCAGAGCCCGACGACTGGAACCTGAGTGTGGAGGCCGGGGTGGTCGTGCACAGCGGTGAGAGCCGTGGCATCCCACGCCCTGCTTAGCGCTGCTGCACCTCCGTTCGCGCGCGCACGGCTGACGAAGCCTTGCGGTGCAGTTTAACAAGGTGGAAGGCCATTGAGAAAGCACTGTTTAATGGAGGTTGGACAACAATTTAAACTCCTGGAATGATACCGTACGTGTACTTTTAACGCTTTAAGATGGTGGGGATGCAACGTCCGTTTGATAACTTCAAACTCCTTAATTATAATGCTTGGTGGTACATTTTTGGTTAAGTCTGTGTGACAATGTGTCGAGCAGAAATTCTAAATCACCACAAACACAGCGCTTGTGAGGTCCGTGATTAAGCGTCTAGCCTCCTGTGTTGCTTCCGTTCCCATCACTGCGTATGCGTAACGTTTATCCTGCACCCCCTCCCCCCCCATTCGCGTGAGCAGTCGAAATCGGTTCGTCGGACAGCAGGAATTTCATCGGCATGAGCGCCGATTCGGAGATGCCGCACCAGACCGGGGAGCCACGCGAGCAGCCATTCCACCGAGCCAGCCCGGCGCCGACCGGCCTGGGGAGGGACAGCTGGGTTCGGCGGGGCAGCGTGACGCTTGGAGAAGGGGGGGCGGCGGCGGGACAAGGAGGCAGAGTTGGGGGGGCAGGGACCAGGTCGGCTGGGAGTCTGTACGCGCTGGGAGCCAGGGGCCACTGCCACGTGGGGGCCGCGGGAGTGGCGCCCGATCGCTTGGGCGAGCAGCTGCAGGTGTCCCCGGACGCCAGGGGGTTCCAGCCACGTGCGGGCGGAGCAGCCGGGGACCAACGCACAGGTGAGAGGCGCCTGAAACGGGCACGCTCGCGCGCACGCTCGTGCTCATGCTTACGGCCGAGTGTGCGCACTGGGGCACACGCTCGCTTACGCGCACCTGCATGGTCACTCGCACACGCAATCTCCAGTACGTAACCATGCACGTACGCATGCAATGATCACGCATGATCACTCCGGTACACACCTGCTCGCACACTTGCAAGCACACATAGCACTCTCCTCTACAGCATTGATGCCTGGGCTGTAACTTTGATTGATCTCCTCTTGGATGGAACTCTCGTTTCCTCCACATGCAGGAAATGCTCCAAAAAGAAATTATCCAAACATTCCAAAATTAGAGAGTTTGAGTCAGGGAGGTTTTCTGGGTTGAAGATTTTAATTCAACACCAGATTTTGCAGCTCCAGCTGCTAGTCCATTACCACTCGGGATTTTTGGATCACCAACGGAACCATACAATGGTCACAGCAGACTGCTAATATGACAAAAAGCATTGAAATTTTCTAACTTGAATTTTCTAGCTCTCATGCTCACGGCGTGTTTATGGCTTTGCGCCGTTGCGGTGTTCTGCTCGTGTTCTCTGCAGCCTGCCTCGCCGGGCAGGGTCCCGTGCTAAAGCTCTACGTGTTTAAATTTAAACAGGTGTCTGGAGTGGCAGGCTGTCTGGAGGTTATAAACCCACAGAGCAGACGTGGACTGACGCGCACGACCGCTGCGAGGACCAGGCTAGCGTTACAGATCTCGCCACCCGCCACGCGCAGCTCCCCGGGAAGGCCCATAGCGACCCGCAGCCGGGCGCAAGCGGCCAATTGGGCGGCGGTAGCTGGCGCTGGCCGGGGGCCACGAGGTCCGAGCGCCACCGCCGCTCAGGAGAGACGGGAGGCGGCGGTGGCGGCGGTGGTGGCGGCGGCGGCGGCGAGCCGTTTGAGATCCTCCCGGACGCCGACGGGCAGAGCGCGGTGGCGCGTGGCTACCAGTGCATGGAGTGCGACGCGTGGTTTCACTACCAGCACTGCCTGCACAAGCACCAGAGGACACACACGGGCGAGAAGCCCTTCATGTGCGAGGAGTGCGGTCGCAGGTTCGCTCAGTCCAGCAACCTGCTGCAGCACAAGAAGACTCACACGGACTCGAAGCCGTACGCGTGCGACCTCTGCGGGAAGAGGTTTTCCCGGTCGTTCAACATGGCACGGCACAAGAGCCTGCACAAGCGGCATCGGCTCTAGGGTTGCTACGCGAGGGCCCCCCACCCCCCTCCCTCTCGCAGCTCAGCAGCCCCTGTGCTCGATGAACGGCGCGGAATAAAAATGTCAAAAGCGGAAGGAAAAACGTTTGTTTATTTTTTTCTTTGTTGTTCGCAGGACACAGGAGGGAAGATTGTAAAAGGGATAAGTGTGCCTTCCCAGGAGTCAATCAGGACAATGTAACTCTGATAAACTATTTCAGAAATGGGAGGGGCCTCGTAGATCACGGGGCGACGCCCCTGGCCTTTGCCGGCACGGCGGGGGTGAGCGCGGCGAGCGCCGCCCGGCAGTGCCGCGTGGACGGCTTGCACCCAGAGCCCGTCGGCGCGCGGGCCCACTGCGTCGCCCGCCTGCACCCGAGCTCGGCGCAGCTGCAGCTGCCGTGCCGCATCGCCGTGGAGAAGCCCTACCAGTGCCGCGTGTGCGGCCAGAAGTTCCGGCACCTGCAGTACTTCCGCAAGCACGAGCGCACGCACGCCGGCGAGGTGCTGTTCACGTGCGAGGAGTGCGGCAAGGTGTTCCTGCAGTCGGTCGATCTCATCCGCCACCGGCGCATTCACACGGGCGAGAAGCCCTTCGTGTGCGTCGAGTGCGGCATGACCTTCCGCCTCAAGCACCACCTGCTGGGTCACCAGCAGAGGCACGTCCGCGAGAAGGAGCGGGAGTTGGACGTGGTCATGCTGCTGCCCCCGCCCGATGCCGCGGCCGCCACCGAATGAAACCCCCCCGCCCTCCACCCCCGTGCATGCTGGGTTACGCGATTTGGAAACACGTATTCTGGAAACTTGGGTGTCGAGGTGGCCGTTTCTGAGCGTGCGTAGGTTTGTCTGTCGCTGGATTTCGTTTAACGGTCAGACGGATTCCCTTTGTTCATTTGTTGGTTTCGTCACAAGGTTGTAATGGAGCTGCTCGTAGGTCAAATAAATGGAATAGGGGCGAGGGGTTCCGCGTGGATAATTTGCCCACGGGAGTTTCCAATTTTGCGTCTTCGTGAGAGTCATGGGATTAATTTGTAGGTGTCACGACCCATGGTTGCGTGTTGGGGAGTTATGTGAAGGGAGCAGTCCCACACACGGAACAATGCGGGCTTGGGGCCCGAGGACTCATGTAAACATTTTGCAAAAGTCCTAAGGCTGCGATTGTCGTAAGATCAGAAATGACGTTGGCAATCTTTAGGTCACAAAAGACCTGCCGAGATGGCAACGCTCTCGGGTTACGTGAGCGCGATGTTCCGTCTGCCCCACTGCTCCAGCCAAAAATCTCACGCAACATGGCCGCTGTGACGTCACAAACACGTGCGCTTCAAGTGGTCTGCCGCCAAGATGAGTTACCACGAGAGAATCATGAGTAATGTTGACATTGTCATTAACTATGTAACATTACCGAAAGAACCTAGAATATGAATCCCTGCAGTCACGAAAGCTTTAAATCAAAATTTATGTAACAGTTATAGGTTGACTTTTGACTGAGCATAATCTTCGGCTTCATAAAGTATACGCTGACAATCGACTTAATAGTGAGTGGTCCTTAAGAGTGCTTCCAAGTATCCAGTCCCGAATGAAATCAAGAGTTACGCAACATCTGAGCTTATTTCAATAATTGGTGAAGTTGTTGGGTCCTCGTGCCCCTGGTTATAACAGCTGTTGTGAAGAATCCGGTGGAAGGACGACGTGCCGACTGCTGTACATGGCGCAGACTTTTGATCTTTTGACATTGGTGTGGCGTTGGGCAAAAATGCAGTGCATCACTGGACATTGCTCGATACTGTAAACCCTGTGCCGCGTGATTGCCATTGATGCTGGGGTTTGAAGTTGCTCTTATGTGCTGTGAGGTTTTGGGTCATTTTTTATCTGTACTGTAATTTGCTTATAAACGCTGACGACGAAACCGTGCGTGTTGCAATAAATGCTGCATAATTTGGTTTGGTACAAGTAAACTGAAATCTGATTTAACATTCTCGTGGTCGTGTCTAAGCACCCCTGCCTTCAACCCGCGTTGATCACTGTGGTCCAACCACCCCCACGATCTGACAGCGTGGGGGTGCCCTCATCCAGCTGTGGATTGACAGAAGGGCTGTTTTGCACAGGTGCTATACAGTAGTGCCTCTGTTAAGTGACATCGGTTAACGTTTCACCTCGACTAACGTTAACATTGAGTCACGGTAACGTGATAACGATGTGCACGCGGTGGAACCAATTTTGGCCAATCCGAGCGCTCGAAAGCCGAGCCGTGACCTTAGCCAATCAGCGACGCCCATTTGAGCCGTTTCGACCTCGACCACCTTTGTTTATATTTTTTGTTTTGGCAGTGGGACACAGCTCTCCAGTGCAGACTCGGCGATTTTTTAAAAACGTATTTGTCAGCTTATAAGTGAATTAGATTTAGGTTAAGTTTTCGTGGAACGGAAACACATTAACCGAGGGAATACTGTATTATATTTGGTGTGGATCCACAGCCCCACCAGAACAACCGATGATTGTTGCATAATCAAACGAGGGGGAGGCGAGTATGCTCTACTGCATACTAAAATGTAATTTTTTTCACCGCCACTATACCCACGCAGAACACCCGAAAAACCGAAACGCAGTGTGATGTGCCCAGCGCCTTACTCAACATTCGCTTTATTTACATCCGTCAACAAGCGTCGACACGTCCACCACCACCTGTCGTGTGCCTGAATGAGGCATGGTGTCGAGGTGTGATGATGCACCACCACCACTCCCCTTCCACCGGTGTCACGAATCGTGGCCGTGATTCCATCAATTTATTGGCGAATGCAGCCGGGCCACAACTGTATACGAATCACGGCTTGTGACGCATGTACCAGGAGCTTATACGCAATCGGTATTACAGTAATCGAGGGGAGTGGTGCATCATTAAAACGCCTCCAGCATGCTCGTCAAAGACCCACCGACTCGACCGCGAGGTTTTGAATGCGCGAGTCTTTCTCTATGTGCTCATTACATTCTGCTTAGACAACAAAAACAAACAACGGTCCCTTAATCAGGGCTGGATGTTCTAGCGTTTAAGATTGACGTTGCAGGTATAGATGGGGGGTGGGTAAGCCGTAAACAAGATCTATATGGTCGCTGCAGGTTTATCAACAGGGATGCGATACATTCAATGACGATAACTTGAAACAAATAACCGTAACCGCGTTCGACGATTGGCTCCAGGCGCGGCGTCGCTTTCTACAAACACCGCCGAGGCCAGCTGCCGAAACTGAAGAAGATCGCAGCGATCGCGGGAATGTCTCGAAACGCGAAGGGACATCTATTGAGCAGTGGAATGGAGAGAGATGCCGAGGGATGGCGACACCACGTCTGCTCATTGCAAGTGCTCGCAAGGGATTTGTTTTTAAAAGGGAACCACGGAATCACTGGCAGGTAATATTTATGACGTTAAAAAGGCCTCGACCCTGGGCTAAAGTCCCGATGGCCAAATCTCGTTCCGCAGGACGCTTTCCGAGCAAGTATACCAACACCTTCGTTTGCCCTCGGTACATCAACAGCTGACGTGTCTGGTAGTAAAGTCAAACTCGCACACGTGGTTGTCATGAGTTTCCACCCGGACTGAGGGCGTCACGACCACGAGACGAACACAGTTTTGAGTGCTCGTGGAAAGCGCGGCGTCACATCACCCCTCACGAGAGAGCGCCGCTTTGGTAAGGGGGCATCGCAGAAACTCAAAGCTCCTCCATTCAGTTTCCCTCACTCACGATGCTTCTTGCATGGCCAAATTACGCGAAATGCCGCATGCGGTGTTCGGTTGGGGGGGTAGTTTATGTGATCATTGGTGTCCGGGCTGATCCCATCTCGGTGCACTTGAAAAACCCCAGTTGTGATCCCGGACAGCCGATACCCCCCACCCCCACTAGCACGGTTGGCTACGTACGGTGCGAACGAAGTTCAACGTCCACCCAGAATGAAACCCGGAGCCTCGGTGGTTGCCGCCCCAGTGCTCCGACCTCTGGGCCACCCGGCCCAAAGGTCAGTCACGAGCATCGCACCTTCAGTCAGCGGGCCTTCAAACCAACGGTGACATCGATCCCGGCCCCAGCTTTGTCAAGTCTCTGGTTTAACGGACGCGGTCACACGCTACGCAATCCACACGCGCGTTTGGTACCTGGTGTTCAGGAAAATATATTCTTTGGGTCTTTCGGTAAAGTCACGTAGATAAAGTTAAACGAAAATAAAATGTATAGTTTGGTCGCCGAGAAAATCCTGGGGCCATTTACCTTTGTCATGAACAACGTAATGTTGAACGCCACGACTGCTCAACCTCCAACCCCAGTGGACCAGTTCTGTAAAACGACCCACGTGTTGGTTATTTCAAGCGTCGCTTCGGTCGTTCCATACAAGCGGCTACTCGGGTACATCCTTGACAATGCCGTTATTTTGTTATTGTTGTAACAGGCTGCTGCTGCAACACAGCTGCACTGAGATAGCGTGATGCGGTGTAAAGAATGCTTGACGAGTCTCTAACGCGATTCTTGAGTCAACAAATGGCAAAAAAAGACCTGGTAAAAATGCATGAGGCACTGTTTTAAACCAAAATATTAACATTCTTCACGTTGCACAGCGAGCAGCAGTTAGCACTATAAAAATACAACTCCGAGGACATGTCTGGCACAACAACGATGCTTGCATATACCTATCAATTTTGATTTTTTTAAATTAACATTCCATTCTTTAATTGTTTTTATTTCTGCTTCAGATGTGCAAACACATACCGCACGGACGTATCGATTCAATTACACGCAAGTTCTTATCGCTGGGGGGGAGGGGGGCCGTTTACGCGCATTGGCATTTCCGTCGGGGGAGATACACCGGTCTGTCGGAGCCTCGACACCGCCACAGAATCGCTCACCTCCCCCCAGTGCCAGCGCACGCCGGTACCGCGAGGTCAAAGCGCGAGGTCATTTCCATTCCTAAAACACGACACCTGGCTTAGACTCGGGGTTATCTTCGCATTTGGCCAAGTTCAACTCCCACCCCCAGCCCCCCACCACACAACACAAACTTTAAATAAAATGTAACCCCAAAAATTACTTGAAGCGCGATTGTGGCCAAACCACAAACTGTGGGCAATTCCTGCATGTGGGCAGTCTTGTATCCCAATGCACTGCCAAGTTTAGAAAATGTCAATGACCCAATTTATCCTGGACAGCCAGCGGCAGAACAGCTAGGTGCCAGAATTAGAATGAGAATCGTTATTTAGACTGCAGGAATCCGATGAGCGGTGAAGCTCTTTGTCACAGACGTGCCACCCGGGTGAAACCGACCACCGTAAAACCTGTTTTCGGATTGCACCGCGTGTTGTTCGTCGTGACGTCCGACATTTCCCGCCTCCACCAAGTGCTTGGAGCTTCTTCAGGAACTTCACTTCTCCGTGGCGGAAGCGAAACGTCGGGACATCACGCCGGTTAACACGCGGCACAATCCGAAAACTCATTGGGGAAGCTTGACGGCCGCTACCGTAGTGCCATAGACTTGATTTGTTAAATGTAATCACCCTTTGGCAATCGTGGCTCTGTCTGTCGCGTACAAGCAGCCGAGGGCAGACGTCAACAAAGCGGGCGGCTCAACTTTATCTCAACACGCACGCCCTGGCAGGCACTTGCATTGGCGGGGGTGACACGGATGGCTGGGTTTGGCAGCCGGCAAGCAATGCCACTCACAAAAGCAGCCACGGGCAAGCGAAGCAATTCCTGAAATACCCTTCAAGTAGTTTCGCTTAGAGTGCTGGGACAATGGCAAGTGCGATATCATGCACGTGGTTCAAAAGCAAAAACAATATAGAAATAACATGTAAAAAAAGCACAGATGCTGCAAACACATACAGCTGACATTTCACAGTTTAATTCTGGGGGAATGAGCTTTGCTAAACTTCATTGCAGTCTGTCTCCCACCTTCATCGATCTCTCGTCTCAGTGCCATGAGTTTATTTTTTTTTTATCCCACACACAGCCACTTTTAAATGGTTAAGCACATTCTGCGGGGTGCCCTACTGCACCAAATGTAAGCCAGTGGCTGCCTTAGAAGCCTCATTTCTTTACAACCTTGGACCACTGGCAAGAGCTGTAAGCTCATGGGGAGGGGGGTGGGTGCGTATCGTCGGCGATTGTTAGCACGTCACGTGTGGCATCCTGTACGCTCGAACATCACAAGTTTACATGACAATCGACACAACCTGTGCTGGTGCGTCACCACGCCTAATGCTCATCTAACGGACAACAACGGATGGTAATTAAAAGGTGACGTGGAAATACGCACGCGACGCTACGCCTTGACCCGGCTCCTGTGCACACAGCGCTCCACACTTGAATGAATTCGTTCCTTTCTCGCCGGCCGCTGCTTTCATTAAAATCCCAATCTCTGTGGCACCGCGAGGGCTCCTCGGTGGCACCGCTGGCATCTCCCAGACACGCAGAGATCACCGGGAGAGCCGGCGAGGAGGGAAAAGGCTCCGGGGTCAGAGGTAGCCCCACTTGTCGACTGGCGGGAACTCCTCCACCTCCCCTACTTCGGAATGCGGCTGCTGGCCCAGGGTGTACGTCAGCTTGTACCGCAAACGCACCTTGTCCTGCAACAGCCACACACCCAGCCCACTCGCATCACACAATGACTCCTCACCGCACACCCAGTCCACTCGCATCACACAATGACTCCTCACCGCACACCCAGTCCACTCGCATCACACAATGACTCCTCACCGCACACCCAGTCCACTCGCATCACACAATGACTCCTCACCGCACACCCAGCCCACTCACATCACACAATGACTCCTCACCGCACACCCAGCCCACTCACATCACACAAAGACTCCTCACCGCACACCCAGCCCACTCGCATCACACAATGACTCCTCACCGCACACTCGGAGAATGCCTGGAAATATCAAGCGTTGCAGACTTGTGATGAGAGGTGGCTGGAATATGTCATTACAGCAGCGGATTATTGAATTCTGTGCAGGGTTCTGCCCGTTACCCTCACACGTATTAGGTGGCTGGGTGACAGCCTTTCTTGCCTCACAGCATGAAGTGCACGGGTTTGATTCCCGGCTCGGATGCCTTTTCGTATTTGTATGTTCTCCCCTCTCTTTCTGTATGGGTTGCCTCCGGGTTCTCCGGTTTCTCCCACAATTAAAAACAATATGTAACATATAACGTAAGTGGCAGCGGGCAAACATTTTAAATACTGAAAAATTACCCACTTGGTGGCTCAGTTTAATGCTGCAGTGTGACCACAGCAGTGACGCCCGGTACGGACCGACACCCTCCCCCCCGCCCCACTGTGGCCGTGTGACTGCACCTTGTGAGCGTTGGCGAGCAGCATGACCTGCGTGATGGCACTCGGGGGCAGCACAGGGTTAAAGGGCGGCAGCTCCGTGCCCGAGGGCGGCTGCAGCTTCACCTTCATCGTCTGGGCAGGGAACAGTGCTGGGATTGTAGCAACACCTGCAGAGCCACGCTTAAACGCCTAACGCCGTTCTAATACACATTCTAACGCCGTGCTAATACCCATTCTAACGCCGTTCTAATACCCATTCTAACGCCGTTCTAATACCCATTCTAACGCCGTTCTAATACCCATTCTAACGCCGTTCTAATACCCATTCTAACGCCGTTCTAATACCCATTCTAACGCCATTCTAACGCCGTTCTAATACCCATTCTAACGCCGTTTCTAATACCCATTCTAACGCCGTTCTAATACCCATTCTAACGCCGTTCTAATACCCATTCTAACGCCGTTCTAATACCCATTCTAACGCCGTTCTAATACCCATTCTAACGCCATTCTAACGCCGTTCTAATACCCATTCTAACGCCGTTCTAATACCCATTCTAACGCCGTTCTAATACCCATTCTAACGCCGTTCTAATACCCATTCTAACGCCGTTCTAATACCCATTCTAACGCCGTTCTAATACCCATTCTAACGCCGTTCTAATACCCATTCTAACGCCGTTCTAATACCCATTCTAACGCCGTTCTAATACCCATTCTAAACGCCGTTCTAATACCCATTCTAACGCCGTTCTAATACCCATTATAACGCCGTTCTAATACCCATTCTAACGCCGTTCTAATACCCATTCTAACGCCGTTCTAATACCCATTCTAACGCCGTTCTAATACCCATTCTAACGCCATTCTAATACCCATTCTAACGCCGTTCTAATACCCATTCTAACGCCATTCTAACGCCGTTCTAATACCCATTCTAACGCCGTTCTAATACCCATTCTAACGCCGTTCTAATACCCATTCTAACGCCGTTCTAATACCCATTCTAACGCCGTTCTAATACCCATTCTAACGCCGTTCTAATACCCATTCTAACGCCGTTCTAATACCCATTCTAACGCCGTTCTAATACCCATTCTAACGCCGTTCTAATACCCATTCTAACGCCGTTCTAATACCCATTCTAACGCCGTTCTAATACCCATTCTAACGCCGTTCTAATACCCATTCTAACGCCGTTCTAATACCCATTCTAACGCCGTTCTAATACCCATTCTAACGCCGTTCTAATACCCATTCTAACGTTCTAATACCCATTCTAACGCCGTTCTAATACCCATTCTAACGCCATTCTAATACCCATTCTAACGCCGTTCTAATACCCATTCTAACGTTCTAATACCCATTCTAACGCCGTTCTAATACCCATTCTAACGCCGTTCTAATACCCATTCTAACGCCGTTCTAATACCCATTCTAACGCCGTTCTAATACCCATTCTAACGCCGTTCTAATACCCATTCTAACGCCGTTCTAATACCCATTCTAACGCCGTTCTAATACCCATTCTAACGCCGTTCTAATACCCATTCTAACGTTCTAATACCCATTCTAACGCCGTTCTAATACCCATTCTAACGTTCTAATACCCATTCTAACGCCGTTCCATCGCTGCCGAGAGACCGCACCTTGGGCACGGCGGCCTGCAGCATGATGTTCCCGATGCAGAGCGGCGCCGTGCTGAACATGGACACCACGACCACGAGTACGTCGGCGCGTCCCGGCGGGCTCTCCTTGGCGAAGTGTAGCAGCACGCGCAGCCCGTTCTTGTCGTACGCGGTGACAGGCGGGGCGCTGCCTGCAAGGGGAGACACAGGGCCATCATCGAGCGTTGCTCCCCCCACCCTCACATTGAGTCCAGATGCCTGGCGTCGACCTCCCGAGGCACCAGCGGGTTCAGTCGAAGCACCACCAATGTGACCAGGGGCAGGGCCGCTTCACAACATGGATGGGGCCGTAGTACTACGACGTGACAGCCCGCGCTGCGCAAATGCGGGGAGCCAGGAGAGCGTGGCGCACACCATGGTCTCCGGGGGCGTGCCGGGTGACGCTTGATTGCTGTTGCCATGCACGTGCTGGAGGAGGAGGAGGCTCTCACATGGCTCTGTGGCTACATGGGCTGATGTCCGCTCACAATAACATCGACATACATATCAATTTATTTAATTAACCGATTCCCTTGTGTATCTGGTGCTGTGCGTAAAAAAAGTCTCGCGTAAAGACATTCGCTGAATAAAACAGTTCAGAGGTCAACGTGTCTCCAACCCGACATACGCGACGGGGGCAGCACGCTAACCGCTACACTACCGCTCCTCTCACGGTTACACACACACACACCACAGGGCACACACGTGACACTCACTGGGCTTAATCGACTCGAGAGGGACCACCACGCTGGCCAGTGACGCGTCCGGCTGGGAGGAGGAGGAGGAGGCCCCGCCACGGAGTGGACTCTGTCCGGCTTCCAGCTCCAGCGACGGCTGCCGGGCGATGCCCAGAGCGGCCGCCGCTCCCTGGGACGGGCCGGCCGGGGGCTGCGGTGGCACCGCGGGGAACGCCGCCGAGAGATTAGGCGGCAGTCTGCTGCTCTGCATCTCGTTGAGCGTCAGCTTGGCCTGCGGTGCCGCCCTGGGGGGAAGCGGCGGCGTGAGCGGAGGGGTGTCCGAGAAAAAAAAAACAACCCCACAATTGATGATTCGCAAAAGCTCTTGTGTCAAGAAATAAAAAAAAAAGTTGAACTAAGAGCATGAGGATTGAGTCGATTTTCAAGTTAACTGAAGAAATTTGTGCTTTAGAGGATGACACAGTGAACATGATCAAAAGCGAAATTTAAAGTGTGTAAATAACTGACTGGGTACGTAATAAAAACAACAAACGTAGGCTCTCAGGTTTTCGCAGACGACTAAATTACCCCCTGCGCGCCTACGGCACAGCTCCACCTGACTGTGGCAAATGAAACTTAAACAGCTGGTCGACGGGAGAAGTTACCATTTGACCTGCAGGCCCTGCGGCGGCAGAGACTGCTGCAGCAGGGTCTTGCCCAGCAGATCGAGCTCCTCCAGGCCGCTGGGGACCGACACGTCAGTCCTGGGGGCGCCGTGGCATGGCGTGGACACCAGCGACGCGTTCCGTGACGAGGAGCCGGCCCCCAGCGACCGGTCCTGCTGTCAAACCAGGAGGGTGGCGTGGCGAGATGGGACGAGAAAGGGTTAACGAGACGTCTGCAAGTTGCAGGTTGGGTGGTGTCCCGTTCACCACCGAATCTCGGGAGGGCGCAAGCGATTCAGCGCTAATTTTATTTACAGAGGCATAGCGACATTGCACTGTACTTCCCGCTGTAGCGAGACGCCCGGACTCTACGATAGCCGGCGCCAAACTGTGCCACGCGCCCTTCCGCATGGCCTTATGGGAACCTCCATACTGATCAAGTTATTTCATGTTAGTTTTTCTTCCGATTCATGTATGTTGAACTGCTTTCGCACCGTACGTAGCCAACCGTGCTCAGTTATAAATAGTTTTCAATCTAGATTTTAAAGTGCATAGCTCCAGTGGCTTCCTAATATCAAAAGAGCATTCCAGACGGCGCAGAAGCTAATCTTAAGCGCGCGAAGCAGTGACCCACGACCTCCTCGCCTGGTATACAGGAGGTTGTGGGTTCAATTCTGATCCATATCCCTGTATATCTGAAGTCCTCCTTCATCACACGTTTAAGAGTATTTGGCTGCTCTAAACTTCCATGTGATAAGCTACTTCATTGGGATATCATTTGTGGCCAGGTCGCTTCTGCAAAAAGAGCTACATAGCTCAGTGTGCCTTACTTGGTCAAATAAAAGAGTTAATGAATCGCCCAATTGTTGCCACACGTCGCCTCCTCCTCCTGACCGCGCTCACCATGATCGAGTCCCAGTTGACCACGGCAGGATCCACCGTCGGGTTGGGGACGGGGTCGTCGATGGCTGTGTTCAAAACAGAAAGACTCCCCGTCAACATCGCAAGCGGCAACTCGTACGGACACCGTTTTGTACCCAACAAGGGCAGCGTCAATCCCGACATACGCTCGTTGCCATGTATTCTTTAACAGGAGGAAATTCACACTTGCAGAAGTGAAATTTACATTTAGAGCCACTCAGAGCTCAATTAATGCTCACAACAAACACAGGAGGAACATGAATAGGATCAGTAGCGATGGCAGTGCATACATATTTTATTAAAAAAATATATATTTCCTGTAGAAATCTGGTCTGGTGGCACAGTGGTTAGAGCACATGACAACTAAAATATGAAATTTGCAACTTCAGTTCCTAAGTTGGGAATCAACAGAGCCTATCATACCTCCAGGATCAATACAATTACTACCACTTTGTGGTAACAGTGGAGTGGTATTGCTGCATTGAGACCGAACCTGTGACTGCTCAGCGCATGCCGTTTCTGCACAGTGTGGAGGAGACACAGCTAACAACGAGTTGGAAATGCCTGGCACATGCAACTATTTTTTTAAAAACACGCATTTACGTAGAACTTATTTCACATTATTAGTAAACAACCGTGTTAATCGTAGGTACGGGGGAAGGACAAAAACCTAAACACAAAAAGCAGTTGTAAAGAAATTCGTTATGAAAAGTAGACACCCCCCCCCCCCCGTTACACACGGGACAAGTCACTCCTGGCCCCGTTATTCCGAGGACTCGCCGCCCCACTCGACTCCGTGCGCGACGATGACGAGAGGGGGCACGCACCGAGGGACACGAGCTCGTCGTCCAGCAGGCTGGCCGCACGCTCCAGGGCGGCGCCGCCCGCCAGGCTCCCAGCGTGCCTCGCGGGAGGGGGCGGCACCACGGGGAAGATGGGCGGCGGCGGCGGCGGCGGCGGCCGCGTCACCGCCACCGCCGCCGCCGCCGCCGCCGCTTTGGGTCGTGGCGCCGGCAGCGAGGGCGCCACGTCCAGCCCGGCGAGCTCGATGAGCGCCGACACGTCCCCCCCCCCGGCGCCTCCGTCTTGCGCGCCGGTGGAGAGGAGCGTCGGTGGAGAGGAGCGCCGGTGGAGAGGAGCGCCGGTGGAGAGGAGCGTCGGTGGAGAGGAGCGCCGGTGGAGAGGAGCGCCGGTGGAGAGGAGCGTCGGTGGAGAGGAGCGCCGGTGGAGAGGAGCGCCGGTGGAGAGGAGCGTCGGTGGAGAGGAGCGTCGGTGGAGAGGAGCGCCGGTGGAGAGGAGCGCCGGTGGAGAGGAGCGCCGGTGGAGAGGAGCGTCGGTGGAGAGGAGCGCCGGTGGAGAGGAGCGCCGGTGGAGAGGAGCGTCGGTGGAGAGGAGCGCCGGTGGAGAGGAGCGCCGGTGGAGAGGAGCGCCGGTGGAGAGGAGCGCCGGTGGAGAGGAGCGCCGGGGGAGAGGAGCGTCGGTGGAGAGGAGCGCCGGTGGAGAGGAGCGTCGGTGGAGAGGAGCGTCGGTGGAGAGGAGCGCCGGTGGAGAGGAGCGTCGGTGGAGAGGAGCGCCGGTGGAGAGGAGCGTCGGTGGAGAGGAGCGCCGGTGGAGAGGAGCGCCGGTGGAGAGGAGCGTCGGCGAGCGGGGGGGTGGTGGGGGGGCATGCGGTTTGGGAGTGATCGGAGCGAGTTTGCCGGACAGGAGCGTGGGAGGTGGGAGGGAGGGGTGGCGGGATGGGGAAAAAGAGGGGGGTGGATAGGATGGAGGGTGGGTGGGAGGGCGGGTAGATGGGCGAGAGGTAGGTGGGAGGGAAGGTGAGTGGGTGGGTTGGTGGGACAGTTGGTGGGTGGATGGAGGGTAGGTGGGTGGATGGAGAGAACGTGGGTAGGTGGGTGGGAGGGTAGGTGGGTGGGTGGGTAGGTGGGTGGTGGATGGAGAGTAGGTGGGTAGGTGGATGGAGGGTAGGTGGGTGGATGAGTTGGTATGACGGTGGGTGGGTGGATGGAGGGAGGGTGGAAGGGTAGGTGGGTTGGAGGGTAGGTAGGTGGGAGGGTAGGTGGAAGGGTAGGTGGGTGGGAGGGTAGGAATAAGAGAGGAGGGGCAGTGGGGAATCATCAGATGTTAATATTTGATTATTCGGGGTGACTTGGTGACATGTGGCAGAGCGTGAATTGTATCAATTACCGGCCTGTTTTAAAGTTTGTCATTTGGTGGGACAATCGACTTGTTTACAGAATTGGGTTTTTTGGGCATGGGGAGAGATTGATAGCTGCTGCACGAGAGAATTTTAGGCGAAATTTTACACTGTTGGTCAGAGCAGCTGATTTAACATGCGCAGAGTATGCATGCAGCAGCTCGACGTTAGAGATCACGGACCACACAGCAAAACCGATGACTGATCATCGAACGTGCGTGAAAAGCAATCATTTTAAGCGGGTTGTGAAACGTGTCAACCATCTGCTGCATAGACATCGTGAAAAATAGAAGGATTCGCTTAAACTAATTGGAAAGAATTCATTATAAAAGACAACGCAAACCACGCAATTAGTTCCAACAAAACACACCTGTAAATAAAAAGGAATATTTATCGTCACAACTTTTGTACAACTATTAATCACAACAGCTTACAGCCCTGTCAATCTACTGCCGATTGAAAGCATCCCCACACCGTTTAGGCCATGGCAGCTGTTTGACCATACTTCACCAGGCTGGTCAGCGCGGGTTGGTGAAGCACGGAGATAGAGAGACCCAGAAGTGATTTGGATATTACTCGGCACTGACGTTGGCCGTAGCTGGGAATGGAACTCGGCCGGTCAGGTTCAGAGTGGAGCGCACACAGCACCGCACTAACATTTTGTGGAAACAAACTCATTTGTAACTTTCAACGGACAAGAAAATAAACTGCCATTAAGCAGAAAATTGTCAATTAGTAACATGAAGCTGTTGAGACACGGACAAAAATTTGGACTCTCCGATGCGTTTTCGCGTTGTGCCGCGTGCAGTTCGGAACGAGGTCCGACGTTTCTCTCCGCGTGCTGGAAGCTCAGATCCCGAAGAAGCTCCCGGAACGTGGAGCGAAACGTTGGGACGCCGTGGCCGAACAACACGCGGCGGTGCAGACACACCGGACGGGTTTGTTTTCTTATACAGCGCGGCCGATAAAACGTACGCAGCAGCAGCAGCAGCAACACCACCCCAGATCGCTCCAGAAAAAAAATCCCAATCAACAGACAACAGAGGAATCACTCGGCCAGCAGCAGCTCACTCCGCAGCTTCACACTGAGCCACTGGCAGAGGAGGAGGAAGATGACTGCTGGGGCGGCCTACCGAGCGCCGTGCCCGTTTCCATCTTCCCCGCGTCTCCGTTCACCTCCCGGTTCTCCACAATCTTCCTGTAGGAGTTCATGACCCTCATCAGGTCGTCGTTGGCTCGCAGGATCTCGGCTAAAACGAGGGGAGAGAAGCAGGCGGCGACAGCGGTCACGCCGGGGGGGGGGGGGGGCACTACCTTCTCTGCCCTTGATTTAAGAGCGCACAGGGAATCTCTTCTGCAGTGAAGACCCGATTGACTAAGTACCCAGAGATCATTGTTCATCATAGATCCGATTCAATGCAAGCAATGGCCTCCTCGTGCGAATTAAGTCATTAATGCCCTTAACGTTACCCAACATGTGCAGTGCCGGTACAAACGTGACACAGACACACACAGTAATCAGGCCCACACCACACACAAACCACAAGCATGACACACACACACAAAGACCCCCCCGTATAGCCTTAACAGACTGTTGGGGGGCAAGTGCTGTTATCGAGCACCTATGAAAGCTGGCACCGTGGTACACGAGGGAGTGGGTGGCCCACACCACACCCGGCTGCCTTTGTCTCCCCAGTTGCGATGTTTACACACCGCTACACCAGGTACTCATTTAAGGCTTAGTCGACCTAGGGGAGGCCCAGGACCGGTTCAGATAATCATCACTGGTGTTGGCCGTGGTCGCCAGGTTCATAGCGCAGCTCGCTAACTGCTACACTACCGCTCCCATGACACACGGACATGCATACACACGCATGCAAAGTGACACACATACACATGTAAATCTTGACTGAAAAAGCTTTCGTGACTGCAGGAATTCATATTCTTGGTTCTTTTGGTAAAGTCACAGAGATAGGTTAAAAAATGTATAAAATAAACAAGAAACTACGACGTTTCGATCGCAACACAAGCGATCGCCATCAGGTGGACCTGATGACGATCTTTTGTGTTGCGATCGAAACGTTGCAGTTTCTTGTTTATTTCTTTTTAACCTATCTACGCGACTTTACCGAAAGAACCAAGAATACACACACGTGTACTTGAGTAACGCACAACAGATGACGCAAACACGAAAGCGGCACGGACATGCCCGTGATGGAAAGGCGCGTCAGACTGCTGCGCTTGGCGTCTGCACCTGCGATTGAGTGCGTGCGTGACTGCGCGAGTGCGTGACTGTGCGTGACTGTGTGTGCGCGTAGTGCGTGAACGCGCGCGCTTTTCGGACGGGAAGCGCCGCACCGAGGCCGTCGTCGTTGTCGGCCGTCTCGCTGGCGAGCTTGAACACAGTCGGCCGCAGCTTCTCGCAGCGCTCGTGCAGCTCCTGTGAACCAAACGCGACGCGCGTGGCACTGCCGTTTGGATTCGTTGACACGGCACAAGATGAGAATACACGAAACGCAATGCCCTCTTCTCACGCCCAAGACGATGCCGTTAATTCGCAAAAAGCAGAAAAGAAACGTGAAAGGAATAATCGCGGAGAACTCAACGGGATAAGAAAAATTTAAATGCCTTCGCAAATATGGGGAGGGAGGAGCAGGAGCGCAGTGGTTAGCGTAGTGCACTAATATTAACCATAGCCAACCCAGTTAAATTCCCAGCCACGATGGAGGGTCACATGCGAATCGGTCCTGGCCCTCATTTCTTCACTAAACCACTGACCAGCATGGTGAAATATGGTCAAACAACCCGCAATACCGATTACGGCATGGAAAACCCGTCATTCAGTAACATGGATTGACGATGGTTTGAAAATTACGAATGATTATTCTCACCATCTTCATTTCAAATCAAATGAAAGTCTTCCCTTGTGGTGAATGCCATGAGTTATCCTTGAAGTACTTTCTTAAAATTAATCGTCATGCATAAATGCTGTGAGAGCCACCAAAGAGATTAAACTTCACCTCTAAGCAGTGCAAGCTTCTAGAGTGGCATTAAACAACACAATCCACAGTGGTATGAAATTTTAACTTCCAGCCCATCTTCAATCCACTGCTGGATGAAGGACTTCCCAAGGCTCGGGAGGTTTTTGTTGACCGTATTGTGGCACATTGGTTAGTCCGTGGGTTGGTGAAGGAGACAGTCCGGGACTGGTTCAGATACCACTCGCCACGGACGTTAGCCATGGCCAGGATTCAAACTCAAGCCGCTATGCTGCACCACTGCTCCACCGCACAGTGGTATAAACAAGTATATCATGGGAAATAATTAATTCAAACAATACCCGCTAATTACTCTTCGGTTTTCACGCACGCGATTCAACGCACGCCCATCAGGCGCGTAGGAATAGGCGTTTGAATCGACGAACAGTCACTTCTCTACTGACAACACAAACATCACAAGCGTAGGAGAGAAGTGGACATCTTTAAACGACTGGACATCTGTGAACGCGAGCTTCGTAGCTCATCGGATTCCTTCCGTGGGGCACACAGATCAAAGCGCAGCGGGAGGCAGAGGCAGCAGAGTTACGGGTGGAGCGCCGGCGGCAATCCGAGGCGTCGCCGGCTCACCTTCATGATGTCGCGATCGTCGTCCGAGGCATCCTCGCGCCGGTAATGAGCCAGCATCTCGCTCAGCAGCTTCACGTTGCCGTCCACCTCCTCCACGGCCTTGATCCTCTTGCCGACACGCTCCATGCGCGCCTGGTCCTGTGTGCAGGGGGGCCCCCCCGTTGTTTACGCTCCGCTAAACAACCGCCCGCGCAATGCCCCCCCCCCACACACGGCATCGCGAGGGGCGGCAGATGTCTCGACAACACGGTCTTGACGGGCATCGCTACGTACGGTGCGAAAGACGTTCGACATGCATGAGTAGCCATTTTCTTTGCTCAGGTAACGATGCAGCCCTGGAATTTGTTGCTCGCGCCACCGCCGGTACAGGGAGACCTCTATCGAGCCCCCTCTCGAGAGGGCGTTCGGCCTACGCTTCCACGCTGGCCAGGCGGACTGGAAGAGGTGGAGCTTCCACGCTCTACCCCACCGCACGCGACCTGCCCTACCACTGCCTGTGACGTTACCCATTTATACTGCTCCGTGGACAGAGGCGGGTGGGGTGGAGATTTAATAAAATCGCACCGTTGTATGAAACGCCATGGGGGGATAACGGAAGCGGCAACCCCTGGATCGGAAGCCCGGCGTGCTGACCATCACACCACTGTGGCGGCATTCTGATTTTTCTTTGGTAAAGTAAGCAAATAGTTGCGATTTGATTTGTTTTCAACTTCCACAGATGGTGCTAGACGAATCGACACGACGCTCTCCCCAATGTGTGACCTCACCTCCTTCACCATGGTCTTAATAAGCCTGTTGGCAGCCTGCAGGTCTTCGGGATTTTTACTCTTGAGCAGTCGGTCCAGCAGCTGGAGAGAGAAGGAAAAGGCAAGAATCAACGTGCGGTGTCAATGGAAGAATTCAACCCCGCCGCGAAAGTAGGACGCTCCGTAGCAGACCCGCTACTGCTCCACCGCTAAACCGCAGTTCCCAATGGAGATGTGTGAGAATGTGGCACGGACCATTCTGTTGCGGGGGTGTTTTGGTGAAGTCTTTGCTGCGGTGTGGAGGGGTTCAAGTTTCAGTTGTACCAAACGATCGTGCCCTTGCTCTTCCGTGCGGCGTGCGTAGCAGCTCTAGTCAATTTCACGGGTGGCCGAGCAATTTAATAAAGAAATTATTTTTACCGTTCTGCCTCGTGAAATACCTGCATGTTTCACATCAATGCCGACCTTTTTTACTACTACTAGCATTATGAATATGCCTCACTATGCTGCAGAGTCTCAAGACCCATTTTCAGGAGGGTCCTCTCAAGTTTCCCCAAAAGGGTTGAAAGTTGCCCTGTGTAATCCTAATATCGGTAATTTTCAGATAATCTTTCAGCAAAGGGGATGTTTAGCCAATACTAGTTACATCGTGCGTGGTTTTAGTTTATGGGAGGAAGCCAGCGAACCTGGAGGAAACCCAATGCAGAACAGGTGAAGAACATTCAGACCCCCAACACAGAAAAGGTGCCCGGGTCAGGAAACGAACCCAGGAAAATCTTAACGTAGACACAGAATAGAGGTGGTTGCGTACCTTAGGGGGTTACAGTCAGAGCAATACACTACTGAGATTCTGGGTTCAAATCCAGGCCACAGTTATACCCAGTGGTTAAAGTGCCTTCTGGATTGTTGCCAGTTGATGGTGTCAGTCTGGCCACCAATGATTTCACAAAAAACAAAAATACTACATCTGATTTGTCGCTTAAGAACATATTTTTGCTCCACCGCAGATATTGTCGAGAGAGGCCTTTTGAGTGGCTTCAGAGGTAGCTCTGTGATGTAAACTTTTAGAGCCATGCCCTGACACAGCGTGATGAACTGCTCACTGAGATTTCCGAATGGAAATGAATTCATCTGATGATAAAGTACTTATAGCACAATAAGTAGACATTTAAAGGAACAAAAATAGGTACACAAAACAATCCCTCAATTTCATTTATATTTCTAGATACTGTAAAAGGCATACAGAATACCCAGTTTGCCAGAAATCTGGATGCGAAGGCAGCAACACAATGGCGAGAATAAACATCGATACATTTTGAAACAAACCTTCGGTTGACTTTACCTTGGCCTTTTCCTCATCCTCAAAGAGCGTGTCTTTGGGCCGTGGTGGCGGCACCAATGTTTTGTCCTCCTCGATCATCGGGTCCTCCAACACGATTCCTGCTCAAAAGCAAAAGCCGGGGGCCAATATTCACACCACGGTAGGCCCCCTGCAGGGATCCTTCCAACGGCATCATCCCGGCGCACCGCGGGATAACACAAATAACACATTTTTAATCTGGACTGAAAACGTTTTTTTTTAAACTGCTTTTTGTGCTTAGTTCGTTGTCCTCCCTCGCACCCACGATTAGCAACGGTTGGCTACGTACGGTGCGCAAAAAAGTTCAATATAAACATACATACAACATTCCCGCGTGCTGGAAGCCCACGTGACGTGCGTTTAGGGATGTCACGTGGGACCACTATTCTGTACTCAGGCCTCTAGCGCTCCACCGATCTAGGGGCAAGCGCTCTGTGTGTCGACGCGATTATTATTATAACACGTGTCCATATAACGCGCGTGTCGCTAGAACGCGGTTCTTCCGTTTGAGAACACTTCTCGCACGTGGCACGTGCGCCGTTATAATGCGAATTGTGCACCATGATAACGTGGCTTCTGAGCGATCGACAAGAAAGTAGTTAATAGCAATTAACTACTTTCTTGAGCTGTGCGGCTGAGAGATACAGTGATACAGTACGCGGAATGATACAGTAACGCGGCGCCATACCCCCCAGTTAATTGTCGCACCATCTAACGGCATGTGCATTCGTCGTAAATCGACAAATTAGTACGTTATTTTATTTATGGGGAAATTGTTTAGGCTTCGCGGGATTTTCGCTTAACGGGCAACTTTTCAGGAACGCGTCTACCACGTTAAACGAGGACTTGCCGTGTAAGAGGCGGCCAGGGAGGCAGCTGGGTTGCTCAGGGTGCGAATGCTGCGGTAGCGGCACTGAGACAGCACCGATAAAATGATAGAATCAGGGAATCCGCCTCCTGTGATTAAATTGGCTCTCAGCCCAGTCACCAATGACTGCCCAAAAAAATATTAAAACGATATATACAGAATTAGACAATTAGGCTTGATTTGTGTGCAACAGATGTGCCCCTAGTATAGGAAAAATAAATGTATTAAAGCGAGTGGCGTTTTCTTCCCGGGGCTATTCTATGACAGTGTTCCAAGTATTCATTTTGTTTCTCGTGAGAGCGCCATTATACTACTACGATTAGGTAAAGAGTACAAAAAAATAAAATGGCCTTCATTTGCCCACACGTTTCTCATCAAGCTCACAAGAATAAAGAAAAGCCCACGCTAAATAATGCATCAGTGCCTGGGACGTAATCATTTAAATATGCATAAGAGCACTTCACGTGGCGCACACTGTGAACGTTGAAATGGCACGAGCCGTTAAAAAGTTTTATAATTGATACCGAGCGATGTAATTAAAGGCAAAATGTCACCGCTCGCAGCAATGGACACGAACCTTGTTTTTTGAGCATCTGGTAAGCCTCTGCGACCTTGGTCTCATCCGGCAGGGCCAGGGTCCAGCTGAATATCAGCTCGATAACTCTCTTCTTTACCTTCTCCGACGCGCGGCTCCCCAGGTACTGCCACGCGCAGGTGAGAAGGGACGGGACAACGCAGAGAGCACACTCGTTAACCCGTCACACCCTGCAATGCAACGTAACAGTTAACCCTTTATCGTTCCGAGACGTCTGAGAGTCGCAGGGTGGGTGGTGTCCCGTTCACCGCAGAATCTCAGAACGCGCAAGCGGTTAGCGTTAATTTTATTTACAGAGGCATAGCAACATTGCACTGTACTTCCCGCAGAGAGCTGTAGCGAGACGACCAGACTCTACGATAGCCGGCGCCAAACTGTGCCACGCGCTTTTTACTTCCAATTCCGTTCGGAATCGATTCGATTCCAAACGGATGAACGGTGGCGCAGCAGTTCACGCGCCGGTACTATAAACCCGGCCACTTGAGTCCGATGCCAGGTCATGGCTAACATCGGTGGCGAGGAATATCCGAACCGGTTCTAGGCCCCTCTCACCCACTTCACAAAACAACAGTGACCAGCATGGTGAAATAGGTCCAACCGACGCCAACGACCGATGCAGCAAAGCAAAGGCTTCCTTCCTCAGTGGATTGACAAATACGAGTAAATTGTTACAAAGCAAACAGATGCGACCACCTTGGACTACGGACACCAATCTCAAACCACAGACCGAGTAGCAACACCACCGCCCGCTTCTATCATTCGCCAACAGCGTTTCAGGCATTCAACGCGACCAGGCTACTCCTGAACGCTGTCCACCGGCTCACTAGCCACCCTTGACGTACGTGTGCACGCCGAAACTTATTTCTTTGGTACGTAGCCAACTGTGCCAATCGGTTGGCGACATTCACGTAACAGATGAACGTAACTGATCAACCCACCCCCCCGCCAGACGAAAGAAAGATGCAAACGAGTCGTGTTCGGAGGCCGCATCCTATACGCATCACCCAGCGCGAGTGGCCGTTGTGTGGCCGTCGTAGAACGAGAATCTGTATTAATACTGGAGGAATCCGATGAGCTATGAAGCTCTTTTTCACAGACGCGATAGACGATGCGCGGGCACAATGTTGTTGAATGTGGCGGCGCACCTTCGGTGAGACGACTTTGATGAGTTCGTTAAGGAAGCGGAACTTCCCCACTTCACTGTGGAACCGCCGATCACAGTTCTTCATGCAGGCCTCCAGCACCTGCGAGCAAAACCGCGTGAGTTTGTAAGTAAAAGCGCACGCTACTTGTTATACTGCAACAGAGAGGCATACACTGTGCAGCATGGCGACTCAAATCTTCTTGTTAAGCGCTACCAAAAATGTAATATTAAACAACACGGCTCGTTAAATATTAAACAACATGGGTTGTTGTCACGTACAATTTTATGTACAAGCAGAAAGCTTAATTATAGCAATAACTAACATATGAAATGACCGTACTTAATAACCATGAATGAATAACTACCGCCAATGTTACCTCTCTCAGGATGGCACAGTTCTGGTGAGAAATAAAATGTCTATACAACTTGTACACAGCCCACATCATTGATCTTAGCACGCGGCCAGGCTAAACCACGAGACCTGGCTAAACCACGCAGCCTGGCTAAATTAAACTGTGTCAAGTACCACGTGGCCAAGGCACAGCATTCTCAATGTATGTGTAGGCCCACTGTATATTTTATAATTCTCTCAAGCACCAGCAAGCAAGGCTCTTGGGAACACATTTTTCCAATTAAGCCTCAACAGTGATGAACATTATAAGTTTCAGTTTAATTTTGATTTAAAGCTTTCGTGATTGCAGTAATTCATATTCTTAGCTCTTTCGGTAAAGTCACGTTGAAGGGAAACAATAAAATAATAGTTTTAAATATATATTATTTTATTGTTTCCCTTCAACGTGACTTTACCGAAAGAGCTAAGAATATAAGTTTCAGTTTCTTTATTTTGGTATAGCCCTGTGAGACATTCAGCTCTTTAATCGGGTGCAACCACAACAAACGAAAAAACAAAAACACGAACAAGAAAAACATCTTAAAGTGACTATGTAAGAGGACTCTCGGTCTTAAGCTCTCACGTGAGTCTGTGTTCTCCGCCAGGCAACATAGGTACATTATATAGGCTTCATTGCGACGTTCTTACGAAGACCACATTGTGAACAAAATGTTAATTAAACAACTACTGGCCAAGTCTGTCGGAAACTAGTATGCCGAGCCAGCACAGCTGAGAATCTGGGTTAACATCTGAGCAGCCAGTGTCTGGCACATAGCGACACACCATTTAGTGAAATTTCGCAATGTGTATTTGTCTCGTGATACAACACCAAAGGCACAAGCTCAATACATTTGAAAAAGAGAACAAAATAAATAAAGTTACAATCAATTTACATAATCGACGTGTACTCTTTTTTACCTACGTGACTTTACCGAATAGAACCAAAGAGTATGGATCCTTGCAGTCACGAAAGCTTTAAATCTAGAAATAATCGACGTGTGTCAGGGAAGCTGGACACACCGACATAACTCCTGGACATCTAGCCACTGGCTCCGAGTGGAGTGGAAGCGACATGTGCAAGTTTCAAGTTTCTCTTCTTTAACCAGCAGAGAGCTCAAGACGTCGGCAGAGTCTCATCAGCGACCAGGAACGCCCGTCACTGCGAGTTTTTGACGGCGCTGGGGCAGTGCCGGAGTATCCCCCCCGAGGGCCGACGGGGCGCCAACCCTCCTGCTCACCGTCAGCGCCTGCAGGGCCTCCCACTCCTGTGGTGACTGCGCCTTGTGGCTGAGCAGTCGCGTCGCGATCTGGGGCCTGCAGGAGAACGGAGTCAAGAGACGGGGTCGTCATTACGGCGAGACTCCAGACCCCAGCTCACAACGCACAGGACCCATGCCCAACAGGATCATACTTTTAAGTCTGCTTGCTGACCTCTGTCCCCGTGAAGCCTTGGTTCATATTCTAACTACGTATCTCCTGGGGAATAGAGTTGAGAGCAATAGACAGAGCTGTGTGTGTGCCTGGGCAGGACACGTCACTCAAAAAAACGATGGCCGGTGATAAAAACTAACGTCGGAGTGGCTGCGAAATGGGGTAACGTGCCAGGAAAAATGTCCATTACGGAGATGGAGAAATGAAATTAGCTCATGTGCAGATGCTAGACAGATTGCAACATCGCAGGACAGTGTGAGATGGTGACGACTTGGGAAAGTCTTCGTCCAGCAGTGGATTGATAATGCCTCACATCATGTCAAGGCTAAGCAACTGGAAGACTTAAGAGGCCTGAATCTAAACATATCATTCCTTGTTATAGCACTTTACCATCTCCATATCCACATCTTATCTTCTTGACTCGCTTGAAACATGGGCAAAGAGTATAACACGGACCTGTGGATTGGTAGACACAAGAGGGTGGATTGGTGGACATAAAAAGGGAGACTGTGGGTGGCCTGCAAGACCAAAATTTGGCCCAACTCTACTCTTCATCTAAAAACACACACTCGCATACCCAAGGTAAACGAACCTGGACACATGGCTGAGCCATCTGCGATTGCGACAACCCTGGACAGCGTAACGTATCGCTGGGCTTGGCTCAGCGGTCGTGTGGTAACCCCGTGGGTCGTGTGCATCTGAGAGATACTGCACTGCGGATGTTGGTTACTTGACGTTAACCCTCATTCTACCTCCGACCACAAAGAAGACTGACCCTTCCAGTTCCTTGTTGATCTGGTCGCAGAAGCCCATGATGTATTCCCAGTCCTCCTGCCGGTTCATGGGGCTGGTTGCTTTGTCTGAGCACGTCACAACAATCACAATGCAATGTATTACAATTACAACTAAGAGAGGCATAAATGAAAGGTAACGCAGCAAGCTTTTGCACAGTGTCGGCACACCGAGGAAGGTTTAAATGACGTGAACAACTTCGACAAGGAAGCGATGGTCGTTTAAAACCTAAGTGAAAACGCCTAAGTTATTTATTGTTCAATGGAGCGTTCGATGGGGATCTCCCGCCTGTTTACAGACAAGAGTTCTACATTCTCACGGACGGGAGCCAGTCCATATCACAAAACAACCGCCGTTGACGTTCCACAAAGCCGCACCGATTGCATCGGACCTGGAAGATTACATTTAAGAGTGGAAGTGAAACATTCACAATGAATATGCAACGTCATTAGCCACACAAAAAACACGGTGAGTGCTGCAGAGCCACAAAGCCATGGCCGTAAATTTCAGGAAGCACGCGGATGAATTTTTGTGCAAACAAAGGCTTTTTTTTATAAGGAAAGAACTGCCATAGTGAGCAGTATTCTACAAAACTCACACGAGCAGTTTTGAGATCACTCTTACAAATACATAATAAGAAAAACTTTGCTGCTCAAACAATGAGCATGGGCTGGCATCTCGTTTTTCCTTGGTGGCCTGGGCAGTGTTGCGCAAATTCCACATTTGAATCATTTGGCGGGACCCCATGGTCCCGCAAAACTCAGGTCAATAATTATTATTATTGTTTCAGTCCGCCCACTCGTGATCCCCACAGCAACGCGTCGCCCGCCCAGACTCGCGCCAACAAGCGCCAGCAGCAGCAGGCGGCGATCGACACGACGGGCGCCACCCCACCGGCCAAACGCAAGCCCGGGGGGGCGTCCGCCGCAGTCGCGAGCGGCGACGACGCCCTCCGGTCAGCCGTCGATCCTCGGCTTCTTTGCCAAGGCGAGCCCGCCCCCCAGGCAGTGAATTTAATGTGTTTATGTAATTTTTCAACTTTTTTACGAAACTTAGTGTCCCCGAGTAGGTCTCGACGAGGCCAATCGATTGACGCTAGTTTTGTTGTCGGTAAGGCAACAAGACTCGTGTCGTTACGCGGTTTTTCCCACCCCGGGGGAGTGATGGGACCCCGGGGTCCCACCAATTGCTTCATTTCTTGGGCGGCTGCCAGGGTTGCCTTCGAACAAGATTGTGGTGTCATTCTACGGGGCTACTGATCGATGGCATTGTGGACGGATAACGATTCCCCGGAGTTTACCTCAGACCGAGATTTTTAACACCGGACAATGATGCAGCATTGTAAACACGTGGGTGCGGGAATATCGCACTGCAAATGCAATGCAGTGTAAACTCTTTAAGCCGTTTGTATTATTTTTGCTCACCCAGGGCTACGACTATAAAACACCGCTGACGATGTCACATTGCAACGCACACCTCCTCTGTAACTGAAATAATAAATTGCATTGACAGGTACGACGACTTCGCTACAATTAAAACCATACAGCGTTGGCAGGTTAAAAAAAAACAACAATAAATATTCCCCTCTGGAAGCGGATTCAATGTGGCTAAGATGCAGCGATGTCAAAAATATATTCGCAACCAATATTATCCATAAGAGGTGTTTTCGGTTAGATCACGTAAATGTTTATCCCTCAATTCATTAACGAAGCAGAATGATTTCTCCACAAATCTGGCTGGCGCCTGATGATGCTGGTTGTTGTAATCACCCAGCGAAATGTCACGGTACCCAATTTTACTCTCCAACAACACAGCGGGGACGCTGTCCTCGTCACGAATTGTTGGCACGTTCTGTTTCCGTGCCTACTTACTAATTACTGGCCGTGTCGGGTGGTTGGTGGGTTTAACGACACGCATTTATAGTTTCGAGATCAAACCCCGCTCACCCCCCCCGCCCCCCCCCCAAAAAACCCCCCAGCTCTATGATGAAAACAAAAATGCGTTATACCCTCGAAGCGGTAGGGGGCTTCGCTTGGCTGCGGGGGGTTACGAACTGAGAGTGACCTCACCGCTCGTGCAAGACGGTGGTGGCACCGCTACTGCTGCTACTGCTGCTGCTTGCTACTGCTGCTGTTGTTGCTGCTACTGCTGCTACTTGCTGCTACTGCTGCTGCTACTTGCTGCTGCTACTGCTGCTGCTTGCTGCTGCTGCTTGCTGCTGCTACTGCTGCTGCTACTGCTTGCTACTGCTGCTGTTGCTGCTACTGCTGCTGCTACTGCTGTTGCTGCTACTGCTGCTTGCTCCTGCTGCTGCTGCTGCTGCTTGCTCCTGCTGCTGCTGCTACTGCTGTTGCTGCTACTGCTGCTGCTACTGCTGTTGTTGCTACTGCTGCTGCTTGCTGCTACTGCTGCTTGCTCCTGCTGCTGCTTGCTACTGCTGCTGCTACTGCTTGCTACTGCTGCTACTGCTGCTTGCTCCTGCTGCTACTGCTGCTGCTACTGCTTGCTCCTGCTGCTACTGTTGCTGCTTTCTGCTGCTGCTTGCTGCTACTGCTGTTGTTGCTGTAACGTGCGCGCCAATGGAACGCCGATTGGGCAATCGATACGAATGTCAAGGCGATTGGTGAGACAGACACACACACAGGCATCGGCAACAGCGGAGACGAGGAAACAACGGGAAGTTGTCTGCTGTTCGCACTACAAGTGTTTTCATTAAGCGCACACACATCCGTGCAGACAATATACACGCACGTGTAAGTGCGCACACATGAATTCATAGCCGTGAACCCCTTATCGGTACCTTATGACAGACCAATTCACACCTTATAAATATCAACGTTCATCTTACAACGTCCCATCACAAGGGAGAAACACAAACAAATATACAAAACGCCCGCATTGAAACGGCTAGTACGCCGCACGGGTCTGAATACGGGGTAATCCGCATGGGTTGCCGGGTATGTAAATATAAGCAACAACATGTACGCAATGTACATTACAGAAAGACACACGTGCACCAGACCTTTGCCATACAGACTGATGGTTAGCGCGCACCTATCACGGGGTTGTCGTGGCCAGAGCCACGCTCGGCCGCCTTGAACTGCATCGCGGCAAGGCCGAGAGAGAGAAAGAGTCGACCTCGAGGAGGAGAAGGAGGAGGAGAAGGAGAAGGAGGAGAAGGAGAAGAAGGAGGAGGAGAAGAAGAAGAAGGAGGAGAAGAAGAAGAAGGAGGAGGAGGAGGAAGAGGAGGAGAAGAAGGGGGAGAAGGAGGAGGAGAAGGAGTAGAAGAAGGAGGAGGGAGAAGGAGGAGGAGAAGGAGGAGAAGAAGGAGGAGGAGAAGAAGGCGGAGGAGAAGAAGGAGGAGGAGGAGAAGGAGGAGGAGAAGGAGGAGAAGAACGAGGAGAAGGAGGAATATTCACCGATTCAAACACCCGCCCGCCACTGCGATTATCTGCGTCCGGGAATCACGGCGCCACCGATGAGACGGACGACTCACAGTGAATGACAAGCACAAATCGTGAAGCAATTACAGGGACAGAGAATGAATTCCAGAAACGCAGGGGGGAGAGATCCGCGTCCAAGGCGGGGGGGGGGGGGGGGCGAGGGCGGGGGGGGGAACCGGGGGGGGGGGGGCCGGGCGTGGTTAGGAAACACGTAAGGCATCGCAGCGGCCTAGTAACCTGCTCACGCAGGGAGCGCCGCTACTCGACAGACTCAACGGAGGCGAGCGCCGCCGAGGTTGAAGGCTGCGGGTGGGACGCGAGGTGGCGGCGATCCCGCACGGAACGCGACAAGGAGACGAGACGACTCACTGAGCCACGACTCCAGGCTCTCCTCCTCCACGGCCGCCATTGCCAGCGCCGTGATCGCGAAGCGAGCGGCGCGAGAGCGCTCGGGCGATCAGCTGATGACTCCACGTGCAGGGCCCCCCCTCGCCCCTCCCCTCGAGCCCCTCCCCTCGAGCCCCCCCCCTCGAGCCCCTCCCCCCTCGCGCCCCCCTCCCCTCGCGCGCCCCTCCCCCTCGCGCCCCCCTCCCCTCGCGCCCCTCCCCCATCGCCCCTCCCCTCTTCGCCTCCCTCCCTCCCTCCCCCCCAGGGCAGCGGGGGGGTCTGCACCTGATTCTTGTGGCTGCAGATGCAGAGCGGCGTCACGAGCACGCTTCAGGTGGCTTTCAGACCGCATCCATTATTTTAGTGTCCCCCCCCCTCCTCTTTTCCGAACATAGATGGACTCTTTTTGATTAAAAGCTTTCGTGACTGCAGTAATTCATATTCTTAGTTCTTTCGGTAAAGTCACGTTGAAGGGAAACAACAAAATAATAAAATATATATAAAACAATAAAAATTCTCACGACACACGTGAAGACGATCGTTTGTGTTATGGTCGAAACGTCGCGATAATTTTTATTGTTTTATATATATTTTATTATTTTGTTCCCCTTCAACGTGACTTTACCGAAAGAACTAAGGATATAGATGGACTCGTCCATCTAAACAAACTGTCAAATCGCTGTCCGTGGTGCTAACGTTAAAAAATAAATAAATACAAACCGGCACTTCTTTCAAATGTTCTTGCCGTTGGTTTTCACACCTGATGATGACTGTTGGTGTTGCGGTCGAAACGTCGTGAGAATTTTATTGTTTTATATATATTTTATTATTTTATTGTTTCCCTTCTACGTGACTTTACCGAAGTAACCAAGAATATGTCTCCCTTCGTGTTTGCCGGTCGGGAATTGGCTCGGGATACGTCGCGCGCGCTGTTCTGGATGACCACAGTCGCACTCCACTGCTGGAGAGTTTTCACTTTGCAAGTTGTGCATCAGCTATCCGCATCTCCTGCCGTGGCTTGGAAGGAGTGGACCACGAGCTTCGTGGAAGATCAAAACCGATTATCTTCAGGTTTTGATCTCCCCGTTTTGCGGTTGAAATTATGACCAAAGACAGCCGCAGTTCGCGCTTGTGCCAGGCTAGGTGCACCCTGAGGCCACGTGAAGTGTCGAAGGCTGGCTGACACGAGGTCACGATAACCAAGCAGGGGCTACGGGTTGACTGAAGGGCCATTGCTCGGAACGTCGCCCGCCGGTTTTATTTTTAAGGCGCCGTCATTGACGAGTGTGCCCGAGTGTTCCGTCACTTGCAATCTGTAACAATAACGTGACATCTTTATGCAGCCACAACTCAAGATGCTGTGCGAAAGATTGGGACGCACCGCACAGGCTAAATGGGTGGATGTGTGTGTACACATAACCATAGCGTGTGCCTACCAAGAGACTCCATTCAAAGGCAGAGAAGAGGAAATAGATTGAGCCTGGTCTTGAAGTCCATGGCACAGAGGTCCAATTGGTACAGATAAGAGTTGGGGATTGGAGTCTCCTTCATGTGGTTGCTGTTGATGGACAGCCAATGCCGGATTATGTATCCTAGTAGCACAAGTAGCTACACACGTGTAGCAGCTACACACGTGTAGCAGCTACACACGTGTAGCAGCTACACACGTGTAGCAGCTACACACGTGTAGCAGCTACACACGTGTAGCAGCTACACACGTGTAGCAGCTACACACGTGTAGCAGCTACACACGTGTAGCAGCTACACACGTGTAGCAGCTACACACGTGTAGCAGCTACACACGTGTAGCAGCTACACACGTGTAGCAGCTACACACGTGTAGCAGCTACACACGTGTAGCAGCTACACACGTGTAGCAGCTACACACGTGTAGCAGCTACACACGTGTAGCAGCTACACACGTGTAGCAGCTACACACGTGTAGCAGCTACACACGTGTAGCAGCTACACACGTGTAGCAGCTACACACGTGTAGCAGCTACACACGTGTAGCAGCTACACACGTGTAGCAGCTACACACGTGTAGCAGCTACACACGTGTAGCAGCTACACACGTGTAGCAGCTACACACGTGTAGCAGCTACACACGTGTAGCAGCTACGGGCCCCGCACTTTCAAGGGCCCCGCGCTAAATGCTTTCGAGCTATCAATTCCGGTTCAGTGATTCTGCACTTGCTCTATTACTATAGTACTATACCGCCTTCAACTTTTAAGAACGACTGGGTGTTTAAGGTTAGCGATTTGTCGTATTATTTGGCTGTATAGTAAATGAAAAAATACAATTACTTTATTGTGCAAGTTAAACATTTGTTTTAATTTGTTTTAATTAAGGACCTCTTTATAACATATGCTAAAGGTCCCGCACTCGCTTCACCCGGCACCGTGTACACAGCGAGAACTATCATGTTGCAATGCGGCGGTTGAGCCACGTAATTGTGCGAGAAGTGGCAGAGCGTATCGCAGTGATGCCTCCCTTCGCATCTGTGAATCGGGCATTGAGTCGCTATATGTTCAATGTTGTGTTCTGGGTGACCACAGTTGCACACTGACTGGGAGAGCGATCGTTCCATCTCTGCGGATTCGCATTGCAGCCCTTGAACTTCGCGGACGATCGAAGCCAAAGTATCTTCTGCATCGAGTATTGGAGTACAAACGAATTACTTAGAGTGTACATATCACTTTTTGTACAGTATATCAACATTTATACCGTCTCCGACTCTCGCTGTGTTTTTTTTTCATTTTAGCTTCATAATGGAGGCCATAACACGACTGTGTATTTTAAAAGGTCCTTTATAAATTATTCTTGTTACAAGACTATAAATAATGGTTTTAAACAAGTTAAACAACAAAGCAGAACCGCACACGTGCATTGTTATCAACCCAGATTTTTTTAAGTCCATTACCAATCAAGGACAATCATACATTGAAACAAGAACCGTTTGAAACTTATTTTTGCAAATAAGAAACAGAAAAATTGCCAAACAAACGAGAAGCATATCAATCACACAACCCAAATCGAATACAAAACAAACATGTGACTAGAAAATGGAATGCCATATTCGGGGCAAAGACGGGCAGATTGGGTTAAGCCTCTTGAGAGAGCACGAACCTGCCCATCATTCATTCAAAACAACACCGAATGGAAAATCAATCATCACGCACATTCAGCGAAGGGCCGTTGCGCCAAACGTGTGACCTCTTGCGACAGCATTCGCAACAACAAAAAACCGCTCTCGCTGCCGCGTGCACCGATGTCTCGATTGATTTGTTTGACCCACGGATCATGAGGGGGCTACCACGTGGGCGGTGCCATTCCTTCTGAGGGTCGCGGTTCGCTCCGATACGTCGTCCGAACGTCGATCGCCAACTGAAGTGAGCGCAGTTTCGCTGCGGGAGTTTACGCATCGTGACGGGACGACGTGTCCACACAGCGACAGACGTCTCCCTTCGAACTGACTGAACGGCCGAGTCTGTTAAAATGCCCATTGAATGGTATCAGCCTCTCTTATTAATATTCCGTGCTGGACACACACAGCTGGCAGGACGGATCTGGAACAAAATTAATTATTTCGGCTATCACAGCAGGGCGACTCCATCTGCTGACGGTCACTCTCACTCTGTCCCACCCACAGTCTCTCCCCACCGAGCGTGGAGAAAAAGAAATGGGCACTGCTATAGGATGGCGTCTCATTCATCTCACCAAATCAATGGGCCAGACTCTAAAGGGATCGGGACATGCCAAGCAAACAGGTCTGCCATGTCCGCTCATTGGTCACGATAAAACATTATTCAATAGAGACTTTAGTGGAAAAAACATTTCAACAAAATCTTGCCACACGCTAACCACCCAGATTAAAAACAAATCACAATTTCAGGCTAAGTAAGCTACTACAAACCAACAAGGTAGATATGTCTGCATATGTACAATCATTTTCGTTAAATGCTAAATCCCTTTTCATTGCAAGACATTCCACAGCACCAAGTAAAAAAAACCTACCAAACGCAAGCCTCACCTCACCCGAGAGGGCTCAACTCAAATGGTTATGCATGGAAAATCCTTGGCAGGAAAGACGTTTTATTTTATTCCCAAATCGTTGGACTTAAAACAGGCGAGCGAGTGAGGAGCCGGCGGGTTTGTGACGCGTCGTGTGGAGCTCAGACTTCGGAGTTTTAGGGGGCCGCTCCCCCCCCCAAATGTCCTGCTTTATAACGGCTTAAATGCAATACTGTATCCATGTCATACATCCTATAGGCAATATGATATAATTATAGCCAAAGCACCGCCGTGTATTCCCCACCAAATAATGTGACACATTTTAAATTAGTTTTGTTAAACTTGTTCTGTTTAAATAACCACACTGAATGACAACAATGGAGTGTTTGGCACCGGGCATAGGTGATGATGATGATGAAAAAAAGGTAAGAAATTGAAGATACAAAGAGGACCCCCACCGCCTCCCTAAACTATAACAGCCCTCGGGCCGCTCCCCCCCATCAAACTTAATCTGGCCCTGCCGGCCAACGGCCGTGGTCTGAGCTCGCGAGTTCCACGGAAAGCGCAAAGACCGGCTCCTCTCTCGGGCGCGTTGGGCGAACTCTGCGAGTGACGGCCACCAACACGGAACGCCATTGGCTCCACACACATATTTGGCCCAGATGCACAATCGAGACTCTTTTTAGTTTCGTTTGTCTGCACAGTGGTCCCGACGGCGATGCTTTCAAGTAATCGCACGCAACTCGCCACTTGCACGCGCATGGGATCGACGCAAGGCGGACGCGATCATTTTAACGTCGCAAAATCAGCTTCACGTGTCAGCAAGCCGGGGGGGGGGGGGGGACACGTCTGGAACTTTAAGCACGGCCTCACGCAGGCCTGTATTAGACGTGTACAGTATTTGGATGTTCACAGGTATCTTTCCCCCCACCCCAAAGATCAACTTGCTCATCTAAGCTGGACGTATCCAAACTCTCGTCGTCACTCGTGCAATGGCCCACATTTCAACTTCACCAATCTTCCGCAATTGTGTGAAATTTAGTTTTTTTAAAGATATTGCGTAAACAGTATTTGATTTTAAGAAAAAAAACAGCACCACGGCTGGAAACGAGAATTATAATTTGGGAAGCCTGGTCTAAAAGGAACTGGCAGACATGAGGCCCACATCGGCTTAATTAAATCAAATAGTTCTACGCTCCAATATAGACGTATAAAAGTACATATGCCTTAAAATAGAAGTGGTGATGGCGTCACCATTGCACAACATCAACTACGAGCGCCCTCAACCTGCCCGCCGCGTGCGGCCGATGCGGTGGGACAAACAACCCCACCGCCGCTCCTCCCGAGCCGGTCTGGCTCGGCACGGCGCCGGATACGGCTCGGTCGCGCAGCGGGGAAAGTGGAGGATCTCCCACGAGACTGCGGGCTTCTCTCAAGCGTCACATCTGCAGAGTGGCTTTCGGCTTAAAAAAAGGGATTTGAAACGGATGACAGCGCCCCGAGGACTCGACGTGCCACCTGCTGCACTCGTGCGGACGCACTGCCCAACTGCGCTCGGCGCTCGGGGCACGGATCGGCAGACAAAATCAATGGGATGCGGCCAGAATTGAGCATCGCCCCTGAATTACACTGCAGACGCACATCGACCTTGAAAGTGTCATTCTAAGGAATTTATCAAACGCTTTAACTTGCATTTGTGTGCACGGTTGATATCAGACGTATTTACTTATTGAAGCTCTCTAATTACAGTATCGATAAACATATGTGCTGTTCTCAAATTCTCTTTTGAAAAACAATACGGTATATTTTCTATTTGCATTGAGTGCTTGATTTTGGTATTTAAACAAAAAAACGTGCCAAATTATCCTAATAGTGGTCCACAAGCTCAACCCATGACAAAAGCCACCATATATAAAATGGAAAAAGTAACGATATTTTATATCAACGAGCACCGAAATAACCTAAAGCCCCCAAGGCTTAATAATATCGTCCCATTTGCACGGCACACAGTTGTATTTACACAGAACCTGATAGCTCCCTTTGAGATCATCAGCACACCCACACCAGTGTATACTCAACACAAAAACCTCACAATCGCCAAATCGAAGCCGTGTCTTGTTGAGGCTCAATGTGGGCAGAGAATGCGAGGAAATGAAAAAGTTCGGTTTGAGCGACCTCTTGACTGCGCGGCCACAAGACGGGTCACGCGCCAATGCGGACTCTCGTGCCCGAGCTCAGCAGGACAATTCCCAAGACGGCGAGTTGCGCATAGAAGCCGTGCGGAGGCGCGCCCGCTCTACGGGAATGACAGAGACCCAGGGACTTGGGTGGCGAGGGCTGTGCACCCACAACGCCGTCCACGAATGTGAGCAGGAGTCAAGAGCTGGGGGTTGAAAGGCCGTGCGAGACTCTTGATGTTGGAAGCCGAGCCTCCAATCATGGATAACAGAAAAATAATGTGCACACAGACAAGGATCTGCTTTACCCCGTGTAAAGATGACATTTTGGTCAATCAGATTGCGGGGCCTTATGGATCAATCTTTTCCAACAGCATGCGGTAGCAGACCGATTTCGACTTTATGCTTCTCGTCAGCAGGGTGCAGCCCGTTAAACAAATGCCGCCGGGTTTCCTGACGCTTCCGTTCACATGCAGGAGACGTCACAGCGCCATCGGCATGCGAACGGACGCTGGTCCACTAAACCCGGCACTCGCACAAAATGGGAATCCGTTACCCCGATTCCATCTTTAATCGGAGGTGGGCTCGAAATCCAACTGCTCAGAGAGAGCCCGATGTGTGTTGTAGCAGCCGTGCTATGCGGTCAACTCAGCGATATTACGGTGGGCTCTCGTACGCAATGCCGAGAGGTGACGTCCAAACCCAACGGCTCCAACGTCACCACAACTCCTCGGGACGACGTGGGGGGCTGCCTTGGAAGCAAGCGGATTGTAAAACTGGCGATGTTTAAAAGCACACGTGGAGAGGTGAGAGTGAGTGAGCTATAAACGATCGCATGCGAGAGAATGCCAAAAGTGCAGCTTTCATTATAAATGTGTTCCCAACCTGTGTGCTGAAAGCAGAACGCTTATCATGCTGAGAGACAGCCGTAAAACCGAGGTCATTCGTGATGTGTGCACGTATATATAACGCAACCCTTTTGACGGGAGTTGGTTCGGATGTATGCGCATTCCTTCAAAACCTGAACGTGTAAGCAAGACAGTAATGAGTACTATAGCTAAAATTGCTTTATCTATCATCGATTTTTCTTAAGTAACTGTGTGCAAAATATACCTTATAGAAGACATCTGTTCATGTAACATCAAACGTATATATATCAGTATATTGAAACAAAAAACTGAAATTTACAGTATGACGACCATATGAGAAAAACTAACTGAAATTTTCATATCTGAGATCTGCAACATAATTACCGACGAACGTAACTTCACGTCCACCCTGCCAGCGATGGCTGAATTCACGCTTGCACGCGTCAAGTGTCGACAAGAGCGTGAGAAATCAACGATGCGTTCACCGGCGTCTGCAAGGGAAAACAATGTACAGCTCATATCGCAAAAGCTCAGGCACTTCTACTGTAGAAAGTACAAGTGGCATGCAGGAGTAGGCCGTGATGCGCAGGGGCTCGCACGCGCCCGATGCGGGCCTGCATGCTTCTCACGCGAAGTGAAATTCATTTTCATTTTAAAAGAACGGGGCCGCGTCCGCCGTCGGCGGACAGGATACGCGGACACCGTGACGGAAACACTCTTTGTCGAGCGGAGGTCATCGTGCAGTGCAAACAACGCGACAGCCATCATCGCGCGTGAATGGACGGAGAGTTGCGGCGACGGCGATTCCAGTCGGTTGACGGGCGCGGCCGCGTTGCCCTGATGGCTGGGGACGGCGCTTAAACCTGGGTTCACGGGCGTTGCTCACAACGCAGCCTGTCGCCCATCGTGAGCGAGCGAGCGCCCTCGCGAAAAACAAGCCCAGCCCCTCCGGACGAGGATTTTCAGACGCTGTTTCCCGGGCTGCGGTGATGCGGGGGAGGAGGAGGTCACTCGGGGCGCTCCTCCGTGTGCCGCTGGAAGCGAGCGAAGCCCAGGAAGACCTGCTCCAGGGAGATCTGGCTGATGGAGTAGTCGTCGAGGCAGTAGTCTCGCTTGGCCTTCTCCAGCATCCCGAACACCTGGCGGGGTGCACGTACCGGGGGATGAGCGGGATGAATCCACCAAAAAAAGATTTTCATTTTACCAGGTAAGGCCCAACTTAGCTTTCTTGCTCTTTTCGAGAAGCAGTGGGGTCCTGTTCTGGCGCTATGGCTTGGAAGTGGCTGCTGCTGTCGCTTCCACTACCCGAGATACCGCAATTCCTGATACCCGCAGGTTATATAATAGCAACAGTAATACAGGGTGCTTAAAAATGTTGTTAACACTTCTGGAGAATTTGCCACAATATCACAAGAAATGTGCTGCTGCCTCCGGGCTCTGGAGAGCACCTTGACAAGATTCCAGGCACGTGTTGACAATGATGGCGAGCAAGTGGAGACTCGTTGACTTTTTGAAGCTATTAACAATACATTTGTTATCATGTTAGAGTGTATTATCCATTAATTTTCCATTAAAAACGATAGTGCCATATAAGTGTTAAAACATTTTTGAAGCACCCTGTATTACGACATTGCCTTGTGATTACAGGATCACAACATTTGTGGATTGCCTATTTGCAAGCATACAGTGCAAACTATTATTTAAATTAATGAAATAATGTACAGCCTCTTGGTCAAAATCCACTGTTGGATGAAGACTTCCCCGTGCCATGTCGGTTCTTTGCCGTGCATCACCGCCCTTGGTAACTACAGGATGGCGACAGCGGTGGGTTGGAAAGCTGCCACTTGCCACTCAAAAGTCAGCCGTGGCTGGGATCGGTTTGCGAGGGTTGACAGCTCAGAGGAGCGATCGCGACGCGCGTGCTGGTGGCCGTGTTTTTCTGGACGATTGCCGAGTGAGTACCTGGGCCCAGCTCATGTTCATGTCGGTCAGGTGGTAGTGAACCAAGCCCTGGTGCTGGTCCTTTAGGATGCTGCCTGCAATCGGAAGGAACGACCCCCACAACAGACGTAACATAAAATCAAGAACACAGAAGCGTTGTTTCTGCCAGTGTCATGTTGCGTGACACTTGATATCTGCACTGGAAAGATCAGTTTACATTCCTGCCAAACCCGTATCAGTGCCTACCATATTACAGACCAATTCAAACCTCATTAGTCATCCCGTGCCCTTAGAAATCTCAACGTTCATCCTAAAAAGTCGGATCACAAGGGAGAAACACAAACAAAGACAAAATAAAATTGCCCTAATGAAAGAGCTGTACGCTGTATGGACCTGAAAACTTTATTTCCCTGTACAAGAATACTGGGTAAAACCGTATGGGTTGACAGGAATGCATTCAACCGTTGCACTGTGTACTCTGTAACCTGACACTTGGGTCAGCTGCATCTCACGAGAGAAAATCGAGATGAGACTTTCGGGGTAATTTAATTTTTGTACGAATGGCAATGCCAGTTGTACCTCACAGTCCAACTCGATACGCACAAATCCATCACGTGTTGCAATTACATGGACATCGAGTCAATGCAATGTCCTTAAGACAGACATAAAACTGTATCTTGTATATAAATAATTATTATTTACAGGCCTTTGTCAATCAACTGCTGGATGAAGGCACCTCCATGCAGTGCTGTGTCATCATGGGGCTTGTTTGACCATACTTCACCATGCTGGTTAATTCCTTCGCCCTTTCTCTCCGCTCCGAAGTGGTGCCACGCGACCCAAAACATCAGCCGATGTTTTATCTCTGTGTTAAGGCATTTTATCTCTCTGTGTTTTATCTCTGTGTTAAGGCATTTTATCTCTCTGTGGTTTATCTCTGTGTTAAGGCATTTTATCTCTCTGTGTTTTATCTCTGTGTTAAGGCATTTTATCTCTCTGTGGTTTATCTCTGTGTTAAGGCATTTTATCTCTCTGTGTTTTATCTCTGTGTTAAGGCATTTTATCTCTCTGTGTTTTATCTCTGTGTTAAGGCATTTTATCTCTCTGTGTTTTATCTCTGTGTTAAGGCATTTTATATCTCTGTGTTTTATCTCTGTGTTAAGGCATTTTATCTCTCTGTGTTTTATCTCTGTGTTAAGGCATTATATCTCTCTGTGTTAAGGCATTTTATCTCTCTGTGTTTTATCTCTGTGTTAAGGCATTTTATCTCTCTGTGTTTTATCTCTGTGTTAAGGCATTTTATCTCTCTGTGTTTTATCTCTGTGTTAAGGCATTTTATCTCTCTGTGTTTTATCTCTGTGTTAAGGCATTTTATCTCTCTGTGTTTAATCTCTGTGTTAAGGCATTTTATCTCTCTGTGTTTTATCTCTGTGTTAAAGCATTTTATCTCTGTGCCAAGGCAATGCTCCCCCGATGAGTGTTTTTCCGATTGACTTTTTGTTGACACATCGAGTTTCTCCCGACTTCCCCGGCGGCACTCTGCTGGTGCGGAGGAACCTCCGTTGGGCTGTCCGGCGACCACCCCCCCCCCCCCCCCCCCGTACGTTCGTGGCTCGCCGTCGTGTCGACTCGACCCGTGTCCTGGTCCCTCTGCCATTCGTCTCTCGCGTCCCGATCAGTCTCCTCCAAATCTCTCCCCCCCCCCCAAACCCTTATTTTTTCGCCAAGTTGTACTTGCTTGCTTTAACGTACAATACTTTCCGCGCGTTCGTTTGTAAGGTCTGCCGCAACGCGCCCGCGGCATTTAAATCGATCGGTCGAAAGAGACGCGAACCGTGAAGCCGGCGTTCCGTTACCGGGGAAGGTGGTCTCGACAAAGTGCTTGAAGGGCTGCGTGTCGGCCTGCTCGGCGCGAATGCGCGCCAGAAGCGTATAGCCGCTGCCGTAGCGCGACTTGAGGTGCTGCTGGCTGCCCAGGCAGCGGAACTGCCCGTTCACCATGATGGCGATGCGCGTGCACAGCGCCTCACACTCCTCCATGCTGGGGAGCGCACGTGGCCGGGAGACGGGGGAGCGGACAGCGTTTGAACGGGGGGGGGGGGGGCGCTCGAAACTAATGTTGACAATTCCACATTCCTCTGGTGGGGACCGATCACTGTACACCACATCACATTCCTTATATATACTCAAAGGTGGCATATTTGATGTTTTTATCAATCTCTAGTATTCTTGGGTGTACACTGTACAGAAATCCCATGGGCTAGAACAGAACTTGGTTCCACGATAGGCAGTAAACATTTAGGTGAAACCAGTTTGTGCATATGGCTAATACAAGTGAATTGTGTTGTTGCATAATTCACTTTTACTGGAGATTTAGTGATTTGGTAAAACCAACAAATTACGTCTCAAATGCTTAAAACACACCCCACAAGGCACATGGAGCAAGTGCAAATTTAATCTAAAAATAACTCTTTTTACCAAGTAAGGCCTACTGAGCTATGTGGCTCTTTTTCAGAAGCAACCTGGCCACAAAATGACAGCTCAACGAAGTGGCTTATCACGTGGCAATGTATAGCAGCCAAATGCCCTAAACGCGTGGTGATGTTGATTCTAAATGTGGAGGGAATAAACGAAGTACCCGGAGAAAAATCCACGCAACCACGGGGAGAGAGACACGCAAACTCCAAATATTCAACAGGCGTCAGGGTCGGGATCGAACCCACGACCTCCTGCATGCCAAGCGAGGTAGTTAACATCTCCTAGCCACCGTGGCACTCACAACGCTGCACGTGCAAGATACTGGGCGCACGATGGTGCCACCATTTAAACTATAGGTAATGTGTTCTCCAGATAAACAAGGTGCTGCGGAAAGTAAAAAGCACCCCAAACTTTTGCCCGGTGTCAATCAAGATACATATAAATCTGATCACACGCACACTCGTAACTTTTTTTTCTAAAAATACAGGGAGAAAAAAGGCCATCTGATACGGCAATAACAATCCAGCAAACATTTACAGGTTTGTCAATCCACTGCTGGATGAAGGCCTTCCCAGAATCAATCACGTGCAGTCGTCAAGAGTAAGGTGTCTGCAGTTAAACATTGAGATGACGTCAAAATGAGAAAGTGGGCATGGCAGATACAATGTAGTAATAATAATAAATCTAATTACTAAAAATTAATCACATTCATGATCATTTGCATGAGCACACACAGATGGGGCCACACGCATAAAGAAACAAAGATCCCCCGTACAGCCTGTAACAGACTGTCGGGGCAGGTGCCGTCGGCGAGCACCTACGAAGGCCGGCACGGCACACGAGGGGGTGGGTGGCCAGCACCACGCCCGGCCGCCTCATGACGCGAACGCACCACGCACCACGCACCACGCACCTGTGCGAGGTGATGACGAGCGCCCTGCCCTCCTCGCGCACGCGGCTCAGCGCGTCCCACAGCAGCCGCCTCGCCACGGGGTCCATGCCCGTGGAGGGCTCGTCCAGAAACACGACGGGCGGAGAGCCCATGAGCGCCACCGCCGTGCTCAGCTTGCGCTTGGTGCCACCGCTGCGTCGGTGCGGAGGCGCCACCCGGGGCACGCGCCACGGCACGGCGGGACATCGTCAGGCGTGACGAGGGGTGGGGTTGCAGGGCACAGAAGGAAGTGGCAATGCACGAAGGCATAGCTGTGAACCGCTGATCAGCGCCGACCTTATCACAGAACAACTCACGCCGTATTGGTCACCCCGTTGCCGCCGCAGAGCGGCCGCCGTGGCGCGCGAGGCCCACCTGTGCACGCGAGGCCCACCTGCGCGCGCGAGGCCCACCTGTACGTGAGGCCCACCTGTACGTGCGAGGCCCACCTGTACGTGAGGCCCACCTGTGCACGCGAGGCCCACCTGTGCACGTGAGGCCCACCTGTGCACGTGAGGCCCACCTGTACACGTGTGGCCCACCTGTACGTGCGAGGCCCACCTGTACGTGAGGCCCACCTGTGCACGCGAGGCCCACCTGTACACGTGAGGCCCACCTGTACACGTGAGGCCCACCTGTACACGTGAGGCCCACCTGTACACGTGAGGCCCACCTGTACACGTGTGGCCCACCTGTACGTGCGAGGCCCACCTGTACGTGAGGCCCACCTGTGCACGCGAGGCCCACCTGTACACATGAGGCCCACCTGCGCGCGCGAGGCCCACCTGTACGTGCGAGGCCCACCTGCGCACGCGAGGCCCACCTGCGCGCGCGAGGCCCACCTGTGCGCGAGGCCCACCTGTACGTGCACGCGAGGCCCACCTGTACGCGAGGCCCACCTGTACGTGCACGCGAGGCCCACCTGTACGTGCACGCGAGGCCCACCTGTACGTGCACGCGAGGCCCACCTGTACGTGCACGCGAGGCCCACCTGTACGTGTGGCCCACCTGTACGTGTGGCCCACCTGTACGTGTGGCCCACCTGTACGTGTGGCCCACCTGTACACGTGTGGCCCACCTGTACGTGTGGCCCACCTGTACGTGTGGCCCACCTGTACGTGAGGCCCACCTGTACGTGTGGCCCACCTGTACGTGCGAGGCCCACCTGTACGTGAGGCCCACCTGTACGTGAGGCCCACCTGTACGTGTGGCCCACCTGTACGTGTGGCCCACCTGTACGTGTGGCCCACCTGTACGTGAGGCCCACCTGTACGTGTGGCCCACCTGTACGTGTGGCCCACCTGTACGTGCGCACGAGCTTGTCGGCGTACGCCTCAACGAGCAACGCGCGCAGCGCGTCGTCCACCATGGCCGGGATGAGGCGCTCGGGAACGCCGCGCAGGCGCGCGTACATCCACAGCGTCTCGCGGCCCGTCATGTGCTCCAGCAGCCCGTCAAACTGCGGGCAGTAGCCGATTCGCTGCTGCACCTTGATTCGCACACACACACGAGCGCGCAACCGCGATTCCAGTCAAGACGCGGGAGACGTTACTCCGCCCGTCGTCGTCGTCATCGTTAACGTCGGTCTCCGCGTCCAGGTACCGCCTGGGTCGCTTGGTAAGTAAATCTTTTTTCGTGTTTAGTTTGTTGTCCTTCCCCCGCAACCTCCCATCAGCACGGTTGTGTGCGTGCATGTTGAAGTTCCGTCACACCGTCCGTAACCAACCGACCGTGCGAAGCGTACGGTGCGAAAGAATTTCAAAACTTGTAACTTATGCAATCAATGGTCGAACAAAAAAGCAAAATAAAAATCCCGTCACGAATGCGTGCACATCGGTGTCGCACAGAGGACATCTCGCACCGATGAAATCGGCTTTGACGGCACTGGCCATGAGCCAACATTAAAAGTTCCGTTGCCTGGAGCCCGGTGTCTCGCTTTGATACCCCAAACGTGGAATTTGCTTGCACAGTTTCAACGAGAGAGAGAGAATAAATACGGATCGGGGTTTACAACGGTGATGACTTAAGAAGTGTGTGAACCCCGGCAGGAGTAGACTCTTTTCAGTTCGTCACCCAAAGGTAAGACCTCTGAAATGCCTTCAAAGCGACGTCTATAGATGTCCACTTGGTACGTGTCGACGGATCGATTCATCAGAGAAAAAAAAAACAATTACAGCCCTCACTTTTTGTACGCACCAAATTGCGCGTGGCAGAATGTAACCGGTTTCGATACGTACACGCCGTGTGTAACTGGGACCGTGCAAATACTCTTGCTTTTAAAGATGCCTCCTTTTACCAACATAGAAAAGTGTATATATTTTTTTTATCGAATTGGGATCCTAAAACCACGACAATCAATCAAATCACAAGAGTGGAATCGTGACATGCCTTTCGTTGACTGCCCATTCAGGACGAGTAGGGAGATAAGGGTTGTTGCGTACGCACCGAAACACTGGCTCATAAATATAAAAGGATGAAGAAAAAGCAGGCATTTGCATGGCAAGTAAGAAGAATCATGCATTCGCATGGCTGATGTAATGCTACACAACATGCGTAGGAAGTATTCAATTGCCTTTATGTAAGCCAACCGACAGCTGTCAGGGCAAGACGCGTTTGCAGTATTATTTTAGCACTGGTTTGGTTATCCAATTTGCGGGCAATAATTTAATCCATGAGGCCGTTTTTCAATCGGAAAAGTCTCTAAAATAGCAACACAACTTGATGCTAAAGTTGAGTTCACATTGAATCGCCTTTATCAGAGCTATTGTGCCCCCCCCCCTTACCAGACATCCGTGAAAACTACCGGACATCTGTGAAAAAGAGCTTTATAGCTCATCGGATTCCTTTAGTATAAAAAAATAGATATTAATATTTTATATCTATAAGGATTCTGATAAGGACAGACAGATGGATGGACAGACAGAGCCAACACGCAAACGCTTTCAACCTCAGCTGGAAAGCGTTAAAGCAAATAAACAAAATAATTATTACTCTTTGGTTCTATTCGGTAAAGTCACGTAGGTAAATAATAAAACAACAATAATCACGACGTTTCGGCCACAACACAAGCGGCCTTCATCAGGTGAAGGGACGAGCCTGTCTGGAGGACCCCCCTAACTTGCCGTGCTCATCGACTCCATCGTTTTCGCCGCCGCCTTCGACCCTCACCACCCTCATCAACTCTCACCACCCTCATCGACTCTCACCTCCCTCACCACCCTCACCACCCTCATCAACACTCACCACTCTCACCACCCTCACCACCCTCACCACCCTCATCAACTCTCACCTCCCTCATCGACTCTCACCACCCTCATCGACTCTCACCACCCTCATCGACTCTCACCTCCCTCATCGACTCTCACCACCCTCATCGACTCTCACCTCCCTCACCACCCTCACCACCCTCATCAACACTCACCACTCTCACCACCCTCACCACCCTCATCAACTCTCACCTCCCTCATCGACTCTCACCACCCTCATCGACTCTCACCACCCTCATCGACTCACACCTCCCTCATCGACTCTCACCACCCTCATCGACTCTCACCTCCCTCATCGACTCTCACCACCCTCATCGACTCTCACCACCCTCATCGACTCTCACCACCCTCACCACTCTCACCACCCTCATCGACCCTCACCACCCTCATCGACTCTCACCACCCTCATCGACTCTCACCTCCCTCATCGACTCTCACCACCCTCATCGACTCTCACCACCCTCATCGACTCTCACCTCCCTCATCGACTCTCACCACCCTCATCGACTCTCACCACCCTCACCACCCTCACCACCCTCATCGACTCTCACCACCCTCATCGACTCTCACCTCCCTCATCGACTCTCACCACCCTCATCGACTCTCACCACCCTCATCGACTCTCACCTCCCTCATCGACTCTCACCACCCTCATCGACTCTCACCACCCTCATCGACTCTCACCACCCTCACCACCCTCACCACCCTCACCACCCTCATCGACTCTCACCACCCTCATCGACTCTCACCTCCCTCATCGACTCTCACCACCCTCATCGACTCTCACCACCCTCACCACCCTCATCGACTCTCACCACCCTCATCGACTCTCACCACCCTCACCACCCTCATCGACTCTCACCACCCTCGTTGACTCTCACCACCCTCATCGACTCTCACCTCCCTCATCGACTCTCACCTCCCTCATCGACTCTCACCTCCCTCATCCCTTCACGCCTCCCCCCCCCCACCCCCCCGCCCCGCCGGAGCCGGGTGCCGCATCCTTGCCGAGGAGCGGCAGGAGGCGGCGCCGTGGCGGTGGTGGCGGCGCTCACCTTGCGGATGTCGGTGAGGATGCTGTAGCCGCCGATGACCGCGTCGCCCGACGTCGCCGTCTCCTCGCCCGTCAGCATCTTGAAGGTGGTCGTCTTGCCGGCGCCGTTGAAGCCCAGCAGGCCGAAGCACTCGCCTGCTGGGATCCCAACGCTGATCCCGTCCACGGCCACCAGGGGGTTCTTGACCCCGTACACCTGGTGCAGGTCATCGGGGTTGTCAATCGGGGTCGTCGCTAAGGGTCGTCGCTCGGGGTCGTCAATCAGGGTCGTCGCTCAGGGTCGTCGCTAAGGGTCGTCGCTCAGGGCCGTCGCTAAGGGTCGCCGCTAAGGGTCGTCGCTCAGGGTCGTCGCTAAGGGTCATCGCTAAGGGTCGTCGCTCGGGGTCGTCGCTAAGGGTCGTCGTTCGGGGTCGTCGCTCGGGGTCGTCGCTAAGGGTCGTCGCTAAGGGTCGTCGCTAAGGGTCGTCGCTCGGGGTCGTCGCTCGGGGTCGTCGCTCGGGGTCGTCGCTCGGGGTCGTCGCTCGGGGTCGTCGCTCGGGGTCGTCGCTAAGGGTCGTCGCTAAGGGTCGTCGCTAAGGGTCGTCACTCGGGGTCGTCGCTCGGGGTCGTCGCTCAGGGTCGTCACTCGGAGTCGTCACTCAGGCTCGCTCAATGCGTTCAGGTTCATTTGTCACCGTTCACGGTTCACGGTTGTTCCTTTTACGGTGGTCGTGATTGTTCAGGTTCACTGTTCATGTTCATTCTACACGCTCATCGCCGAGATATCATTTGTGATGGCCAGGTCGCTTCTGAAAAAGAGCTATATAGCTCCCAGTGGTCCTTATCCAGTAAAATAAGATAGTTTAAAGTAGTTTTTAAGAAAAGGAGGTTCATCTACTTGTGTTTTTGTCATTGTATATGCACACGTAAAGCCCTTTTGCCAATCCACTGCTGGACGAGGGACTCTCCACGTCCCTGCGTGGCGCAGGAGTTACTTTCGTCACACTTCACCACGCTGGTCAGCGCGAGACGGTGCAGGCCGGGGCAGCGCAGACGTGGGAGAACCAAACTACAGCACAACAACGGAATACGCCGCGCCGCCCTCTGCTGCCCACCACGTTAACCCCACAGCCTATAACACCTGTTGCTCACCGTCCAGGCTCAAGCCTGCGTAGCTTCAGCCTCCAAGATCCGACACGATGGGGCGCATTTCGGGTGAATTGATCCCAGCAAAGGCTGAGAGGAGTGCCGCCCGCCAGGGCCCCAGATCCCCAGCACCCCCCCCGCATCTCCTGACCTTGCGCAGGTCCTTGACGACGAGCTGCTCGGAGAGCACGGCCGCCGAGACGTTGGCCACGCGCAGCCGCTCGCGAGCCACGTCCTCGTCCTCCTTGGTCTCCTGCACCGGCACCTGCGCAACACGCGCCCTCCACTGCGGCGCACGCACGCATACACGCACACACGCACACACGCACGCACACACACACACACACGTATGCACACCCACACGCACATACACGCACACACACACACGCGCACACGCACGCACGTACACCAGCGCGCGTAGACACACGCACGTGTGCACGCACATGCGCGCGTGTGCACACACACGCGCATACACATGCGTGTTGGTCAGCGAGGCCCGCGAAGTCGGCGGTGCAGCGAGAGGCATTCATTTTAGGTAGCCGATCGATGCATCTCAAGAGACGTCGCGCGAAAAATTCCCTTCGCTTCATCAGGGAGATGCGCTCAGACAAAAGGGGCCCAATAAAGGGAAATCACGTAGCCTGGACCGCACAGTCACCCAACGCACGAGGCAGATGCCTGCCGAGCCGTGCAAACAGTACACACACAATGCTGTCCCGTGTCCGACCACATAGCTACACGCGAGTGAATTGAAATGGAGGATGGAGAATTTTTTGGGTAGAAACAGGTTCGCCGCATATGCACGAAATGGCACAAACAGAGCCCGCAAAGCAAGGGAAGCCTGTATATGGATTGGGGCAGATGTTGCGAGCATGCAAATAGGAGGTGCTACCTATGAGAGCTTCCATATCAGGTGCTGCCGAGTAATACTACAATAAAACAACACCACTGTATCTATAATAATGGTTTATTGCATAAAAAAACAGGTGTGGTCAGTAAAACTATAGTGTGAACAAAGACCCATCAAACATTAAGTGTATGTGAAAACCCAAGTACTAACTCAAATCGATAAATGCGAATGCTCTCTTATAATTTGCAGCGAACTGGATTTTGTTCTCCCATTTCTTTCGACAGTCTCAGCAGCTCCCTGTGCTCACTCTCCGATAAAGACCGACTCCGTTCTCTGCGTCTAGCACCAGGGCCGACAATTCCGTACTCTCATTCTGCTGCTGCTGCTGCTTCTGCTGCTGCTGCTTCTCGAGATGCGTGAAGGGGTTGCTGGCCGAAGGACGAGACTGGTGATGGAATGGCAGCGAAAGGAGAGACAACAACCAGAGGGTCGGCCACCACGGAGGAGATGCGAGCGATTTGATCGCCTCTTGCGCAGGAGCGAGACGAATTGCGGTATCGGGCGGTTTATATATCACGGCCGAGAATAATAGTGTTTATTTAACAAACAGTTTGACGACACTGAACGCTGGCTTTCTTTGATTGTGTAATTGTCTTCATCGCAAATTTGTGCGATCACATCGTGGGACAAAATCATCTTTGGGATCTCTCAGAGCCCCGACCGCACGGCAGCGGAGCTCTGATGACAGCGGCGACAGAAATCAACCCCCCCCCCCAAAACAAAAAAACCATCTCCAGATCCACGCGGCCCGGGAAACACTCACCCAGGGGTGGCGGTGGCACAGGTTGCGGCAGAGGCGCGCCAGGCTGCGGAAGGCGTTGAGCTCCAGAAGGAAAACGAGCAGGAGGTAGGCGGCACCCTGCACGGCCATGAGCGTCAGGTAGCGCCCCACGCCGTACGGCTGCCATGCCAGGTAGTCCAGCTGGTACGTGATGTCTGTTGCGGCGGGCGCAGTGCGCGAGGTGAGGGGCGGGGGAAGGGGGACGACGGCATCACGAACATGAAGCCGTCGTGCTCGTCAAGGAGCGTCAACCACCATCACGTGAACTCTGGTTCATCCTCGCAGCAGCAGCAGCAGCGGCTTGTAGGCTAACCATCGAACAAAGACGGTCACAGCACCGCACGCTTTCAGATGCGTTTCTGCGGCTGTCTGGACGCTCTTCCTTCTGATATTAGGAAGCCAGTGGAGCTATACAATTTTAAATCATCATCGTCCAGATTGATGCTTTTTGATTTTAGTTTATTGCCCTTCCCCTGCACCTACCTCCGATTAGCAAGGTTGGCTAGGCATGGTGCGAAAGAAGTTGAACATAGAAACATACATACAACATACATACACACATACAACATACATACACACATACAACATTCATACATACACACATACAACATACACACACACACATACAACATGCACACATACACACATACAACATACATACACACATACAACATACATACACACATACAACATACACACACACATACAACATGCACACGTAAACACATACAACATACATACACACATACATACATACACACATACACAACAACAACAACCGCCATTCGACACGTGAAGTGTCGAACGCCCGCGGGCAGGAGGTCACGGGGCAGACCCAAGTGCCACGGGTCGACTGACTGAGATGACTGAGATGACTGACTGATGCACCACCTGTGCCCCCTACTATGCCAATCTGCTGTGCTTTAGCCACCCGGCGCTCCGCTCGTTGTTGTGGGCGTCGCTCCTCCGCCCTCCGTTGTTGTTGGAGGGCGACTACCTCCAACTGCCCAGTAGTGTCCTTCACGAGCCTCCTCCACAAAGGCCGATCTTGACACCGCTGGTACCAGTCATCGGCAAGTCCACTCAGCTCCACGTCCTCCTGTACCACATCACTCCATCTCTTCTCTAGCCCGTGCCGCGCCCGTTTAGCCCTCTCGATCCGGCCGAACAAAAGCTGTTTCAGCATGCGGTGGCTGGGCATGCGGGCTACATGACCCAGCCAACGCAGCCTTGCCTGCCGGAGGAGCTCACCGATGGGACCTTGCCCAGATCTTTCAAGGATTTGTGAGCTCCTCACACAATCCAGCCTGGTTAAACCCCGGATGGATCGTAGGCAGGCTAGCCTAAATGTTTCTAACCGGCGAAGATGTTCCATTAGGGGGGTCCACGTTTTACAAGCGTAGAGAAGGGAGGGAATGACCGTGGCCGAGAAAACCTGAAGCTTAGTGCGGAGCGACAGACCAGGTAGCTTCCACACAGCGTTACGCAACCAATGAAAACATATTGCCGCTCGACTGATTCGGAGTGAGACCTCTGCTGTTAAACTTGAGCCGGTCATAAGCACACTGCCCAGGTATGGGAAACTCTCCACTCTCTCCACAACTGCCCCATCACCGATTGGGAGTTGTGGGGGTGGAGTGTCCGATGGTACAAAATACCCAGGCAGGTGCTTAGTTTTGGTGGGGCTGATGGTAAGGCCCCATCTCTTAGTGGCACGCTCCAGTCTCAGCAGCAGCATTTCCAACTCCTCCTCTGAATGAGCAGCTATTATCAAATCATCGGCATACATAACGTGGTTGAGCAATAGGGAGCCATCCCTTGACCGCACCCGGGCATCAATCAGCCTCCCATTATATCTGTACCATATGGAGATTCCCCCGGTACAGCTATTGAAGGCTTCACGAACTACGTGGTCAAAATAGATGTTAAATAATGTGGGAGCCAGAGGACATCCCTGTCGCACCCCAAGGTGTACAGGGAATGGCTCTGACTCCCGGCCACGTAGTTTTACCCGGGCCCGCTCACCATCATGAAGGCCCTTAATGATCGTGAGCAGAGGGTCAGGTACTCCAAAAGCACGAAGAACAACCCAGAGCCCAGGCCTACTGATGGTATCATAGGCCTTGACCAGGTCAATAAAGCAGAGATGTAGGTCTTGCTGGAATTCCCTACACCTCTGCTGTAGCAGACGGACAGAAAATATGGCATCTGTGCAGGACCGCCCTTTCCTGAAACCGCATTGGGGCTCCGCAAGCCTCTCCTCAGCGTGCCTGGCAAGACGATGTTGAATAATCCTTGACAGGACCTTTCCCGGCACACTGAGGAGTGAGATGCCCCTGTAGTTGTTACAGTCTGTGTGGTCCCCCTTCTTAAAGAGGGGGACCACCAGGGCATCCTTCCAATCCTGCGGAACCCGTCCAGTGGTCCAGACTGTTGTTATGATGTCATAAAGGGCAGTCTGTGCACAAACGCCACCCTCCCTCAGCATTTCGCTTGGGAGATCATCTCTGCCCGCTGCCTTTCCTGGTCTCAGACTCCAGATCGCCTTCAGTACTTCCTCAACAGATGGCACTTCAGCCAGCCACTCGCAGGGGGTGACTTCTTCCAATATTTGAGGCACCGCAGCCTCAGCAGGGTCATCCTCACTTTGTGCCACAATGTTTTGCTGGCTGAGGGATTTTCCCTCTCCCAGGACCTCACAGAACTGCTCAGCAAATCTGCAAACCTGTTCCTGGGGGTCGGAGATTGGATCACCGTTTTTTCACCTAATGATAGTAATAGGTGTGGCGCTGCAGGTTACTTTTTTGATAGAGTTAAATAGAGATTTGTGATCGCAGGCCACTGAGGCAGACTCCATCTCCTCAGCAACACATACACACATACAACATACATACACACATACATACAACATACATAGACACATACAGTGAGGGGAAAAAAGTATTTGATCCCCTGCTGATTTTGTACGTTTGCCCACTGACAAAGAAATGATCAGTCTATAATTTTAATGGTAGGTTTATCAGACAGAATAACAACATGCGTTTTAGAGTAATTTGGCTGCTATAAATCTCCACATGCTAACAAGCCTCTTCGTTGAGCTATCATTTGTGATAGCCAGGCCGCTTCTGAAAAAGCGCTACATAGCTCAGTGGGCCTTACCTGGTAAAATAAAAATAGTTTAGTTTGAGTTTTTGAGATTTTGCGTATGTCATCAGGGGATGTTTGAAGAAGAAGGCACGTAGGAAGTAGTAGTATTGTGGTTATTACGCGCCGCAGTAATAATCACCGCTAGGATTCTAGGATTCGAACCGTCAACCTCCGTCACAAGGGGCGAAAGCGCTATCGCTGGACCACGACGCAGAATGCGTGCGTTTGACACGAGGTGCATGTGTCAAGACAGAGACTCAAATCGAGTCCAGGTAAATGTATCAGCTCAGTGCTGTTGAATGCACAGTCGAGGTGCTGTTAAATGACGTCCGCACACACCCAGTGAGAATTGTGAGAACGTTAATCCCGAGACCAGGTGAAAGACTCGGTTCGGTATAAACCAGTCCTTCTGAATATTAACTGCAGCCTCGCATCCCTTTGGTTTCCCATCGTACTTTTTTTTAATACATAGAGGGTCTGATGAAACGAATGAGTTGTACTTACGTGCCCGTGCCTCATTTGTGTTTCGATGGTTTGCCTTCGGGAAAAAAAAAACTGACCGTGTCTCGCACCCCCACAAAGGGTATCTCGCACCCCCAAGGTGGTGCGTGCACGCCAGTTTAAGAACCACTGCTCGAAGCGAACCGCGTGGGTGCGGGTCTCACTGTTTTTGCGGCACAGGATTTGCGCCAGGATGCTGCTGTTGCAGATCTGGATGAACTGGTAGTTCTCGTAGAAGTAGTTGAGCGACTGGCCCAGGCAGTAGTTGGGCAGCATCAGGAACACTTTGTCCAGGGTGTGGCACAGATGGAGCAGCCCCAGCTCTGCGCGCAGGGGGCGGGGGGGGGGGGAGAGACGAGACGCTGTGACCCTGACAGCGGCGGCGGTCGGCCCCCAGGACTAAAGGCCACGCGCGTAAGTTTACGTTGACAATGGGCACGCAGCACGATGACCAAGGCGGAATGTTTAAACAAGAACTACTTCACCTCGGGTGCGATACTACAGTGCCTAGAGAGTCCCTAGAGAGTCCCTAGAGAGTCCCTAGAGAGTACCTAGAGAGTGCCTAGAGAGTTCCTAGAGAGTCCCTAGAGAGTCCCTAGAGAGTCCCTAGAGAGTTCCTAGAGAGTCCCTAGAGAGTCCCTAGAGAGTCCCTAGAGAGTCCCTAGAGAGTGTCTAGAGAGTCCCTAGAGAGTCCCTAGAGAGTCCCTAGAGAGTGCCTAGAGAGTGCCTAGAGAGTTCCTAGAGAGTGCCTAGAGAGTGCCTAGAGAGTGCCTAGAGAGTGCCTAGAGAGTCCCTAGAGAGTCCCTAGAGAGTCCCTAGAGAGTTCCTAGAGAGTCCCTAGAGAGTGCCTAGATAGTGCCTAGAGAATCCCTCGAGAGCAGCGGTGGCCAAACGACGTCTCCCGAGCAGCGTGCGGCTCTTCAATCCACCCACGTGTGGCTCTCTATCGAAGGAGCATAATGGAGGCCGCACAATCACAGTCGCAAATAATAATGAATTAAAGTTGTACGACATATTATAAAAACACTTGGCTCTTTGCAGAACTCACGGGTACTTTGTGCCTCTTGGCCCGTTACAGGTTTGGCCTCTCCTTCACGCTGGCCAGACACCTCCTTAAAAGTGGTAGCCACACTTTAACCCACCACTATAACGTGACCCGCCAATCTACTAAACGTGATGTACGCAATTATTGCGATGTGCACATCGTTCTTGAATAACCCCGCCCGCCCGCTCACGGGTCCCCGGGATTTGAGAAAATTGCCGATTGTTTTGAGTGCCGAAGCCGGGACGGGGACGGATGAAGTTGCCAACGAGCAAAGGAGGGCGGGCGCCGTCCGGAGGGGACGGGCCGAGGCGCCCGGAGGGCCCGGGAGCACCTGGAATGCGCAGGATGTTGACGGAGAGGAAGCTGGCGGTGCCCGAGAGGACGTTGAACATGCTGAGGCGGGTGTAGGCGGTCGCCGAGGAGCTGAAGAAGTTCTGCAGCAGGTACATGAGCGGGATGACGGCCCAGCCGTACAGCAGCAGGATGAGCAGCACCAACAGCAGGTGCGCGCCCGCCGTGTACGCCTTCACCTCGAAGCCCAGGAAAACCAGCTGCGGGGCACACACGCGCACGCAAGCGTGTGTGTGTGTGTGCGTGTGTGCGCACGGGCACCGCAAACACGCGCGCAACCACGCGCACGCAAGCGTGCTTATTCACGCGTGCGCGCATGCAAGCAAGCAAACACGATTGCACACATACTTGCATGCACGCACGTTTACACATACACACGTGCACGCATACTCGTGCGTACATAAATACACACACGCATATACGTGCAAACGCACAAATGCATGCACACACGCACACACACGCACGTGCATGTATCCAAGAATGCAAGCACGCCTGCAACTTCACTTACTTTTCTTAACAGTTAATATGGCATCTCTCTAACTTGCGTACGTTCTCCAATCCACGGGTTCCTCTTCCTGCCTCTCAAGTCTATTTCCAAACAATGCACCTCTCCGCATTTCTTTTGCACGCTTTTCAACACTTAACACGCGAACAGAAAGAGCAGAAAATGGGGCTAAACGGCGTACGAAGAGCCACGTAAAACTAAACGGTGTACGTGGAAGGGTGAAGGCGAAACCGCGTAAACTAAACACCGCGTACGCAAAAACGCGTAAAACTCAAAACTACGTACAGAGACACGTATAAGCTTAACCGCTTTAACTAAACCACGTGCAGAGAACCGCGAACGCTAAACCGCGTAGGCAATGCCGCGGCTGCCGCGTGGGCGACGTCAAGTGCCGGCAAGGGGGCACGCGGCGTACCGCGTGCTCGCGCGTTCATCTCCTTCCTCTCGCGCCGAGCGTAGCAAACCGCGCCATAACGGAGGCGCGGGCAGACGCGTACCAGGATGCAGCAGCAGGGGATCATGTAGTTGAAGAGGTCCCAGAGCAGCGCGGTGACCCAGTAGGAGACGGCGCGCACGCCGCTCACAAGCTGGATGTGCTTGGCGCGGGTGGCGCGCTCCGTCACCAGCAGCAGGGCGAAGGTGCTCGCCAGCGACGCCAGCCCGTACATGAGGTTGAAGGCCACCGCGAAGCCCGTCTGGCCCCTGCACAGTCGGGGAGGACAGGTTTAGAAGGGGGGGGGGGGGGGCGGGATAAAGGATTTGTATGTACTGCGTATTCTTGGTTCTTTCGGTAAAGTCACGTAGATTAAAAATAAAAAGAATTAAATAAAAAAATTCTACATTTTAAATGATAAAAGCAAAAAAAAACCATGACGTTTCCATCGCAACGCAAGCGGTCTTCATCAGGCGGAGAGAAAGGAGGGGGCAAGCCTCCAAATGCAACTTCTTAAGAGGGTTTCCCAAGCGAATGGGCGACGGACGAGAGCTGTGTAAACAGCATTGGCGGGGCAGCCAATCAGCCAGTGCTAATGTCGGAGTAGACAATCGGGGAACTGGGAGGAGGAGAGCTACTCCTCCTCCTCCTCCTCCCAAGCAACCTGGCCACAACAAAAAGTGGCTTATCATGTGGAAATTTCTAACGGCAAAATAATCTAAATAATCCTACGTTTGACTTGTCACGATGGATGGTTTGGATGAATGAACGGGCGGTGTTTTTTTGCGTGGCGCGGCGCTCACTCGTGGAACTGGTCCATGGCGCGCTCCGTGATGTTGCGAGGCAGCGGGTAGTTGCGCACGGAGATGGAGTGGTTGGCCCCGACGGCGTGCCTCAGCAGGGCGTTGTCGACGAGCAGCAGGGCGGTGGCCGGCGTGTGGAAGCCCTGCCCGTTGAAGAGCGCCGTGACCATCACGCTGCCACTGCCGTTCCCTCCTCCTCCGGCCACGGCCGCCCCCACGACGCAGTGCGTGTTGAAGGAGCCGCCCTCCGCCTTCGCATTGTCCACCAGGTAGTCCAAGATGTCGCCTGCAGCGCGGAGAACGAATCGCACCGCTTGCTTAACGGCGGCTTCCTTTTCGCAGCCGCTCGCTGGATTCGTCTCGGAGAGCAGTAATAATACAGACATTTCTAGACGGCAAGAGAGAGGTGCTATTGTGACCGGTGGCTAAGTCCTACCATAAGGCGTGATATGTCAAGTGACATGACCACATTGCGTATATAAAGCATAGTCTTGATTTCGAACCAGTGAGTCCCAACCTGTGGTACGTGTGCCCCTGGAGGTACGCTTGACATCTCTAGGGGCGGCACGCGACACAAATCACGTAGTGGCGGTGGTCACACAAGGTTACTAAGCCGCGCTGCTTTGCGCGAATTTAAACTTTTTCATGAACAATGCACTTTTAAAACTAGATTGAAATCTCATTTCGTTAGAACCGCTTGTTGTTGTGTTTAGTTTGTTGTCCTTCCCCAGCACGTCCGATTTCCACGTACGGCACGAAATAAGTTCCACATACTGTACATACTTCAAATTTGTGTCATGCAGCCACAAAGAATGCACCAAAAAGGAATGCAACTGTCAGATGAAAGCCGTTTAAATCTTTGGGTTGCACCTTCACTCAATGAACCCGAACAGAAACAAGAGAGTAAGAACCCCGCGCCACTCCTGCGCGTCGTCGCACCTCCCGGGTACTTGGCATCGTCGTTGACGAACACGGCCGTGGCCGTCCGCATCTCCTCGATCTGCCGCCGGTACTCGAGGGCGACGCTCGCGGCCTCCGGCCCCGCGCCGGGCGCCAGCGCGTACGGCACGGAGACGTGGGCGCCGTAGCGCGCCAGCGACAGGTCGAGGGACGGGGAGTCGCGCGGGCCGGGCAGCGTGCGCGCCACCACCAGCGCCACCGTCGTGAAGATGAGCGGCACCAAGAACTGTGCCACCATCACCTTCCAGTTGCGCCAGCAGTAGACGGCGCGCTTGAGGAACATGGCCCGGCACTGCTGCAGCAGCAGCCACATCTGGTCGCGGGCGAGAAAGTGGGGCGGCAAACGGGACGCATATATTAAGTTACTAAATGTCCGATGAACTCTTAACTATTTTTTTTTTATTTGCCCAGGTAAGGCCCACCGAGCTATACGGCTATTTTTCAGAAGTGACCTGGTCACAAATTATAGCTTCAGCGAAGTGGCTTATCATGTGGAAATGTATAGCAGCCGGTTACTCTAAACGTATGTTGATTATAAATGTGGAGGACCCGGAGAAAATTCTACACGACCACAGGGAGAACATGCATACTCCAAATACAGCAGGCGTCAAACCCACGACCTCCTGTATACCAGGCAAGGTAGTTAACATCTCACCACCGTGGCGTCCTGGGTTGGCTGGGACAATAACAGTGGTTTCAATAAGGCTGTGCCAGTTATCCCCTTGAGAACATTTGCGAAAATCGAGATTTTCTTTGTCCCAGTTTAAACATTTTCGGACTCAAAATGGGCAAAGGGCGGGGCTACTGGAGAAGTGGGCGGGGTTAGCAGAGGAGCAGGTGGAGCCTATGGGCAGTGGGCAAAACCAAACTTAAGAAAGAGCGAGGAGGTGGCCATTCACCGTGCGGGCATGGCTCATTGGTTGAATTGATGTGGCCTCTTACAAAACGCAATCATTGGTGACGAGAATGAGACCATCAACTCGCTACACTTGACATCCCAGGCGAGGTCACGGTGGGTGGCTGAAGCCCAGGGTCCCTGGGGTGCGAGTTGACTTCAAAAGCCACCGCCCGACCACCTCACAACTCGCCGCACTCGAGATCCCAGGTCAAGCAGGGGGCGGCCGAAACCCGAATTCCAACCCGGGCTTCTCAGCGGCACCCGGCCCATTCACGCACCCCGGTGTTGAGCTTGATGCTGGACAGGTCCTCGGAGACCAGGGTGCTCGTGTCGTCCATGGAGGCGCTGATGCTGTCGGTCTCGGCCGTCAAGTCATGCATGCGCCGCTCGTGCTGGTAGTGCAGGTGCGGCAGCTGCCTGGCCTGCGCGTCCAGCGCCGAGTCGGCGAGCTTGCCCACGCTGCAGGGGCGCGAACGCACACAAGAGGCCGGGCCCGCCGCTATCGTCCAATAAAACCACGACGGCAAAGGGGCGCCGACACGGCCTGGCAGGCGCGCGTTCGCCGCCTGCTGTTGCAGAGGTTCACAGTTCAAATCTGGCAGCTGACCTGGTTATAGCTAGGGGCGTAACGACCACGACAAAGTGTCGTCTTCTACGCAGTAGACGTTAAAGATCCCTCGACGCCATTTGCGAGGGAAGGGCATCGCTTGCCGGTGTCAGGGTTCAAATTTCCCAAGTTCAAAATGTACCCGCTGACTACTCAATTAGTAACTTACAAAGCAATCCTCGCCCACTACTGGAAGATTAATGCCCGCCACCAGGCCATGTGGTGAGTCACATTGTACCCACAGGGACAGCTGCCACCGAGGGTGCCCTTTGCAATGGGATGTAAAGCGCTCTGGGAAGATGCCCCAGAATGTAGGGCACGATATCAAAAAACAAATAATTATCATTCGTAACAAACGCCGCACCACTCAGGTGGTTAGCGGCTGTCATTGACTGAATGAGATTTCTATGATTAATGAATGAGCCCATTTGTGAAATCGGCTCATTGTGGGTGGTGTTTGGCCCCAGCTGCTTCGTCCCGGGCTGTACTGCTCTCCCTCCCACGCTTCTCTCACCGCCCCCCCCCCCTCTCACCAATGTAGTGTCAAGGGTGCGATTCCATGTTTATGCATTACTTATGTCGAAACCGCTGTTGCCGTTCATTAAAAAATCCCGATTGGGTGGTCTCCCCCAATGATTGGAAAAAATACAAGAGACTCTTATAAACCATTGGAAATCCTTACTAAAAAAAAACGCATTCGTGACCTTGACGCAGAGTTAGTCATAGAGACGCTGGCGTTAAAGCGTGTTTCGGCGGCGGCGGCACCAGGAGCCACCCCCACCACCACCTCGGTAGCCGGGCCCCCTGGCGGTTGTGCTCACCGCAGGAACACCTCCTCCATGGTGGTGACCGACACGCCGTAGCTGTTGATGCCTAGCTCGTCCCGCCGCCGCTCCAGCTCCGTGAAGAGCCCCTCGAACCTGGGCCGGGGGAAAGCATTCACTTACAAACACGCAGCAGCAGCAGCAGCAGCAACAACGAAGACGTTCACGCGCTCGACCGGGCGCTCATCTAAGGGTAGGTTGACCCAGGTGGAGGCCCAGTTCCAGAGCAGCAACTCAATACGACGCTGCGCGATTTGTGTTCACGTGACCTCGTCTCATATCGCTGTGCGGAAATTGTGGGCACGTCCATTTTATTTGGAGGAGGTCGGATAGATAGCGTGTGCGGCTCAGTGGGGTTCGGGGGTAGGGTGTGGTAATACAATGGTGGGGTGTGCGATGGTGGAGTGCGGGAGTGTGGTGTGATGGAGTGCAGGATGCGATGGTAAGGTGTGATAGTAGAATGCCGTAGTGGGATAATGGAGTGCGTGGTAGGGTACGTGTGTGTGTATATTTAACTTCTTTCGCCACCTGTGCTAATGGGAGGTGCTGGGGGAAGGACAACACTGGACATCGGGTGCGATGGTGGGGTGCGATGGTGGGGTGCGATGGTGGGGTGCGATGGTGGGGTGTGATGGTGGGGTGCGGTAGCGTGATGGTGGGGTGCGATGGTGGGGTGCGATGGTGGGGTGCGATAGCGTGATGGTGGGGTGCGATGGTGGGGTGCGTGCGAGGGTGCGACGATGGCGTGCAGTGGCAGAACGCGACGGCTTTGTGGGGTATCGTGGTGGTGGGGTGCGGTAGCGTGCGTGGTGGTGGCTGGCACCTGTGGGAGGTGTCGGCTGGCATGATGTAGGCGAGCTCGGCGCCGGCGTTGCTGGAGAGGTTGGCCTCCGGCACGTGGCTGTGCACGAGCTTGGAGATCCACGCGACGTCCGCCTCCGGTTGCTTCACCACCACCATGTGGTACCCGGCCCCTGCGGACAAGAGAAAACCACGCATTTCGGGATACGTTTATTAACAACAACAACAACAAACAGAATGGTTACAGCACCGCTCAATCGGTTATGCACGTTGCACGTTGAACTTAGTTTAACACGGCGGCTTTCGTGTGCCCCCGGGGTGGGCGGGGGGGGGGGTGCACTCGCTACTCCCGTGCCCCCGAAGCGGACGAGCAATCGTCCCCCCCACCCCCCCCAACCGTGCCCCCAGGGACAGACAGGCACTCCCTCCTCACTGGTACCCTGTGGCATAATCAGCCCTCCCTCCCCCCATGTCCCTGGGGCCGACGGGCACTCCCCCCCCCCAGCCCCCCCCCCCGTGCCCCCGGGGCAGACGGGCACCGTATTTGCGCTTGAGGAAAAGCGACGAGCCGCAGCACTGGAGGCGTCCGTGCGCGACGATGGCGACGCGGTCCCCCAGCACGTCGGCCTCCTCCATGAAGTGCGTGGTGAGCAGCACGGTGCGGCCGGCGCGCTGCCGCTGCAGCAACTCCCAGGTGGCGCGGCGAGCGCACGGATCCATGCCGGACGTCGGCTCGTCCAGCAGCACCACCTGGCGACAGGCGCACGCTCGTTCAGTCGCCAGTTCATTCGTTCGTTTCGTAACACATTCGTTTGGAATGTGGACATCTGAACGTCTGTGAAACATACCGTGAAGCATCTGTGAAAAAGAGCTTCATAGCCCATCGGACGCCTCCAGTCTAAATAAATATTCTGATTCTGATTTGTCTGGTAGCACCATCTGGATATGCAATCATTAATTTACTCGCTCGCACATTCGCTTATTCATTTAGCAGCAACAACAACAACAACCGCCATTCGCCACCAAGTGGCGGTGACGTCACCACAGTGCTTGTACCAGACTATGTGCACTTAATTTAGCAGCACCACTTGTACCCACACTCACCGATTAATTTACTCATTCACTCACACACCGATTTCTTAAGTCACTCGTTCGATCGTCCTAGATATGGTGGCGGGTCGGTCGAGACTAACAACCGAGAGGTAGCTAAAGAGAAGGGGGGGGGGTGGAGGGAACACGCCCAGTGCGTCCGCGGAGATGGAGCAATGAAATCGGCCATTGTGTGCGCGATGACGTTCGGGCGGCGGTGGCGGTGGCGGCGCTGGCACCTTGGGGTCGCCGATGAAGGCGATGCCGATGGAGAGCTTGCGCTTCATGCCGCCAGAGAGCGCCGAGGCGCGCGCCTGCCGCTTGTCCTCCAGCTGCAGGGCGGTGAGCATTGCGCTCACCTCGTCCGGCACGCGCTCGTACGGGCAGCCCTTGAGCTGCGGCAACGCGCACGCGGGTCCGGAGCGGTCTCAGAACGAACTCAGCGAGGCCGAAGCTCAAGTTAAGTTGGGCAAACTTCCCGGCGAACGTTTGGTGAGTAACGCCGGTAATTCTACCCCTTTTGCTGTGCTCATCATGCGCAGCAACTCTTAATCTCTGGGTAAAGAAACGTTTAAATAGTCGAGACGACCGAGTGGCTCAGAGGTCAGATCACTGAGCTTGCACCATCGAGATCCCGGGTTTGAATCTGGGTTATAACCGTCCGTCTGCAATTAAACCAGGCCCTCGGCACAGCGAGTTGATTGTCTCAGCTCGTCACCAATGACTGCATTAAAAAAAAATCTTCACGGTAAATTTGGTTCTGCGCTTAATTTGTATGCATGTTGAACTTCTTTCGCACCATACGTAGCCAGCCATGCCAATCGGAGGATACATTTAAATTTCGCTGCCTTTGCAACACAAATGACTCTCAAATGCAGGGCACGTGGGACAACAAGTCACTTGAAGGGATCTCAGAGGCAGCTCTGAGATATCAACTTCCACGGGCCGGTCTCAAACACGGGAGCTTTACACCGCTCCGTGAGATCTGAACAGATAATATTCAATCTCCAATCGGGATAGATTGCATGGGGAAGAAGAAATGATAAACAAGGAGCAATGTAACCCACGAAAAATACGCTTTGTTACGGATAATAACGGTCGCGAAAGCCTAAGTGTTAAACCGAATTACAAACGGCTTGAAAACAGATCGAAGATCGTTTTTTCTCCTTTCCTTTTTCTTTGCAACAATCTCGTTCCCTCCACTCGCTGCTGGACCTGTCGGCGGACGGCACCTTGGCGAAGAAGGAGAGATGCTCCTCCACGGTGAGGTCGGGGAACAGCACGTCGTGCTGCGGGCACAGGCCCAGGCTCTTGCGCACGAGCGTCATGTCGTATCGAATGTCGTAGCCGTTGACGAGCGCCGTGCCGCCGCTCGGCGGGAAGAGGCCTGCGGGGACGTCGCGCAACGGCTTCGTCAAGGTACAGGACTTGGAATTGTAATAATAAATCATCACGATTTACATTTCTACAAACGCCGTTCACCCGGAGGTCACAAGGCGCTGTACAAAGCACACCTGGACAGTGGAGACAAAACGTTAGAGACAAAACGTTCTCTCAAAATAGGAACCAATATTTAGGGACATCATTTTCCCTTCCGAATGTTAGTAGTTTCCTTATTTCTATGTTACGAGGTCACTTCTTTACATGTCTCCATGCATTAATTATTCACTAAAATCTTTAATTGTACAAGAAACACTTTCCAATCTGATTGCAAAACAGTTACGAGGGCTTGCCTGAAGTAATGATTAACTATTGGATGGCATCTGTTTGATCCTAACAGTGCAGGAACCACGGTAGCGCCAAAACCTCATCCGGGGGTTACAATGTGCCTGGTGGGAACAAATATTGGTTCCCCCGTGTAAACAAATATTACAGGGAAGCAATATTCATCAACTAGATGGTGTCATCATCACGATCCATGGGCAGGTGTGCACGGCACATTTCGTCATTTGTTTCCACTTTCCTCCGTCTTGTAGTGCCAGGATGCTCATGTAGTGGCCACATCTCTCTGGCACCAATTTCGCCGTCAGGCCAATCTCTGTTAGGCCTTCCTCTCTTTCCGGTTCCTTACATTTTTCCGAACCACAACAACACTTTTTACCTAACCTGTCGTTTGTCCATCCTACACATGCGTCCAAATAGTGCCAGTCTCTTTCTCATCACTGTTTGGGTACAATTGCTCTGCTCAGGTGCCTGTTGAATGATCGTGCGTGCGCGAGAGAGGACGGGCCTGTGAGGATGGACAGCGTCGTGGTCTTGCCGGCGCCGTTGTGCCCCAGCAGCGCCGTGATCTGCCCCTCGTACATATTCAGCGTCAGTCCCTTCACAGCCTCCTTCTCATGCCGCCCCTTCCCAAACACCTGCCCAGGTCAGAGGTCACACGCAAGGGGCCGCCGAAGATTGGTCGAGACTGTTCATAGCAATGATAATACTTTCATTTTATATATCGTCAGTCATGCTAAGAGCATCCCATAACGCCGTACATTCATTACATAAAATCCCATATAGAGCTACTCCCAAACAAATTAAATCCCTGCTACTACCAAGCAAGATAAAAAAAAATGATAAACAACCATAACCAACAGCAAAAACAACAAAAAAGTTATTACAACAAAGAAATGAGTCCACGAGGTCGACTACACATCCCAGAGCACAGTCACAACTTCCCAATCAAGCCATGGAGCCTTCACAGGAGGGGCGGTTAAGCGCCAATAAGTTACCACGAAATTGTCTTCACGTGTTCGCACGCCCCATCTGCCCTGCTTTACTACCGACACGGCCGGGATTCTACGGAAGTTGGCGGGAGCGGAGTTTGCACGCGCACCTTTCGAAGGCCCTGGATCTTGACGCCGGTGGCGAGGCCGAGGGGCTCCCTCTCGATGAACTCGCTCGCCGGGCCCTCGCCGTCGCCCTCTCCTTCGCCGTCGCCCGCCGACACGTGGTACGTGCGCTGCGTGCCGCGCCAGTACGACGGCTGGGACCACGCACGGTGGGAGACACGCGGCCGGGTCAACGTTCCATTGTCGCACAGATGGCTCACGTGGCCAGCTCGAGAGTCGGACGGGGGAAGCTAGGTAAGTGGCAATTCTAAAAACAAATTATTATTTTTCAAAGAGTCGGTAAATTGTCATAAAATCGAAGTCATGATTTATGAATCGTTGATTATGGACTGTTGAGATTCAGGGCCATGATTGTTAGAATTGTAATGATTCGGGTCACAAGTGGATAATTAATCAAGGGTCAGGATCATAAATCGATGGATGCATTCCAATGATTCGCAGTCACAGATGAACTCACGAAATAAATTTTATGCAAAAATCTATAGTGGTATCAATCTATAAAATATACCTCACATTGGTAAAACACCAAGCATTGAAAATCTTACAAATACAATTTAATGCATCATCAACGGTTTTATACAAGCCTCAAAGGCATGGGTGTGTGTGCAGTGATACAAATTTCCAGAGAATATACAGGGTGGTCCAGATGTCTTGGGACCCCCCCCCCCTCAATATATTTTTAAGTAAGGTTTACTTAAAACAGATATTAACGCCAAGAAAAAAATGTGAGAGAATACGAATCGCCAGCATTCAGCGCGCGTACCACGAGCGTAACTATACGATTCAATTGCGGAAATCCAATAATCTCCAGCGGGCACGGGTGGCGTGACCGCGTCAACGCAAGCAACCAGCGCGGCCGAGCAAGCGGGCGGCCACACGGGGGGGTCCTTACCAGGACGCAGAAGTACCAGGGCTGCGGCACGCCGTACTCTCCGGGAAACACGGCCTCCACGTACCAGGCCACGAGGCCGTACAGCACCGCGTCCAGCATGAGCATGAAGAGCACGTGCGCCATCGTGAAGCCGTCGTCCACGCTCACGCTCTCGCCCAGGTTGCGCCACTGGATGCCCACGCCTGCACGGGGACCGCGCGGCGCCGTCAGCGGACACGGACAGCTCCCGCACGTCAGTTTAACACAAAGTAGTCGTAGTAGCGAGAGGCTTTCGCGACCGGTATTATCCGTGGTAAAGTTTTTTTTTTTGGGGGGTCAGATCGCGTGAACATGTGTCGTTAAACCGGCCACCACCCGACGCAGCCAATTATTTGAGGTTTTGTGACGTAAACAAAACACGCCAGCGATGAGATCAGCTCGCGCACCGCGAGAGATGGCGACGGTCCGGGGGAGGCCCAACTCAGTAGGGCCACGTGTCGTGACTGACTATGGTAACGCTGATAATGTCTCTCCGTCTAGATCTGAGACACGATTATCAACCGTGCAGTGATTCACCCCCACCACCCTGTAAGTGAACTGGTGAAGCCACCATTCAGGATCACGATTCTAATCAAGTAACAATATCTTTTACGGTTGTTGTTTGCACCGTTGTGAATTTTCTACTCATTTTTGCAATCAATCCAAAAAAATCGCGAGCGCATCGTTAAGTGTGCAGCGCTGCAATTAAAGCGGCAGGTGACAAAGGGGTCAACAAGGGGCCGGTGGATGGGTGTAAAGGGGTGCGCCGGGGAGGGGGAGTCCATCCGCACCTTTGCCCTCCCACATGCTGATGAGCTGGGCCCCCATGGCCATGCCGACGTTGGAGATGAGGCAGGAGGACATCTTGAGCGCGTGGCTCATCTGGTCGTACCAGGGCAGCACGAAGAAGTACGGGATGTAGGAGAAGAAGTAGAGGAAGGCGCCCGCCGTCGCCGCGACGTTGGCTGTGGAAACAGAAAGCGCGGCGGGGAGGAAAGGGGCGGCGGTGAATCACCGCCTGCGGGGGTTGGAGACGCCGCCAAGACGGGACGATGGCCAGGGGACGACACCGGTGGACTGAATGGCAGCGAAAGGAGAGAACACGTCGCCCGAGAGGACCACTGCGGAGATGGAGCGATGCGATCGGTTCGTATGCATTGATGAACTTCTTTCGCACCGTACGTAGCCAACCGTGCTAATCGGAGGTTAAGCAACGCGCAGGGGATGAGAGCAGCACCCGGACCCGTGAGGGGCGGCGATGAGCACGGGGAGGACTCCACCTGGTGGTGGATCGACAGAGGCTGATGACGATCATGATGATGATGAAATAACCATAAGCATTTGACTAATTAAGCCATGAACCAAGAAGTGGTCGGGCCAGTCAGCGTAACTTCACCCTGGGCTCAAATTTTAGCAGCCGCCTGAGTCAGAGACTCTCATCTGTTATTACCCACAATCCACCATAATAGTTTTTTGTTTTTTTTACAATGTGTACACTGTGCTGAATGAGCCCCATGGTGTCCGTAAATTCCATTTGCCTCGAGCACCAAATAACACAGCGGCACCTGTTGAACAGGCTGCACCCTGCTGATGAGAGGCTAAAAAGTCAAAACTGCTCCAATGGTTTAATGCTTTTAACGAAACGCTGCGTCAGAACAGTGGTCACAAGAAGGTCCACCGGCTGATTTTGACTTCATTTAAAATTATTTGTACTTTTTTTTTCTTCGTGGTAGAAAAAAAGACCTCTGTTGGTTTGTCCAAAATGCATTACTCGCAGTGCGTCGAGGCAGCGGAATATTTAACATTGTGTAGCCGAGTCGGGCTCTCGGGTGGAAACGAGTTGATGCAGTCACCGACGAGTCCGCAAACAAAACCCAACATCCACCACGAATCCTTTACGGGCTCACTAAGTGGGTGTTAGACGGTGATCGCAGGTTTTAAGGGACACAGCCACACATCAAATACAATCAGACTTCAAAGACGTTTTGAGTAATAAAGTTAAGTAGTAATAAACTCGCGTGATAACTGGGCTGGCTATTAACACACCGGCATTGGGACGCGATGGCAAGCAATACATTGAGAGCCGTCAACAACGACGAAGATGAAGATGCTGCGCCCCAACTCGTTACGGAAGCGTGGCAAACGCTGCGGGGTTTTCACTCGTTCACACGTCGAGATGGCATGCAGCGCCCCTGCGATGGCTCGGTGGTACGAGATATTGTTGTGTGGGTCCTGTCTTCCGTAAGCGGTATGCTTGTGCCCTGTTCTCTGCACACAGTGTTTGTGTCTTGTGTCAGGTGTGCATGCCACAGCTCTATTTTCTGAGCCTTTGGCATTTGCGGTGAACCCGAAGAATTCTACGAGTTGTCCTCATGTACCCGAGAAACAGCCACGATCGTAAAACTGCACCAGGTAACAAGCACCAACAGGGCCTGGGGCCCTGGGCAAACAGAAGCACTTTGTCGTGTCTCCACCTATAAATTAATAAATAGAAATTGCCCAAAATGCCTATTGGCTTCCAGTCCATCATAATCCAGCAACATTTGCTGAAGCAAGCAAACTGTGGGCCGGTGTTGATCTTCTGCGTCTCATCTGGCAGAGCGAGGTGTGATAAACAAACGCCGCTGGGGTGACCGGATGTTGTTGACAAGAGCACTCCGTCCCAACTACAGACCCCTGTTCAACACAAAGACGTGACATTTTTACATCTATCGAGTCTGGCATTCGTTTAGAGACCTGGCTCAGTGGGAGAGGCGGCGGCTCGCAATGGGAATGTGGCGAGTTAAAATCCTGGACGGTGGTTGACCCAGGCCACCGTCCCTACAAGGGAGTCTCAATAAAATGAATTACCACTTTGCGCAGAAGTCAACAGCGCTTGTCCTCCGGATTGACTCGCCCCCCACCCCCCCTCATTCCGCCATAGGAATGTGGAATTACCCACCGCTGGCTCAGGGGTGTACCGAGGATACAAGCACCGCCTCGGTGCTCGTCCGAGCAGGAAATCACCGCGCCGGTGAACACGAATTACACGAGGCCCCGGCTGGATCCGATTAACCGAAAGCTCCTCCCCGTGTTCCGCGCCGCCGGGAGAGCCGTCGTCGCCCGCTCACCTTGGGAGAAGAAGACGCTGATCATGAAGCAGAAGGAGATGGTGGAGACGGAGAAGGCCAGGATGAAGACGAACACCAGCGTAGGGTCGCTGAAGTTGAGCACCGCGCCACGCTCTCCCACCTGCGAGGAGCGACAAGACGCACGCTCGCAGCGGCTCCGCACCGTCCCTCGCCAGGGCGCCTTCATGATTCGCCAACCCCCACCTCCCCCCCTTCCACCCCCCCTCGCCACCGTTCCATCGATTACGCCGAAGCTGCGATTCAATTAAAGCCAAGAAGCGGAGAACCCTTTTGTTTAGCGAGGGTCGAATAAGACTTTCGGATACCGAACCTTTTGCAGGCTCCACCCCCCGGCCCCCCCGCATCACCAAATATCATGGCACGCACATCAGTTGTATCAGCCACTGCGTAAAGCCTCCTGCGGTGATGCCGCGCACTAAGATGAGACACCACGCGAGGTGTCGCTACGTGGGATAAACTATCGCCCCCCCCCCCCCCCCGCCGCAGTGAAGCAATTCGCGTGGGGAAGATGCTCGCGCATTGAGGGATAAACATCTGAATTGCGTTCGAAATGGAGTCAAAGCCCAGGTATGGCCCATGGGTGCTGGAGGCTCCCGACCCTTCACCGTTTCTTAATTGTGCTGCTTGCACTGCCTCGATTGTACCGTCCGGTTTGTACGATCTCATCTATGTTGACTTTGCCGTCTGTGGTGCCTCATTCGCACTGCTTCATTCGTTTGGCCGTATTTTTCTCTGTCGTGTCCTTCCCATCAACGTGAAGGTGATGTGTGCAGGTTTGTACACAAACTTTACAAAGACGGCCACCTCATCGCGCGCCGTCTGGAACGCTCTTCCTTCGGATATTAGGGAGCCACTGGAGCTATCCACTTTTAAATCATCTAGATTGAAAGCTATATTTCTATTACAACTGTTTGTTGTCCTTCCCCCGCACCTCGGATTCGCACGGTTGACGACGTACGGTGCGAAAGAAGTTCAACATACAAAAATTGCATACGATTCGACAAATTGATCGATTTCATAATTTGAATCGATGATGTGTTACACGCCTAGCCACGTCCCCCGCTCCCCTCTCCGCTCTTCCTGAAAGGTGCCACACTCGCCACTGTTGGCTCCGCCTCTGCAGGAGGTGCTCCTAAGTGGCCACCTGTACGCTGTCAACAGACCGAGGAATGCTCGGCCTGTGATGAAATCGTTGCAATTTTTTGCGTAACTGTTAAAAAGCCTTGACATTACCGCTGGCAACCAGGGTGGATAATGACAAGAGGCACGGTTAAGGGTAAAGAGCACGAGGTTTTGTGATAGGGGCGCCACGGTGGCGAGATGTTAACTACCTCGCCTGGTATACAGCAGGCGTCATTGTCGGGTTCGATCCCGACATGAAGCCTGCTGTATGTTTGGAGTTTGCGTGTCTCTCTCTCTCCCCGTGGTCGCGTGGATTTTTTTCTCCGGGTCCTCTGGTTTTTCCCTTCCCATTTAGAATCAACATCGTGCGTTTAGAGTCTATGGCTGATATAAATTCCCATGTGATACTACATTTCATTGGGTTATCATTTGTGATAGCCAGGTCGCTTCTGAAGAAGAGCCCTATAAGCTCAGCAGGCCATACCTGGCAAAATAAACAGCAGTCTAGATATTTCGCAAAAAAATAAACTTTGGTGGTGGTTGGTTCTTGGTGGAAAAGTGATTTTTTAATATATTGCCTCGTTAAAGTTGCCTATTAAAAGACGCCGGATGTTACATGAATACTTAAAAGTTCGACTTTACAGCACAGCAGTTAAAGACAACAACCAGCAATGTAATCTCCAACATACCGGTTCTTCGAGATTTTCTTGACGGCTCTATTTCAATACAGTTCATTGACTAAACGTAGCTGTGAATAATACTCAGAATAATCATAATAATCCTAATGTTCTACGGTCCTTTGTAAATCCACTGCTGGATGAAGGCCTCGCCAGACGATGGTAGTCATGAAGGTTTGAAAATTTTCAAAAATGTTCTTGCTGTGGTTTTCACACCTGGTGATGATTGCTTGTGTTGCAATCGAAACGTCGTGAGAATTGTATTGTTTTATTTTTATTGTTTCCCTTCTACGTGACTTTACCGAAAGAACCAAGAAAAGAGCTTTATAGCTCATCGGATTCCTCCTGCAGCATAAATAAAGATTCGGATTCTGATGTTTGTAAAGGTAGGACCGAGGACTGGTTCAGATATCACCCGGCACTGTAGTTAGCTGTAAACTTTTGTAAATCTAACTAGTAGCGACTACTAACGTTTCCGTTTGTTTATTTTACCAAGGTCCACTGAGCTAAGTAGCTCTTTTTCAGAAGCGACCTGGCCACAAATGATAGCACGACCAAGTAAAGTGGCTTAACTCAGGTTTGCTGGATCCATAACGCAGTGTGTGCTAACCACTGTGCCACCGCTCCACACAGCTGGGGAAGTACATGGGATAAAACGCTGGATTTAATTATTACGTGCAAAGAATAATGTGTGAGACAATTCAATTGCATGCCAGAAGTAGCCGTACAAGATCCTGTCCTCTAGAACCTATTCTGCACTCCAACACTCTCCCATAATGCGCTCCAGTGCACGTGTGGTTAGGACTGGCCACTTGTTTCACACCAATCAAGCACAAGGGAAAATTATTTGGTGATGTTGCTACCGCTGCTGCGTTGGCAGCGGTGCACAAATAACAAACAACAAGAAAACAACTCAACACATTCGTCAATAACTCTGTGGCCGTCAAAGGGAAACATTGAGAGAACGGGCGGCGTTTTCAGACAATGGCTCTTCTATGTAGCTCATACTTAGAGAGAGAGGCCACAGGGAGATGGAGTGGATTACTTTACACGTGGGGCCTGGTATGACAGCAAAGCAAAAAAGAGCAGAAGAAAGCATTTCCCACCGCCAAGCCAGCAGGAAAACCGGTGTCCATGAAGAAAAGTGTCTCCCGATTTCAAACACTCAAGACGGGAGTCTGGCTGAAAGGCTGTTGCCTAACAGCCAACGCCATCCAAACATCGACAACAACAATCAGATTATCACTCGCTGGGTATACACAGATCGGTGTAAACAAGATACGCAGATAAGCATGCAGCCATGCAGGCAACCAGGCGAAAGGTTATCGAGTGTAAAGGGTTGCGAGTGTAAAGGTTTAAGAAAACAAGGGGTGGGTGTTTCTGTAGTTAACAATGTGATGTTGTCGAAGGGAGGGGTATGGACAGCTTATGCTTATGGAAACAGCAGAGGAATGGAAGATTAATGCCAACTATTTACGATATGTGTAATTGGTAATAGTTCACGGGCTGTTTGTCAATTCACCACTGGATGATGGCCTCCCCATGCAGTGTTGGTAATGGGGGTCATTTCTAGATTTAAAGCTTTCGTGACTGCTAGGATCCATACTCTTTGGTTCTATTGGGTAAAGTCACATAGGTGAAAATAAAATAACAAAAAATCACGACGTTTCGGCCACAACACAAGCGGCCTTCATCAGGTGAAGGGACGAGACTGTCTGGAGGACAGCCACAACACAAGCGGCCTTCATCAGGTGAAGGGACGAGACTGGGGGTCATCTGACTATACTTCACCAGGCTGGCTGCCCAGTGTTGTGGGTTGAAGTGAGGGGAGTGGGGAGTGATTCCAGGACCATCACTGATGTGAGCCGTGGTTAGAAATGGAATTCAGGTCGCTGGGTTTATAATGAAGTGCAGTCACAACTGAGACGCACTGTTATTTATTTACCCAGGGAAACCTCACAGCCTCAAGACTCTCTTTCAAAAGGGTCCTTTATTGGCATGTTTGGACAATTCCATTAAACTTTTCCTGTTTCGATGACGTACGTCATCAGTTTTTCTTCCGATTCCGTTCCGATGCCGGAATCGATTCCAAATAGAATAAAATCGATTCTCAACGGAATCGGAAGTAAAAGGCCATGAGGAAGGGTGTGTGGCACAGTTTGGCGCCAGTTATCGTAGAGTGCGGTCGTGTTGCTACAGTTCTCTGCGGTGAGTAACAACGTCTTTAAAAACAGCGGCGCTACGCCTCTCTAAATAAAATTAACGCCGAGCCACTTGTGCGTTCCGAGATTCACCGGCGAATGGGACGCCCACCCACCATGCTACTTGCAGACGTGCCGCAACGTTGAAAGGGCTGATGAGCGTTTGACGCGTGGGAGGAAACGAGAGACCTGGGAGAACAGCCGCGCATACGAGGCGACGGCACTCGGCACAGACGTCTCCTGGCCACCGCACAGACCCACGCCTACAACAAGTGGCACACCGTGGTGGTCGACCACCCAAGCATTAGCCAGGCTCAACCCCGGCTTAGCTTCCGCGATCTGACCATCTCGGATATTTAAAACTGCTTTCAGTGTTTAGTTTGTTGTCGTTCCCTCGCATCTCCTATAAACGCGGTTGGCTACGTACGGTGCGAGAGAAGTTCAACGTGCATACCTATGCTCATGGTGATTTAGTCTTAGCAATGACAACTCGTCATCAGAAGCCTTGCCGCAATGAACCTGTCTTCTCCTTGAAATAAATTGCATCGTCCACGTTCAAATTCAATTGTTGTTATGCAGAAGCAAAACGATGGACTGCATTCGTCCCTGAAGGCCAGAAATATATATGCACAGCCCTTACAGAGCGGTACATTTTGAAATATCTGCTAAATTATGCATCCCATATGCAGGCTATGGTCAATAAAGTGTGCGTTGTGATGCTGTGAGGCTTATTTACTGGAAATCTGTGAAAAATATCTTTATAGCTCATCGTATTCTTCCAGTATAAATACATATTCTGATCTTGATTTCATCAGTGATGGACCAAGAGTGATTTGCCACAGTGCTTTCTCTGCAATTAACCATTCTCTCATATAGCTTGCGTAGACTGTGGGGGCAAGTTCTGTTATCAAGCAACGATTAAAGGCTGGCAAGGATGCACCAAGGGTGACGTGGCCGTGGCCGCAACCGGCCACCTTTGTCTCTCCAGTGCTGATGTTTACACAACACGCTACATTATAATTTATGGCCCAGTCAACCTGCCGGAGGCCCAGGACCGTTTAAGATATTACTCACTGCTGATGTTAGCCATGGTCGTGAATTAAACTTCGGTTGCCAGGTTTGTAGCACAGAGTGTGAACCACTGCAACACTGCTCACACGCACACCCTACCCTCAACTGTACTTGTGCAATAAAGCCATGATGGGACGTAGAGTGCAGTTACGCCTGCATAGGAGTATGTCTATCTATATATTACAACGGAAAAGTCAAAATGATATGCTAAACATAATATCTAATACCACAACTCAGTAAGCGCTGTGAGTGATGGAGCATTACGGTTCTCATCCAGCCAGACTTCCCTTTGTCTGTGTTGAATAAAACAAGCGATGGTAGAGTCTTGATTTAAAGCTTTCGTGACTGCAGGGATTCATATTCTTGGTTCTTTCGGTAAAGTCACCACGTAGAAGGGAAACAATAAAATAATAAAAATATATAAAACAATTACATTTAAAATGTATAAAAATGGTAGAGTTCTGCGCGATAAAATGTTGATGTTTACCGACCAGATAGACCACATGCCGGGTGAATTATTCAAAGCAAGCTAAGCTGGCTTGAGCTTGGACAGCGCTTGGATGGGCAACGACCACGCATGAAACGAGCTTTTGTAGTTCTGCTGCGGTTCTACATTGTGGGCAGTGGATGACGGTGCAGTATTATACGTTGTTGTACTGTACTCATTCACCATAGCTGTCAACCCCTACCTTGTTACAGACCAATTCATGCCTTATTGGTCACCCCGTTCCCCTTATACATCTCAACGTTCGTCCTACAAAGTCCCATCACAAACACATAGACAAAGGTGTCTTGCCCGTATTGAAACGGCTCTACGTCGTATGGACCTGAAAGCTCAACGTCCCTCGACAAGAATAGGGAGTGAACCGTGTGGGCTGACAGGTGTGTCCTACGCTGCCGTGCCTGCGTTCCACTCCTTCACTGACCGTCGTGGTGAGAGTTTGGTCAAACGACCCCCTAGACCCGTAGGGCATAAGGGAGGCCCTCATCCGGCAGTGGATTAACAAACGAACGAACCGTACGCGCGTGATCACGTTCATGGACGCCTGCCAGCAGCCGTGTTGCCACCCCAGTCTCACCTTGACACAGAAGAGCACGGTCATATAAAACACGGAGATGAGGAAAAAAATGAAGAACTTGAGGAACCAGGCGGTCCAGTGCAGCCAGTTGCTGAGACACATCATCTTCATGTACTCCTGCAACGACGGCATAACACGAACAGTCAACGCCTTCGCTTGAACGGCACGGCATCAAGCTACCGAGATCAACACGGGGGGAAAAGTGATTTACTACTCACATGAGCAAGAAACAGCATCAGAATATTTATTAATACCGCAGGAATCCGATGAAATATAAAACTCTTTTTCACAGATGTCCAGTAGGGTCACGGGGTCAGAACGTTACAACAAACACATTAAAAAAACACACGACAGGACTGCAAAGCATTGGAAAGGCAAACAAATCACTAAAAAATATACAAATAAAACCAAGCTATTTTTTTGTTCTTACAAGGTAAAACCCACTGAGGTATTAACTTATTTTGCAGAAGAGACCTGGCCATAAATGATAGCTCAACAAAGTGGCTCATTATGTTTAAATTTATCGCAGCAAAATAATCTCAATCCATGTTGAGTCTAAATGTGGAGGGATCAACTGGAGTACCCAGAGAAAAAAATCCACGCAACCACGGGGAGAACACGCAAACTCCAAATATACAGCAGGCGTCAGGGTCAGGATCAAATTCCCAACCTCCTGCATACCAGGCGAGGTAGTTAACATCACGACACCATTGCGCCCGTTAAATATAAATAAATAAAGTAGCCAAGTTTAAATTGAGTCCAGGCAGTGCTCATCATCTGGTTACAGCCCAGAGCCAGTGGTGGCGAACTCCACATTCCTAAACCAGGGGTGAGTCTATCCACAGGACAACCGCTGTAGACTTCCACTCCAGAGGGCTGATGGGCTGAGTCAACCCCCAAAACCAGGATTTGAACTCACAACCTCCCGACCGCGAGGAGGCGCTCGCTCCACCCCTGCAACCACTAGAGGCGCCACACTCACGACATTACTAACAATCATCGATTGCTGAACACTTTATTTTAACGAATTATCACAACGCGGCTGATGAATCGTCACCATTGAGGGGTAGCAATTCAATAATCGATTATTTTTGTCCCATTTTCACCCTCTCACTTTCATCGTTTCTAGATCTATTTCGTTCTTTAATCCTCGCTCGAAACGCCCGCATTGGCTCCACGAGCCTAAAAGTAACGCGATCAACATTATTTCGACAACGTCTTTGCATAAACGGCCGACAACCTATTAAAATAAATATTTAACCGGCTGGCACAATCCGGGCGCGATTACTCGCCGCACTCCCTCCGATCCTCGACTTCGCCGAGCCGCGACCACCCCAACGCCGCTCACCACCCCCCCCCCCCACCCCACCTTGAGCTTGCTCTCCTTCTCGTGCACCAGCGTGCGCACGATGTTCAGCGCCGTGTACACAAAGCTCAGCATGAGGAGCAGCGGCAGCTGCGTCTGGATGGCGAGGATGAAGATGTCGTCGCGGTACGGCGGGTACGGGAAGCGCTGCACCTCCACGGCCGTCCGGGGGGCCGCACTGCCGAGCCGCTCCGCCGCCGCCGCCGTGATGGCCTCGTCGATGAAGCGCTGCGTCGCCAGGAAGCCCTCGCGGTAGTAACCTGGCGGCCAGCGACGGCGGGGTGGGAGGGGGGTCAAGAAGGCGTCGCGGTAACTTTGGCAGGCACAGGCCGTACCTTGCCATCGTTTCCACGGTTATGCCGAGGTACGCTCGGTCGACCAGCACCCGCCGAGGTGAGCTGCTTGTAGTCTCACCACCGCCGGCCGCCGCTAGCGGGGCTTACAAAAAACCTCGTCACATTATACGCGTCGTATTTCGGCTGTGTGGCTCGCCGACTAAGCTGACCTATTACGTGACTGACCAATTGATTGCTTGAGTCACTGACTAATTATTTTATTGATTGATTGCATAATTGAATGATTGTCTGAATCACTGACTGATTCAGTCCAAGTACGATCAATTGTTTTCCAGGTTAATTGGTTGAATGACTTGTTAATCCATTGATTAAAGAACCAATAAATTGCTTGACCAACTAATTCATCAATTAACCAACCGATCAATTGATTAGTTGAAAGGACCGACCGACCGATTTATTTACGAACTCAATAATTAACCGACTGACTGCTTAACCGGCCGACTGACTTGACGAAGGCCGCCCCCACCTGGCGTTCCACCATCCTTCATGTGTCTCTCCCTTGGGCCCGGCAGCTGGAATAGGGGGAAGAGGAAGATGGTGATCCAGTCGTTGTCCCTGTTGGGGTTCAGTTGGCTCTGTTCGTCGAGGGGCGCATTGCGCGGGCTGTACTTGAAGCGGAGCGAGTACGTCACCTGGGGAGGCGATGCAAAGAACCGCGTGGCACCGTCACATGGAGAATCAATGTACGCGTGATACGCAAGCCACTTCGTTGAGTCACTTGTGACCAGGTCGCCTCTGAATAAAAAAAAGCTAATAGCTCAGTGGGCCTTACTTGGCAAAGGGAAAAATAAATAAAAAAGTAGTTTTAGTTTAATGAGGGATAGGCGACCGACGTTAACGGACCACTCCTGGCGCATGCTCACCTTCTCCGGCAACGGGTCATCGGCGCGGGCGAAGCGATTCTCAAACACCATCGCTGCCAGGACGTTCTCCGCCGACCTATTGTCCGCCTTGATAAAGGCCAGCAGCTCAGCCTCCGAATCGAACGGCAGCGCTGCGGAGAGACGCGCGGCACGCCGAGTCAAGAGGGCTCTTTTCTACATTGCACCTGGGTACAGACGCAAACCCAGACCGCCAAAATCCTATGCTTCAAGCGCCTACTTTCTACTTTGCTTCCGATTGGGGGGCAGGTGGGGGGCGGATGGGCGGGGGGGCCGCACGTTCACAGAGCAGGCGCACCTGCGAGCGTGCCGGAGGCGGCTCGATGGACGCGCTCTGCGATATCGTGGACGGCCGTCACGTTGGCCGGGGTGAACGCCAGGAACCAGCCCTTGTCGCGGAACTCGGGGAACTGGCGATGGTGGAGCCACATGAGGCTGTCGGGCAGGCGCGACAAGGACAGCGGCGAGTAGATGGTCGCGTTGGGGTGCGAAGACTCGGGAACGCGCTGCCGGATCGCGATCAGAATGGCGGCGAAGAGCGCCGGCAGAGCCAGCTCCACCAGCGTCACCAGCACCTGGCGCTTCTGCTCACGCAACACGTGCCACACACGAACACGCACCGCATTGCACGCGACATAAACCAAGGGCAGTCTGCCACGCGCCATGCACCTCCGATAATGCCACGTACGTACGTTGAACTTGATTCTCACCGTCCGTCGCCAACCACGCTAATCAGAGGTGCGGGGGAAGGACAACAAACTAAACACAAAAAGCAGTTCGAAAGAAATGATTTTCTTAATCTATATTTAAATGTGCATAGATCCAGTGGCTTCCTAATATCGGAAAGAAGAGCGTTCCAGATGGCCGCGCAAAAGCGCATCCGAAAGCGCGCGATGCGGTGACCAGCTTTGTTCGACGGTTAGTCAAAAGCCGCTGCTGCTGCTGCGAGGATGACCACCGGAGTCGACGTGATGATGGTTCATGCCCCTTGATGATTAGCACGGTTGGCTACGCACAGTGCGAAATGTTCAACATACGTACACACGTGCATTCTGCATCACACGCTGTGTGCCAGGCATCGCGCGCTATGCTCCACACAGCATGCGGCACGTGCTATGCAGCGTGCGGTCCACACCGCACACCCGGACACCGCACGCTACGTACCATGTAGAAGGCACCACTCGCCCCGCATCATGCAATGCACACCACACATCGCACATCAGCAACTGCATGAATTTAAAAGTATAGCTTTGTAAGGATTTTAATCATCGGCTATGAAAGCCAACTACTAGTGCCTATCAAGGTTGCTCGATATATTATCCAGGATATCCATGAAGGTGTTCATGATGAATGAACTTCAATCTGAAAGTAGTTTGAGCTTGATGAATAAAACCATTCGAATAACACGCGTATTTTTAAGCAGCTTTGAAATGAGAAGGAACTAAACGCCTCCCAAACACAAATCAACAAATACAATCGCGATCCGACTCACTCTGACCTTTGGCTGCACTCTTTACACGTGTGTGTGTCAAACTGCTCCGAGATTATTCTACGAGTCTTTGCCAACAGACCATAAATGCCGACACAATTTGAAGTCTCACACAGCATGTGTTTTTTATTAAGGCGGCTTCTATGGCCAACACGACACCCCCAAGGTTAAGTCCGCCGTTAATGAACAATGTCGCAGCAAGTTTTAGGAGACACCTCTGACCTGGCCAATAGGTAGGTCACGAAAACACGTACAGCTACTTGCGGACGTGTTCCAGAAAGTAGACCTCAAGGCCTATCACTCTGAAAGAAAGTATCCAGGGCTTTGGAAATTATGGCTTATTTATGGAATACGAGAATGGTCTTGACACACAAACACATGCGGAACCGAATGCACTCCATCGCCATCCCAGCATGGATGGGAAAAGGTCAATTTGTCTGGTCACGCCCGACACCGTGATGTTTTATGAGCAAAAGGTGGACAGATGATTTCTCTCCGAATGGCGGTCCTAAACGGCTGACGAAATATTCCCAATTACACTAACGATGACTCACAGATTTTAAGCGTCTCCAATATGCGTACAAAATCGTAGAATTACCCTTGTAGTTGTATATCCTCCTGAAACACTGTAGGATACAGATTTTTTTTTTATGTTACACATTGTGCTTGTAATTTGTCTCGTGTCTGTTCGTTTCTACTGTTCTGTACTCAGCAACCGCTTCGAGGCTGTTGATGTATTTGCGTGACACAAGTCTCCCGCTTAAAACAAAAACTTTAGCTGGGACCACTAAGCTACTACTGTTCTAACACATTGACATTTTTATGACTGCAATGAACATGCCCCGTGCTTTGACCAAGGACTGCAGATAAGATTAAGGTCTTGGGGATGTTCAAGCCTCCATTATCGACGGCCCCGGGTTGCGGCTTCGAGTTTATTTATTTAACCAGGTGAGAAAGAGACCAGGATAAGTCTCAATGCAAGAGAAACCAGGATCACCAAAATAAAAAAAATCGCTTTATTGCCAACTTATGGGGGTAATCATTAACCAGAGGCTTCCGCATTAAATGTTACTGTGGACAACTGTACAAAAACTTCCAATTCGAAAAAAAAAAACAGCTTCAAAGGAGCAAAGAAAAACAAAAACGTTCTCAATGAGAATCTTTAGTAAAATTATTCCAAAATAAATAAAAACGACGCACAGGGGATTCTCGGTGCACGTTGCCGAACGACCGCCAACGGGCTCCGAGGATCACATGACCGCTCCTTCACCAATGCGCACACATGAGTTTGTCCCATCATGCTAACTCAAGATGTGCAACAAAATCGCTACGCGCATTCCTTCGCTTACAACTGAAACGTTGACGTGTAGTTCACGCACTGCGGTCCACATATTGCGTTCAATGCGAGGTGTTGGGGCGTTGTTGGTACTATACAATCGTGGAAAACGCACAGCCAGCGGACTTGCAAGATGCCCCCTGAATTTTGCCTTAAAATAGAATCCGGATAAAAAACCGTAAGCCTTCGCGCATTGTACGCCTACAGCAAAGCGTGGTGATGGGGTAAACCGGACAGAGATGCAGGGACTGCAGACAGCCAGTCAGCGCCTTATCAATACCAACTTGCTTGGCTTCAGACTGGACCACTGAGCAAATACAACACGGACAACTCCAACCCGAACTTGGCAACGATGTTCCAATGTGGAATTCACTTGAACTTCGCGAGAGATTAACAGCCGTTTTGTTGTGCAACGCTATTCCTCACTTTGAATCCAGAATTTTACCGGATGAGAAAATGGGTGCTTTGTGCCCTGTTAGTTTGGGCCATCATCACGCGATAAGGTTTAGATTTATGCAGCGTGTAAATGCGGTGATGAGATGTTAACTACCTCGCCTGGTATGCAGCAGGTCGTGGGTTCGATCCAGACCATGATGCCTGCTGTATATTTGGAGTTTGCGTGTCTCTCTCTCCTCACAGTCACTGGCGGACCCCCACTGCCACTGCGTAGCATATTATTACGTGCCAGGGACTCTATGAGATGATAGGACAATAGTCTGCGTCCATAATTGGCAATAAGTAACGGCAAATCGGTTATAAGGGACTCACAGAATTGTGCGCATTTGCGTAAACAGTCCACGACTTCCCTGAAGGCATCAACACCTTCAGCGAGCGCGATGCCGATCACACAACGCGGTTCGAATTCGACCCTCGATCGATGGCTGCGCCATCACCGCACACGCGTCCAATAAAAAACAAGGGACAAGACCTTACTTATTTAGTAACAACTCCTTACTTGCTAACAACTCCTTACTTACTAACAACTCCTCTATCATATTCTTAGTTTTTTCGGTAAAGTCACGTTGAAGAGAAACAACAAAATAACAAAATATATATAATGTGACTTTACCGAAAAAACTAAGAATATGAATTACTGCAGTCACGAAAGCTTTAAATCAAAACTCCTCTATCATTTTTCATTGCTGGAGGGGTTGCCCCCCCCCCACCCCCACCTGAACATCCTGGCTCTGCCATTGCTCACTCACGTGGATTTTTCTCCGGGTCCTCCGGTTTTCCCTCCCCATGTATTAACATGTGTTTAGAGTATTTGGCTGATATACATTTCCACGTGATAAGCTACTTCGTGGAGCTATCATATGTGGCCAGGTCACTTCTAAACAAAGAGCTGTATAGCTCAGTAGGCCTAACCTGGTAAAAAAAAAGTTAAATTCGTTTTAGTTTAGACTTGCACCTCAAGGCGCTGCACAGAAAACAGTGCAAACATTTAATAGCCTTCATCCAGCAGTGGATTGGTCGATGTGAGTTAATGTGGTATGGCAGCTTTAATTTATTCTGCAATTAGAAAATGAGAACATCCCGTTGATCTTTTAACTCAGTGGATCCTTAGTTGGTGATTAAACTTTTTACATTTTCACGAGGGCATTGTTGCTTTTTACAAGTTGATCATTACCAGCAAAACATCGGAGTACTCGAATTGTAAATGTTGTGGGTTTACTCTCCAACACACGGGGGTGTGCTGAACGAGTAACTAATTGGCACGTTTTGTTTACGTGACAAACCTTATGAATTGGCTGCGGGATTCACCGACACATTTATATTTACGGGATCTGACCCCCCCAAAAAAACACTCTACTATGGATCATTTTGGTCGAGAAAGCCTACGACGTGTTGGACTGTTACGAGTTATATTCTTAGCTCTTTCGGTAAAGTCACGTTGAAGGGAAACAATAAAATAATAAAATATATATAAAACAATAAAAATTCTCACGACGTTTCGACCATAACACCTGATGACGACCGTTTGCGTTATGGTCGAAACGTCGTGAGAATTTTTGTTTTATATATTTTATTATTTTATTGTTTCCCTTCAACGTGACTTTGCCGAAAGAGCTAAGAATATGAATTACTGCAGTCACGAAAGCTTTAAATCAAAATGTTACGAGTTAGTTGGGACAGACTGCGCTGGGCCACCGTGACACGACGATTAAATGTCCCCATTCATCCAGACTCGATGCATCTGCACGTGCGGTTACTCCTACCCCTCCTGGGTAGTGGCGATCCCAGGCGTGAAGCAAAAACAAAGCCAAGCGTCTCCTCGTGCAAGCCGGCATGGGGCAGGTTAATCTCCGTCTGCAATGTTGACAATTCCACATTCCTCTTGAAGGAACCGGTCACTGTACACCCCATAACATTCCTTATATATACTCTAAGGTGGTATCTTTCTTGTCTTTATCAATCTCTTGTATTCTTGGGTGTACACTGTACAGAAATCCCATGGGCTAGAACAGAACTTGGTTCCACGATAGACAGTAAACATTTAGGTGATACCAGTTTGTGTATATGGCTAATACAAGTGAATTGTATAATTCACTTTTACTGGAGATTTAATCATTTGGTAAAACTTACGTTCTTCCTTCTCTAATGGTACCAACAAATGTGTCATGTGAGCCCCATGAACGACGTCTCACAAGCACATAACACACCCCAACAAGGCACGTGGAGCAAGTACGGATGTATAATTATAATTACAACATCTCAGCTTGACCAAACGATAGTACAGGCAACTTGGGTCTTCCGACACCCAACACAAACGCAGCCAGTGTGGTGAGGGCCGATGCTGCAGTGGGAACCAGACACCGCCTTTGTGTCAACCGAACACAGGCACTCCATTGAACCCACACAGACGTGTCAATTGGTGTCAGCGAGCACCTATTAAGGCTGGCACAGCACACGAAGGAGAGAGGATGGGGTGTGTGGCCAATACTGCACATGGCCACCTTTGACACCACAGTGGTGACGTTTACATACAATGGCAGGTAATTATTTTTGGGCTGGCATTATCTTGAGGACGGGTAACGCAGGTGGAGATACCAATGACCAAAGTTGTTGTTGTTCCTTAGTGTGAACAACTGCCCAGCCATTTGCACGATGCCACCACTCCTTTGCCACACACAGACACACACTACGGGTACACGTGCCCTCACGTTAACCACACACACCATAGTACACGTGCTGCGCCACACGAACCAGACACTGCAAGTGCTGTACGGTGCCACATTAACCATATACCACGGGGTAAAATTATTAACCACACACACACACAGCGGCAGTACATGTGCTGTACTGCATTAACCAATCGTGCCAGCATGCCACTCTTGTTAATGCGACTATCCTGGTGTCTCTTGAGGTCTCACTTGGTAAATACAAAATTAACTCAAAACACACACTTAGGGTATCACACCTGTATGGGTTTGACCCTGACAGACCGGAGAATTCTGTGTTCGAGTTATAGAAATTCATCTGCACCGAGAACCGGCGGTATTGTGTGGAACTTTATCAGCGTACACAACGCCGCAGTTTTGGTCGACCTCTGCTGACTGTGCAAATGTGTCGGGGTTTTTTTTTTGGGGGGGGGGGGTGGTTGTTGAAGCGAAGGAAAACCGCACAAGCAGGGGAACAATATTCACCGCCCACTAAGAGCAAAAGTGTTGCCATGATAAACACATTGCCACGTGCCACGTTACCTGCAGTACATAGTTCTTCCACAGCAGTAACCCAAAACTGCCTCAGTCTGGCCATTGTGTTTCCGTCAGGACTCTTGTTGCCTTGAAGACTTCCAAATAAGGCCCGAGCAGCAGATGCTGGACGACAAACAGGAGTTGAACAACAATTCGTTACTACATCACCTTCATTACTACATCACCTTCGTTACTACATCACCTTCATTACTACATCACCTTCATTACTACATCACCTTCATTACTACATCACCTTCGTTACTACATCACCATCATTACTACATCACCTTCATTACTACATCACCATCATTACTACATCACCATCATTACTACATCACCTTCGTTACTACATCACCATCATTACTACATCACCTTCATTACTACATCACCTTCATTACTACATCACCTTCATTACTACATCACCTTCATTACTACATCACCATCATTACTACATCACCTTCATTACTACATCACCAACATTACTACATCACCTTCATTACTACATCACCATCATTACTACATCACCTTCATTACTACATCACCACCATTACTACATCACCTTCATTACTACATCACCATCATTACTACATCACCTTCATTACTACATCACCACCATTACTACATCACCACCATTACTACATCACCTTCATTACTACATCACCATCATTACTACATCACCTTCATTACTACATCACCTTCATTACCACATCACCATCATTACTACATCACCATCATTACTACATCACCATCATTACTACATCACCTTCATTACAACATCACCATCATTACTGCATCACCTTCATTACTGCATCACCTTCATTACTGCATCACCTTCATTACTACATTACTACATCACCTTCATTTCTACATCACCTTCATTACTACATCACCTTCATTACTGCATCACCTTCATTACTACATCACCTTCATTACGACATCACCATCATTACTGCATCACCTTAATTACTACATCACCTTCATTACTACATCACCATCATTACTACATCACCTTCATTACTACATCACCTTCATTACTACATCACCATCATTACTGCATCACCTTCATTATTGCATCCCCTTCATTACTGCATCACCTTCATTACTGCATCACCTTCATTACTACATCACCTTCATTACTACATCACCACCATTACTACATCACCACCATTACTACATCACCACCATTACTACATCACCACCATTACTACATCACCTTCATTACTGCATCACCTTCATTACTACATCACCATCATTACTACATCACCATCATTACTACATCACCATCATTACTACATCACCTTCATTACTACATCACCATCATTACTACATCACCATCATTACTACATCACCATCATTACTACATCACCTTCATTACTACATCACCTTCATTACTACAACACAACACAACCTGAGCAACACAACACACAAAACACAGCCTGAGCAACACAGCACACAAGCTGAGCAACACAGCACACAACCTGAGCAACACAACACACACACCACAACCTGAGCAACACAACACACAACCTGAGCAACACAGCACATAACCTGAGCAACACAACACACACACCACAACCTGAGCAACACAACACACAACCTGAGCAACACAGCACACAACCTGAGCAACACAACACACACACCACAACCTGAGCAACACAGCACACAACCTGAGCAACACAACACACACAACCTGACAATACAACACAGAACCTGAGCAACACAACACACACACCACAACCTGAGCAACACAACAACACAACACACACACCACAACCTGAGCAACACAACACACACACAACAACACAACACACCACAACCTGAGCAACACAACACACAACCTGACAACACAACACACAACGACACACAAGCTGAGCAACACAACACACAAAACACACAAGCTGAGCAACACCACGCGCCTTTGTCCAGCGTGTGTACTGCGTCCACCCAAGTGTACTGCAGCAGAGTGCACAGCTGTTAGTGAAGTAGTCGTAGGGAGCAATGTAACCATCAGCATCATCAGTGTGCTGTAGAGTGTCCACTGTGTGATGATGTACACCACGCTGTACTCGCACAGCACACACACACAGCGTGATAGCAGACTGTGTGCGGGGTCATTACTCAGGACTCTGTAATGACTCAGCAGGGACTCAGGACTCTGTACTGTTTGACATGCACTGCCCCTACAGGGTAGCGGTCCAGATGTCTTGTGACCCCCCCCCCCCAAAAAAAATTAAATAGGCCCATAAGATATGTCGGCTTTTGCACGTTGTTTAATGTTCTAAGTAAAGCTTACTTATTCGATAATTTAATTGGGAAGTGGGGGGTGTGTGTGACAAGACGTCTAGACCACCCTGTTGTACACTGTTACGTAACGTGGCGAGCGCACTGGCCTACGAGCCAGGCCAGCAGAGTTCGACTCCCGGCCACCATCAGTGGCTAGCGATGTGTGGAACCCCCCCCCCACCACACCAAACATTGACCAGCGCGGTGAAGTATGGTCAAAACGAACCTCCAGAACTTGACGAATCCGAGCCTGAGCCAATGTAAAATATATCGCTGAGGGCTTCAACGCGCGCGTGAACACCACCCACTGCCGCCTGCCTCTAGCAGTGGTGGTATTGTTGTTGTAAAAGCAGTAGCAGTGGCGTGTTGTGTACGACGACTGTGATGGCGTGGACGACGAAGCGAGTCGCTCGCCCCTCTCTTTGTGTCTCCCCCTCGCCGTGTCTCCCTCCTCCACCCCCTCACCCCCAAGGCGGCAGCAGTAGCAGCAGAGCGTCGCCTCTTCACGCAGCACGCACAAACATCGCCGTCTCCTCCTTCTCCTGCTGCTCCTGCTGCTGCTCCTCCTCCTCCTCCTGCTGCTGCTTCACCGCCGTGACGGCAGCGCGTTCGGAGCGGGGGGCGATGTCGCCACGCCTTTGTCTCTCCCCCTACTCGCCGCCCGCCATGCGAGACGCCGGCCACAGCGAACCGAGCTTTGTTCCTACAGGCCCCGGCTTCGTGGGATGGTTGTTGTTGTTGCTGCTGTTGTTGTTGTGGTGGTGGTTTAGGGTGTCGCTTGTCACCCGCCTGCCCCGGCTCCCTGTTGACGATGGCCCCGGGCGCGATCAGCTGACGCGGGGACCCGGATCCACAGGGCCCGTCACTGGGGCCGGGTTGTGCCCTGGGTGGGCGGAGTTGTGCCTGGTGGGCGGAGTTGTGCCTGGGTGGGCGGAGTTGTGCCTGGGTGGGCGGAGTTGTGGGTGGGTGGGCGGAGTTGTGGGTGGGCGGGGGTTGTGGGTGATGTTGTGGTGGGTGGGGTTGTGGGTGGGTGATGTTGTGGTGCGTGGTGTTGTGGGTGGGGTGGTGTTGTGGTGGTGGTGTTGTGGTTGTGTGGTTGTTGTGGATTGTGGTGTTGTGGGTGCGTGGTGTTGTGGGTGGGTGGTGTTGTGGATGGGTGGTGTTTTGGGTGCGTGGTGTTGTGGGTGGTGTTGTGGTGGGTGGTGTTGTGGGTGGTGGTGTTGTTGTGGGTGGTGCGTGGTGTTGTGGATTGGTGGTGTTGTGGGTGCGTGGGTGTGTGGGTGGGTGGTGTTTGTGGGTGGGTGGTGTTTTGGGTGCGTGGTGTTGTGGGTGGTGTTGTGGTGGGTGGTGTTGTGGGTGGGTGGTGTTGTGGGTGGGTGGTGTTTTGGGTGCGTGGTGTTGTGGGTGGTGTTGTGGGTGCGTGGTGTTGCGGGTGGGTGGTGTTGTGGTGGGTGGTGGTGTTTGGGGCGTGGTGTTGTGGGTGGGTGGTGTGGTGGGTGGGTGGTTTTGCGGGTGGGTGGTGTTTTGGGTGCGTGGTGTTGTGGGTGGGTGGTGTTGTGGGTGGGTGGTGTTGTGGGTGCGTGGTGAGTAATCAGAGCTCGGGCTGAGCATCTACATCATGGACCTCCTTTGCCAGTACCAAAATATAAGAAGAGGCGTTAAGATTTTGATTTAAAGCTTTCGTGACTGCAGTAATTCATATTCTTAGTTTTTCCTCTTCAACGTGACTTTACCGAAAAAACTAAGAATATAATAGGCGTTAAGATGTTAAAACACCAAACTGAGACAAGGCTCAAAAGAAAGCTGTCTCTGGTGTGAACCAATCAGTATCAAAGACAATGCATATATTATCAGAGTATGTTTTTTGTTTGCATTCTGACACACAGTATTGTGGTTAATGCACACATGACCTCCTTGTAAAAGGTTTCAGTTTGGTGTTTAACAACTTAACACCTATTTTGTTTCCAGAAAAAAGGAGAAACCTATTTTCATCTTATACTCTGGTTCTTTCGGTAACAACTGTTTTATTCCCGAAAGGGTAAACCCTCTTGTTATGTTTTCATACTGGCAAGAAAGGTCCAATATTCTGTCGGTGATGTCCAAGACGTGAAAAATGTCAATGCGTGTGTGCGTGCGTTATATCATTTGCTGAGCAAGGCCAAAAAAAGGGCCCAACGCAGCCAGCAGCCAGCAACAGACAGCATCGTTAGATGTGTAATGGAAACACGTCTGCCGAGTTTGAGCGAGGTTTTCGTTGACCTTTATCATTAGTATTACTCACATCTTGATTTGAAGCTTTAGCGACTGCAGGAATCCATACTCTTTGGTTATTTCGGTAAAGTCACGTGGGTATCTTATAAATAAATCCCGACGTTTCGGGCGCAACACAAGCGTCCGTCATCAGGTGGGAGAGCGTGGTCTGCTGCTGGACAGACTGTTTTAAAATGTTTGAAATGGGTGTAGCAGCAAACCATGCTATCCCACCTGATGACGGACGCTTGTGTTGCGCCCGAAACGTCGTGATTTATTTTATTTTATACCCACGTGACTTTACCGAAAGAACCAAAGGGTAATAAGTATTACTGTTGGTTTACCAGAGATGCCTGACGAGTCTCGAGATTTTTCAGGAGAGTCCTGCCAAGTTTTCAAAAGTAGGGGGGGGGCGATGTTGCTTTGTAATACTAATAATCCCAATTTAGTAATTTGCACGTCAATTAAAAAAAAACACAAAAAATGGCAAAGAGTGAACACTTTGGAAACGAGACAATGGGAAGGAACTCCTAAGCGGACCACTGCGAGGGAAGGAGCGTAACGTGCGTGTGACCTGTAGAGTGGTGAAGTTTGGATGATACAAAACAGTCCGTCCGGCAGACCGAGGTCTCAACGTGGGCGGAAGAATCAAAGAGTGAAGTTCCCGGGAATTGCAATCGTTCGTTGTAGGAGCAACAAAAGTGACAGCGAGGCAACTGACCGTCGGTGACCGGAGTGAAGCAGCGAGTGCTGGATCATCAACCAACCCGACTGCTTTATGTAGAACTTATTTCGCACCGTACGGAGCCAACGATGACTCTCATCAGAGGTTCAGGGGGATGGACACGTGGGTGGGAACTGGGTGTTCCACTCTCAAACACGACGGCAGTATTCTAACTTAGTCCGAGCCTGTGATGTGTAGGACTGAAAAAAACTTAAGTTGTGTAAAATAAGATAACACTTCAGTAGTCACTATTACAATAACCGCCATCCGCCACTAAGTGGCGGTGACGTCGCCACGGCCCCTGTGCCAGGCTAGGTGCACGTTAAGGCCACGTGAAGTGTCGAACGCCCGCTGGAAGGTCACGGGACAGACCCAGGTGCCAGTGGGTCGACTGAGATAAGTTGTCAATGCACCGCCTGTGCCACAATTTTACTTGAACCGTTGAGACCTATAATCGTAGAACCTGGTTAATAAACGTACGTCGATTACTGCTACTAAGCTTGTTATTTATCTGACATTCTAGATTTGAAGCTTTCGTGACTGCAAAGATCCATACTCTTTGGTTCTATTCGGAAAAGTCACGTAGGTAAAAATAAAACAAAAATCACGTTTCGGCCACAACACAAGCGGCCTTCATCAGGTGAATGTCAGATAAATAACAAGCTTAGTAGGCCGCTTGTGTTGTGGCCGAAACGTCGTGATTTTTGTTGTTTTATTTTGTACCTACGTGACTTTACCGAATAGAACAAAGAGTATTATCTGACATTGTCGACTACATCCGGCCCGCTGACAATACTTAGCCGTCGCCGTAAAGCATCTTGGCCACACTAATCGGAACTTGTAGCGAGGGGGGAATGTTTATCCCAAGTGTCTTATTTCAACGCGCCCATTCTGTAACTGCAAGGGCACTTGTCATAAGCAGCTTCAAAGCAAGCAGACCCCCCCCCCCCCTCCATTTGGGCAAAATGTCAGCAACAGGACAATGTGATACTCGAGTGAAAAGTTGTACTGTTCACGTTGAAACTATTTCTAATTTTTCAATGACCTGATATTGGAGGTCAAATACACGTTCACCAGGAAGTTCAAATGTCGTTCAACGCGAGCACAAACGTGCGCGCATGCTGGTATGTGATAGCAGAAATCGTATAAAACCACTCTTTCACAGCGAGTTTTTTTTAGGATATTAAAAAAATGTATCCCGCATTGTGTCCGACCTTGTTGGATCTCAAAACGAGCAGGCTCGAGTCTGGTGAGTACTTAGCTAGGCGACTGCCTGAGAATAATAGCAGGTAGGGACGGCTTGCGTAACAAAGTGGCTGGATGGCAGTACAGCAACAATGTTTCTGAGCTCCGAGTGGAGAGCAGCGTTCGTCACTAATTTTCCAGAGGAGGGCCACTTTCGCCGATAAGACATCAGTGCGAGGGCCGCCACACATTTGAGACCATGCTGTGTTTGACAGAAGCAGCACGGTGTTGGTGGTGTTGTTGTCACATGTTGTGTATTGTCAGGGGCCGCACTAAAGGCCACAAGAGCCGCAGTGCTGTTGAGTATGTGACTTTCCTACCACAAGCAATATTGAACTTGGCCAAACATCCAAATGCAGGGCCCTCCTGAAAACATCCCGGGTCAGTGGATTTTCCTGGGCAGAGGCTAAAAATGTATTGTACTGTACTGTATTTATAAGATGAGTCCAAATTGAAGTGTCTTTTTGCAATAATATACATTTAGCATTTTTTGTATGTTATTGAAAGCACAATGTAATTACATACACTGTATAGTTACAAACCATAACACCACATGCTACCAGTTTATCAACCCGTCAAGAGGGCATTGTATACCCCCACAGAATATTAACAGACTGCTGGGGCTGAACCTGCGATAAAATCAGCATGGGGCCACAAAAGGACGAGCAGCCAAGGCAATGTTCTTTACAGCAGTTTATAATTCAATGTACACAATCCACAAAAACACGCAAATAATTTGTTACATGCGACCAATTATTATTTTCGTCGTGACATTTAAAAAGGCACTAAGTTAGATTTTATTATTCTCTGCATCAGTTCTGTGTTTTTTTAAATAACAACTTGTGTTGTTAACTCCTCTGGTAACTTATTGTACTTTTAAAAGTACAACTATATTATGGTCAACTACACACTCGGCTATAAAACGTCCCATGTCCGCAACCAAGCACTGCCCTCAAGTGCATTATCACACACTCAAAATATACATTTGTAATTTAAACATGTAAACATGCTGTTTCAGCTCATTCTCATTTACAAGCTTTGCATAAGATGTAATTCATACCCATATGGAAAACACCAGTGGTGAGACTCAAATAACAATTGTGAAACAATAACATTTGTTCAAGTGGCATTTGCAGCTTGAGTTAAGTCCCTGGCAGTTGTCCAATGGGAAAATAAAGTAAATGTTTAAGATACATGTATTACTGTTGTGCTTTGAGAAAATGTTTACACCAGGGTAAATATGTACCATTTTAATTCTAAGCTTTGTATATCTTTGGCACTCTCCCCGACACTTGCAAGTACCCGATAAATACCGCATTTAAATTATCTCAGCAGAAAAGTGTGCACGATGCTGCCTCCCAAAAGCAACATTGTCTATCGAGCAAAGCATCTAACCAATAAATGTCTTTGTTCCTTTCGAAAGATGACTGAGCGAGGGGAGAAATCTCCGTTTGGTCGCAAATTTGGTAAAACAGCAACTAACAGCAATGGGTCTATTAAATTTATACTTTAATTTGCGACACAATCTTTACCCAAATTATGCTTCTGCATCTACAATAAAATGTAAATTGTACAATCAACCGTACCGTGTAGGATTCACATTAAACTATCAAGCACTGGAAAAAAACAAGTGTTGATAATTTATAAAACTGTATTCATGTAATCACTTCTCATTTCTTTGTAATGGCAAAACAAAGTTGCCATTAAATCCTTTGAGGCTAATACTTGATTACCAGCAAAATTGATATTTCAAAATATCTCTAAACCGATTTGGAGCCATTCCCTTCAATACTGAAACACCAAAAATAATGCTGAAATGCATTTAACGCGAAATGTTAAAGACGTAATAAAATTAAGCTACATACTGTACCCTAAAGGTAATTGGGTGATTCCATCCGGAATTCACCATCAACAACGACACATTGTTACTTTCCCAAATGTTCACGGTTACATTTATCGCGATAAAAACCCGGCACTAGAAGAAAATGCAACGTTGGAGCCCAACTTCGTTCGTTCCTCCATCCGCTTGTCCTGGTGAGGGTCGCGGCGGCAGCGTGTTGAGTGGTGCCGCCCCAAACAAAAGTACCGATTCAGAAGGGAACCCCCAAGTTCTCTTCTCTATCCAAGCACTGCCTTTCGAAAACGTTCCCAATATCAAGGCAGCCCCCATATGGTCTGCTCCAGTACAGCAATGACTGTTTAGGCGATTGTACATTTCACAGGAGAATGAAAAGGATATGGCATCATTCCCTACAAAACAGAGTTAACAGCACGGCAAACCGCAGAACTCACTATCCAACAGGTCATCATCCACCGAATGGTAATACATCAGCAATGTTCAAGGTTTCAAGCTGTACGAATCCCGTAAGCTCCTGCACCTCATCGTTCTAACGCTTTTGAAACGGGCCAATGATAAAATGTTGCCGGCACTTTGCATTGTGGGTAGCCCTGCTGCAGTGTTCACAAATCCACGAGTGTAACCCATTCATTGACTCTCTCGTAAGCCCACTTATCATATAAATTATTGAGTCTTACTCATAATAATTGGGTTAAGGATGACCGATTAATTATGCTTGTAATTATCTAAACCATGTTCATCAACATGACTACCTATAATGCAATATTCCAGAAACATTTTCTAATTTAACTTTTAATACAAATGAGTTTGTGGGAAAAAAAAAATGTGGTATTAAGTTTGTCTGTTAGACGATATCTAAAATGAGATAATTTATATGCCCATTTAAAACTGTTAATCAGGAAAAATTGTTGATGTTTAATTAATGTTCAGGCCCCATGGTGCAGAGTGCAGACTCTAACCATGATCCATCACTCTGGCCCCTCAGTGTGCGACGGAGATGGGCCATTACCCATAACACAACCTACTAAATCTGTTTTACTTTTAAGGCCACAACGTTATGGACAAACATGTCCATTTTTTACACGTTTGTTTATATCACACATAGGTGTTCACGGCCAATTATAAAGATCCATAACTTGTTTTATTTTGGGTAAGATCATCTAGGTATGTCATCTAAACGCTATCACCCTCCACCAACTGACAAAGCCAAACAAATAAAGTGTTCGCATTGCCAAATGTGACAATTGAATGTTTTTCAGCAAACGGTGGCATGTTGTTTGGCTTGTGTACAACTGTCAAAGCAGTATCGCTTCACAATGTTTCACTCTTGAAACAGGTTCCTCTGCGCAGAAGACCCCGACACAAAGAGGTAGTTTCCTTTTTGCAGCTGCATCAACGGTTAATGAGGTGGGAGACTCCCCCCAAACAATTGCTCAGCAGGCACGGTCCATCACAACCAAGTTTATCCACAGCTGTCAACTCACCCGCATGTAGCTGCCAGACAAAATTCACGACAAAAAAAAGTTCAAACCGCAATACATTTGCCAGTGCGGCAGCAGCACCATGAAAGGCTCCGTCAAGATCCCCCAAATTGAATCACAAGGGGTGTTCAAAAGTCAAGGCCGAAAAGGGGACACTCGTTCTAGGACTTGCAAGTGATCTGGAAGCGAACGCTGATATAGCAATGCGGACAAAGCACATTTCACCTTGCGATGTGACGACACGATTGAGTCATGAGAGAGCAACGCGTTTCCTGCCAGTACGACAGCGGTGGGTTAATACTTAATGAGGGTTACCACGATACGACGATGCTCAAAACAAGAGTACATTACATACACCCATTTAATAATAACATATAAAACTTCCACTTCCTATCACCGGGTTCACGGACCGACCCACACGTGCTTCCCTGGTGTACGTCTACTTGTTAGGCCGCTTGATTGCGGTGAACGCTCTGAAGCCATCGTCTTCGAGCCAAAAGCAGCTGTTCACAGCACGGAGTAAACAGAAACCAAACAGTGCTTTTTTTATTGTGGACGTCATAAGGAAATTGACTTTGAACATCGATGCATATGTTAAATGCCTGGATACAATAAAACATTTTTTTGAGAAACTACATGTAAAAAACAACCATAAATACAAACACAAGGGCATCGTTGCCAGTGCAAGCATCAACACCCTTGAGACTTATGACCACTCCCATTCAATGCTTTCACAGGTTTGGTGAACGCAACATCTGTAACATTACACATTGGACGCATTGATTTTGTGCGAGGAAAAAAAATCTTGCTAAACATGAACCCAGCTCGAGATGCAAATCGGGAGAATATTTAGAGCTTAACAAAAAAAAGTCAGTGACAAATAATGAAATCGACTAACTTCTCCAGACGACAATATTTTCCAAACGAAAACAAAACCCCTGGAAGAAGTTGTGCACCCAAGGCCAACGCAGCACCCCGTATATACAACCGCCATTCGCAAAGTGGCGGTGGCGTCACCACGATGCTCGTGCCAGGCTACGTGCATGTTGAGGCCATATATATACACACACCATTTTGGAAAATGGACATCTTGCACCGGATGCAGACACTACCATAATTCTCATTGCACACATGCAATGCTTTACATGACAGAGCTCCAAGCAACTTCAAGAGAGTGGCAAGAAGCAGTTAGGTTCAGCAATGTCACTCACTCAAACCCATGCAAATGGCACTAGGTAGCACTTCCATTTGTTGGCCACTCGGACCAACAGAGCAGGGCAACATTATTCAACTTCGCCCACTCGACCGTTAAACACGGAAACGATTATAATTTCAAGGCACTTAGTTGAAGGCTCTCAGCTTACCCTTTCAACAGGGTCAACACACGTTATTGCTCGACCTCGGCATAGGTACCCCTCCATTAAATTCAACCTTGCTCATCTGTAAGACAGGAACATGTGCAGGAGGAAGTACCAGCATTGCTCTGCAGATTAAGTTCCTACTTCTCTACACTCTATATATTTATTTCAATTAGTAGCAATGGCTCAAATCCCCAATGTTCTCGAGGAGGGGGCAGTCTTTTAATACGTTTAATCGCTCACATTACATATTTTGCTCACATTTTCAAGCGCATTGAACCATTTGAAGCGTTACAGCATCACATCCCTTTCGTCAAGTAGGTTTAATCGTAAACTACGGCAGAACTCTACGTTCCAGAACTGGAGCCGGAGACACGATCACTGAGATTGTGTTATCATCCCAAACCGCAAGACTCCATTTCCCTCTCCACCGCTTGCACCCATACAAGTGTGTCCTGAGTATTGGCACAGTGCAGACCTGTTGATGTGTTTTTTTGTCGAGGAATAAAACGTAATTGCTTTGCAAAAAACGTGCCAATCGTTCAATTCCAATGAGAAAAATGAAGATCAGTAATTATGTAGGGAAAATGGTTCTGAATTTTTTTTCATCTGTTGCAAAAAAAATCTTCAGGTCTGAGCAGGCAAGCACAGTTTGTCAATTTACTTAGTGGTTAGAGGTGCCGATCTACTGGAGATTCTACCAGCGGTCTCATTGGCTTGCACACCATTGGCGCCGTAACAGGTCCTATTGAGATGTAATCATCCAACAGCATGACAAGAAATGCGACTGGACTCGCAGAGCGCATACATACAAAAAATAAAGCTACGATTTCCAAACACGTGCCGCTGGTGGTCTTGAGAAAGGAAAAAAACATTTGTAAACAGGTGACGCTCTTCGAATCCAGGTGAAGTTTCCTTCCCAGGCTCTTGTACTATTTTGAACGCACTTTCATTTAAATCGAAAACGCGCACACATGCACGCGCACACCATCAACACAATTTTGGCTTACGCGTCGCCGGCATGGCCCTCCCCGCCTACGCGTGCTAGGAAGCAACGTCAGCGTTCTCCACCCCGTGGTGGCTTGTCGTGTTTCTTCCTCTTTGCCCGCTGCCTGTGCTCGCCACCGCGCCTCGCTTCCCCACCGCCCCCTTGGCCGCCGTTGCACAAAATGGTCCTGAAGACGAAGGGGCCGTCGGGGTTCGCCGGGACGACCGCCGCGACGCGGCTCCGTCCCGACGGATCGGAGATCGAGTCCGAGGGGCACGGGTGACGGCCGAGGGCGGTTCTGCGGTGGCCATCGACGGCCACTGCGGCGGAGGCAGCCACGGGGGCGTGCTCGCACCGGACGCGGTGCATTCAGAGTGGCGGGAAGCTCCCCACTCTGGGCGCGCCGCCGTGTCGTCAAACGAGAAGCCGCAAGCCTCCGAGAGATGACGGGGTTCGCAGACGTTCTCCTTCTCCTCGTCGTCGTCAGCGTCGTCATCATTGTCGTCATCATTGTCGTCTACGTCCATGTTACTGCAGTCGCTGGGCAGCAGAAGGCGTTGGACAGCACATTCCGTCATCTCCGAACTGATCGACCGGTCCAAGAAGCACTGGTCGGCTGAAACGAATAGGCAGCAGAGCACAGTTGTTAATGGGTTTTCCGATTCAATTGTTTTAATTCAAGTGAGATGCATTGTTTGAATAAAGTGTAACAACAACACAAATCTACAAAATAGATAAAAATGTCAACGTCCTTCCAAAAAATCCTGGTCTACACACAAACACGTAGGTTAACAATGTACATGTTCTCTTTAGTTTGGAAAATAAATTCATTCGGGATGCAGTGAATACATTTAACTTTAAATCAGCTAAATGTGATGGAAAACCATTACATTTGCAGACGGCTACAATCTGGTCACCGATGTAAAGAAAGGAATGCAGTAATCACAGAGAATGACACCAGTAATTGGCCTTTCAAGAGAAACATTTCCATTTTGTCAACATGGAAGTTGCTCAACTCATTTGTAATAAAAACCGAGTACATTGCAAAATATTAACCGTCTGTGACTCCTTGGCGCTGTCCTCTTGTCATTTAATCCGCAGGTTCAGGGGGTCATTCTGTCCACCACCAGCCCCGGCCCCCCCCCCCCCCCCCCCCCCCCCCCCCCCCCCCCCCCCCCCCCCCCCCCCCCCCCCCCCCCCCCCCCCCCCCCCCCACGTAGAAAACCTGCTCGTACAGGGCGACGGTTCGGCCCACGTCGCCGGTGGTGCCGTCTCACCGTCATCGCACAGCGCGGACAGGGCGGCGTCGTCGGCGTCGTCGTCGTCGTCGTCGTCGTGTTCCCACGTTCACGTTGCGCTCGACTCCCGCGTCGGGCCACTCCGCGCCACCGCCCTCCTCGTCCGCGTGGTACGACAGCTCCATGATGGGCGTCGCGGCCAGGCTCTCGCGCTCGGAGTCCTCTCGACGCCTGCCGCAAAGCCAACGAGACGCGGCACGTTTCGAGTCGCAAGACCACGACAGCTGTTCCGTGCGTGTGCTTTACACTCACGCCACACTCACGCCACACCCCCCCCCCCCCCCAACCTTTGTCGGTCGTCCAGAGGAATGGACGTGGCGCTGTTGCTCTGCGGTCGTCGTCGGTGTGTGTGTGTGAAACTAACAGAGAGGAATGCGCTGAAAAGGAAAATGTGTCCACGTGTAACAGCTCCTTTGTCAATCCACTGCTGCGTAAGGGGCTTCCCGCTCTCACACGCTGTGCGCGTCACGGGGGTTACGTGACCTATACTTCACCACCCTGGTCAGTGTGGGTTGGTGAAGGTGGAAGCATAGTTGCGAGAGCAGAGGTACAACGGTGGACTTGCTGCACTGCTCCCTGTTACCCACAACGCAATTGCACAAGCCCTATAATTACACATTAGTACGTGGTGGTCCAATTAATATCCAGGTTCAAAGCCTGCTTTGGCTTCAGAAATTGTAATGAGATTGGGTGTATTGCAGGTGATTCCGTCAAAAGACTTCAAGGGAGATCAAACCCATAAGCAAGCAGCTCTTATCTTATAGATGTGCAGCTAGACTGCATGATCTATATGTATGTATGTAGAGCATCTTTCTCACCGTACATAGCCAAACCGTGCTAATAGGAGATATGGGTTGTATTCGACATGAGACTGGGAAGATTTACTTTAAAAAGTCACGGCTAGATGGATTCATCACAGCACACTTGAGTAATATTATTGCTCAGAGAATTATATAAAAACATTAAACAGTGACACCACTGTACTGTCTCAAAGGTGCAGCATAGAATAAAATAGATTTTCTATCACAACAGTTTGGCGTTAAGCAATTCCAACGATGAAGACATTGACGACGAAAAGGCAACACATTCAAGGTTCACAATTAACGTGCTACAAACCGAAACCCACGTCGGATTGTGGTTAATCGATGATTTTCAACTGTGAAGACTGATTCAAGGATAGTAACAACAAAAACACGCATAAAAATACCTATTTAGCTTGTAGTAATCTCTAATAATTATTTACTTCGAGGCCAACCCACCCTGACAAGTGGGGTTGGCCTTCAAGGACGGCATCGGTTGACCTCTATCTGGCAGTGGAAACATTTACAAGTAGCTGTCAATAACCGTCATTACTTTAAGCCAACGTAGTTAAAATTCTCTCCCAGCCGACATAATTGGACCAAGCAATCTGCAACGTCCACTTTGTGAAGGTGCTCTCCCACTTGTTTTCAGGTTGTTACCACGCGTCGTTTCCGACCTCAGGCCGAACATCGCACAGTACAACCGGATAACGCATCAGAGAACTTCGAGGGCCAACCTATACAGTAACCGTAATAATAAACTAAAACTATGATTTTACCAGGAGAGGTCAGTCGAGCTATATAGCTCTTTTTCAGAAGCGACCTGGCTATCACAAATGATAGCCCGACGAGGTGGCTTATCACGTGGAAATTTATAGCAGCCGATTAATCTAAAATCATGTTTCTAAGTGTGGAGGGAAAAAACCGGAGGACCCGAGAGAAAAATCCACGCAACCACAGTGAGAAAGAGACACATGCAAACTTCCAAATATACAAGCGTCAGGGTCGGGATCGAACCCATGACCTCCTGTACGCCGGGCGAGGTCGTCAACGTCTCGTAGCCACCGTGGCGAGCAGCTGTCTGCTGGGAGTCTCTCTCCCAAAAGTGACGTTCACCTCTTGGGTTTGCGCTGGGGGGGGGAGGTGAGGAAGGGCAGGGACTCGGTAGTCCGCTCGGAGACGCTCGGCAGTAGCAGGCAGAGCGGCTCCGCTCTCACGCCTAGCACGGCGCACAGCTCCGAGTAGTCCAGCACCTGCAAGAGCATGACGCCGCATGCCAGTTAAAACGTGCAAAAGTTTGATAACAGACCCAAAAAAAGAGCATTCGTCAATTTCATTTGCAACAATCTCCATGCGCACTTTACCGCAATGCCAAGTGCGCACGGAATTACCAACTATCATCAATAATTATCACTTGCGACACGTGCAATTCCACGCGCCCGTCGCATGCGTTGACAAATCGTTACACGGCCAACCAACAGGAACGCTACACAAATGGAAGCAACGGACGAGAGGTAACAAACGGGAGGAGGCTCTCACCTTGTCCTCGCTCACTCGCTGGAAACGATCGTCGGAGAACCTCTGCCTCACAGCGACGAGCGCTACCTCCCTGTGGTCCTTGGGAACCTCGTCCAGGAAGCTGGAGGAGGATAAAATGAACTGCATCAGCGGCTGCAGCAGGCGAATTTCACCGCGGAGTGAAAAACACCACCTCCGTGCACTCGGACAAACACACGCCACTCTGATCGATGCCCTTCGAGTTATGCTCGCGTGTCGTTCGGTGAGACGGTCCAACCCTTGGCTCCACGTCGACAGCCAACATCGATCGGCTGGCCTACATTAAACGCCATCGTCAATGGAGGGAGAACGTACGCTGCACCGTTTAAGTTCCCTGAAGAATCTACCAGCGCACGGAGCTAAACATCGGACATCATGTGCACTGTATGTTGAACTTTTTCCCACACCGTACGTAGCCAACCGTGCCAATCGGAAATGCGGGGGAAGAACAAACTAAACACAAAAAGCAGTTCTGAAAAAAAGTCTTCAATCTCGATTTAAAAGTGCATAAGCTCCAGCGGCTTCCTAATATCGGAAAGAAGAGCGCGCGATGCGGTAACCGTCTTTGTTCGATGGCCAGCCAAAAGCCGCTGCGAGGAAGACCGAACAACATTCAGCACAGCCCAAAAGCACATCCCGACGGCTATGCAGCACAAGCGCAAAAACCTAGGCGGTGGCGTCACTCACCATTGTTTGTGCAGCAGCAGTGTGCAAGGGATGAGGTCTTCCAGCAAAAACCCCGTGAAGTCAACGAGCTTCTTGCTCCAGAGAACGGCTGCGGAGGGAACACAAACCGAGGTCACGTTTGGTTTTAGTTCCCTGCAGATGGCTGGGAAGACAGCAGTGAAAACCCTCAATGATATTTCTCTGTAAGCACCTGTGTGCTTCACTGTGGAAGAACAGCACATATTTAATGGGGGGGGTCTCTGCATGTCACTGTGGAGAAACATCACACATTGTAAGCTGTGTATGTGTATCAGTGGGGAACCGGAGTGTAGTGGTTAGCGCACTGTGCTACCAACTTGCAACCAGAGTTCGATTCCCTCCCAAAGCCAAGAGCTGGCGACAAATATATGAAGTGGTCGTGGACCTCTCCGAGGTTGACTCAGCCTTAAAATGAGTACCTAGTGAAGTGTGTAAACATCAGCATTGGGGAGAAAATGAGGTGATGGTGACCAACTCCCTCATGTGCCGTGTTAGCCTTAAAAGGCGCTCGCAAACAGCACCAAGTATGTTACAGGGTGTGGCAGGTGATCACACCCTGTAAGACACGTGCATATATGCATGCGCTTATCACTGTGGGAGGTCACAGTAGGATGTTCCAGCGTGTAAGGAGTGCGCCAGTGTGTTGGCACACTAAAACGATGCGCGTGCTTTTGTTGTATACATCACTTTAACCTCGGAGCAGAGGCGTAAGCCTCGCGGTGCAAGAATGGGCGGCTCATCCCTCCTCACCGTGCCGGTGCAGGATGCGCGTGAGCAGGAAGGCGCTGGCGGCGAGGTGCGCGGGCGAGTATGCCGTCACCGAGGTGAAGAGCAGCGACAGCTCGCACACGTAGCTCAGTGTACAGCTCGCGCGCGCGTCCAGCGGTTCCAGCGCCAGCAGCACGCGCACGTACTCCAGCACCATGGGGGCCTGCCCAAGCAACATGCGGCAAAAGCACCACATTCAGTCAAACCCAACACTAGCCCCACCGCCAATATGCACAAGCCCCACCACCAATAAGCACAAGCCCCACCACCAATAAGCACAAGCCCCACCGCCAATAAGCACTAGCACCACCGCCAATAAGCACTAGCCCACCACCAATAAGCACTAGCACCACCGCCAATAAGCACTAGCCCCACCGCCAATAAGCACAAGCACCACCGCCAATAAGCACTAGCCCCACCACCAATAAGAACTAGCCCCACCACCAATAAGGACTAGCCCCACCGCCAATAAGCACTCGCCCCCACGCCAATAAGCACTAGCCCACCACCAATAAGCACTAGCCCCACCACCAACAAGCCACTCGCCCCCACCACCAATATGCACTAGCCCCACCGCCAATAAGCACTCGCCCCACCGCCAATAAGCACTAGCCCCACCACCAATAAGGACTAGCCCCACCACCAATAAGCACTCGCCCCACCACCAATATGCACTAGCCCCACCACCAATAAGCACTAGCCCCACCACCAATAAGGACTAGCCCCACCGCCAATAAGCACTCGCCCCACCACCAATAAGCACTAGCCCCACCGCCAATAAGCACTAGCCCCACCACAATAAGGACTAGCCCCACCGCCAATAAGCACTCGCCCCACCGCCAATAAGCACTAGCCCCACCACCAATAAGCACTAGCCCCACCTCCAATAAGCACTAGCCCCACCGCCAATAAGCACTCGCCCCACCGCCAATAAGCACTAGCCCCACCACCAATAAGGACTAGCCCCACCACCAATAAGGACTAGCCCCACCACCAATAAGCACTAGCCCCACCACCAATAAGGACTAGCCCCACCACCAATAAGCACTCGCCCCACCACCAATATGCACTAGCCCCACCGCCAATAAGCACTCGCCCCACCGCCAATAAGCACTAGCCCCACCACCAATAAGCACTAGCCCCACCACCAATAAGGACTAGCCCCACCACCAATAAGCACTCGCCCCCCACCACCAATATGCACTAGCCCCACCACCAATAAGCACTAGCCCCACCACCAATAAGCACTAGCCCCACCACCAATAAGGACTAGCCCCACCGCCAATAAGCACTCGCCCCACCACCAATAAGCACTAGCCCCACCACCAATAAGCACTAGCCCCACCACCAATAAGGACTAGCCCCACCGCAATAAGCACTCGCCCCACCGCCAATAAGCACTAGCCCCACCACCAATAAGGACTAGCCCCACCGCCAATAAGCACTAGCCCCACCACCAATAAGCACTAGCCCCACCACCAATAAGGACTAGCCCCACCACCAATAAGCACTAGCCCCACCACAATAAGGACTAGCCCCACCACCAATAAGCACTAGCCCCACCACCAATAAGGACTAGCCCCACCACCAATAAGCACTAGCCCCACCACCAATAAGGACTAGCCCCACCGCCAATAAGCACTCGCCCCACCGCCAATAAGCACTAGCCCCACCACCAATAAGCACTAGCCCCACCACCAATAGGGACTAGCCCCACCACCAATAAGCACTCGCCCCACCACCAATAAGCACTAGCCCACCACCAATAAGCACTAGCCACCACCAATAAGGACTAGCCCCACCACCAATAAGGACTAGCCCCACCGCCAATAAGCACTAGCCCCACCACCAATAAGCACTAGCCCCACCACCAATAAGGACTAGCCCCACCGCCAATAAGCACTCGCCCCACCACCAATAAGCACTAGCCCACCACCAATATGCACTAGCCCCACCGCTAATAAGCACTCGCCCCACCGCCAATAAGCACTAGCCCCACCACCAATAAGCACTAGCCCCACCACCAATAAGGACTAGCCCCACCACCAATAAGCACTTCGCCCCACCACCAATATGCACTAGCCCCACCACCAATAAGCACTAGCCCCACCACCAATAAGGACTAGCCCCACCGCCAATAAGCACTCGCCCCACCGCCAATAAGCACTAGCCCCACCGCCAATAAGCACTAGCCCCACCACCAATAAGCACTCGCCCCACCGCCAATAAGAACTAGCCCCACCACCAATAAGGACTAGCCCCCACCACCAATAAGCACTAGCCCCACCACCAATAAGGACTAGCCCCACCACCAATAAGCACTAGCCCCACCACCAATAAGGACTAGCCCCACCGCCAATAAGGACTAGCCCCACCGCCAATAAGCACTAGCCCCACCACCAATAAGCACTCGCCCCACCGCCAATAAGCACTAGCCCCACCACCAATAAGCACTAGCCCCACCACCAATAAGGACTAGCCCCACCACCAATAAGCACTCGCCCCACCACCAATAAGCACTAGCCCCACCACCAATAAGCACTAGCCCCACCACCAATAAGGACTAGCCCCACCGCCAATAAGCACTCGCCCCCACCGCCAATAAGCACTAGCCCCACCGCCAATAAGCACTAGCCCCACCACCAATAAGCACTCGCCCCACCGCCAATAAGCACTAGCCCCACCACCAATAAGGACTAGCCCCACCACCAATAAGCACTAGCCCCACCACCAATAAGGACTAGCCCCACCACCAATAAGCACTAGCCCCACCACCAATAAGGACTAGCCCCACCGCCAATAAGCACTCGCCCCACCGCCAATAAGCACTAGCCCCACCACCAATAAGGACTAGCCCCACCGCCAATAAGCACTCGCCCCACCGCCAATAAGCACTAGCCCCACCACCAATAAGGACCTAGCCCCACCACCAATAAGCACTAGCCCCACCACCAATAAGGGACTAGCCCCACCACCAATAAGCACTAGCCCCACCACCAATAAGGACTAGCCCCACCACCAATAAGCACTAGCCCCACTGCCAATAAGCACTAGCCCCACCGCCAATAAGCACTAGCCCACCACCAATAAGCACTAGCCCACCACCAATAAGCACTAGCCCACCACCAATAAGGACTAGCCCCAACACCATTAAGCCACTAGCCCCACGCCAATAAGCACTAGCCCACCACCAATAAGCACTAGCCCACCGCCAATAAGCACTAGCACCACCGTCAATAAGCACTAGCACCACCGTCAATAAGCACTAGCCCCACCACCAATAAGCACTAGCCCACCACCAATAAGCACTAGCCCACCACCAATAAGCACTAGCCCCACCGCCAATAAGCACTAGCACCACCGTCAATAAGCACTAGCCCCACCACCAATAAGCACTAACCCCACCACCAATGTGCACAAGCCCCACCGCCAATTCATTAGCCATGCCACCAAAACACGAGCCCTTGTCGCTAGGTGGCGCTATTTCATGGCACTCGTCAATTGAGGCATATGGCGCTCCAGGGCTGACTCGACAACCCGCATGAAACACAAACTGAGCTACATAGGCTGAAACCACAAAGCCACATACACTCAATAAATGCATAATACAAAGCCACTGAAGAAGACAAATAAAAATCTATTCACGGTGAAATCTCAATAATCTACAAATCATCACGATTAAAGTTAACGATTCGAGGTAATATTTCTCTGTTATGGCCAAGTAAGTTTTATTTTGTTTACACAACACTATATCATCAAAACTACTATGGCCAATGCCAATATGCACAATCATTTGATGCATGCACCGCGAGTCTATTTAATCAATTCTTAATTAACCGCCTATTAATTACCAATATGTTTGCATTATTCCCATCACAGTGAATTTGCGTGAACCTTGTTGAGGCGGTGAAGCAATGATAAATAACTGTGCTCCTCCGTTGCCAGAGGAGGATTTTAACAGTTGACTCATCGACTTGCGGTGAGAAAGCAGACTCGATCGGTGCAACCGAAATCAAAGGCTACGGGATATGCGCAGTGCGGTCCTTGTACCCGCATACCAAACCTGCCCAGGGACACACAAATCTTTTTGGAAAAAAAGTGTGGCTTTTAAAAGGTGGGACCCCCCCCCCTCGCACTTCTCGCAAGGTTAATAAAGATAAATGACAATCAGGTGCTTAAACGGGAAAAAATAATCACACCAGGAAATTCCGTTGATCTTTGCTTGACATCACCGTTACACACTTTCGCTTTTTGGGCGCAGACAAATCCTGCCGCATCGTTAGCGGTCCAATGAACGGCAAATATAAAAACGGCATTCAAACGAAGCCATCGGTAATTTTCCCCGAACCCAAAAAAAACAACACAAACAAGGAGAACCTCGCGAGCCAAGCCGGAGGTGGCGCTTATCGCAGTGCCGGCAATCCAGCTGCTCAGGCAAAACGCTACATCCTGCGCCGTTACGTCAAGAAGAAGGCAGGGTGATAACGCCCCACGCCCGTAACAAGAGCCACGCACGGGAGGCAATGTGAAACAACAAGCGAGACGGGAACACCGACGCCCGCCTGGTCACCCACAAGCAGCACTACGCACGCACGGCGCCACTGGTGGGGGCTCGTGTGTGAAGTACAAATCAGAATTACTGCCGCTTTTGCCACAAACAGAAATACAAACCAGACCCGTGGGAATTCTACAGCCCCGTCTGTGCACTGCAGGCCGATATCCAGTAGGTTTTCTGTAACGTAAGAATCTAAACCTCATGTCAAGCATACCATCAACTGTTTAAAAGGAGAAATGCCGCCACCTGTCTGTCCCACTGCAGAATGAGCAAACTCTCCAGAAAAGGTCCTATTTTTTAATGAGCCCTGCACACATTACCTTAATGGGGTAAAGGTTCCTGTAATGGACTTTTTACATTAAAAAAACTCCTTAATGTTGCAATTCCCTGCCGAATGTGCTGTTAGGTAATGGCGATTACATCAGAGTTTGCAAAAGCTGGGTTTACATCAATGGCCTTATCTCCAAGAATATAAACACAAACAAGGGTAATTGTTGTAATGGCAGGAAACACGAGCAGTCTGGCAGCATTTACAAGAGAGCTTGTTTACTTTAAAATAATTGCACGCAAAAAAATCTATGCCATTTAAAACCACTCCAGGGGTTGTTTTTCAAACCAAGGATATTTTATTATTATTTTTGTTGCAAACAGCCATCTTGTTTTGTTAAACTTTAAAACACAATGTGATTTCAAGGTGGTAACATATTCTTTGTCAATGTCATCTGAAAAAAGCAACACTCAAGGTGGAAACCTTGCGCTGATGATTACACTAACACATTTGCATATAGAGTCCTTTGGTTACTCTACTGCTGGATTGATTTCATCCCCGACACCGTGCGAGTCAATGAGGTTATTTGACCGTACATCACCACAATGCTCTGTTCACGTTGGTGACGGTCAGGTGGGTGGCAACAGTTCAGACATGACTGGTCTACTGACGCTCGCCATGACAAGGAATCAAACGCAGACATTTACATTTGAGTGCATAGCGAATAGAAGTACAGAACAGCAAATGATGTTGCTACATTGCCCAACAGACAGCCCCGAAGCCTAGACTAACCTGCTGTGCAGGGCGGTCACATATCAAAGCACTATCCAGGCTGAAACGTGCTTGGCTTCCGAGATCGGACAAGGTCGAGCACCTCCGTCCGATAAGCACGGTTGGCTACGTACGGCGCGAAAGAAGTTCAACGTACGTACATGCCGGAAGATTCGGTCACAGGGCGAATCATCTCAGCTGAATTAATAAAAAATGCCACAAAACGCTGCCAAACCCCCCGCAGACAACGTGGGCGAGCTCAGCGAGCGAGCACTCGGCACGCACTTCCGACCGAGCCGCTCAACAACCCACGAGCCGGCGCGCACATAGCACCGATCGTTTCCGCGACGTTAGGACTTCCTCCTCTCTCAACGCCGCCTCGTCTGCGCGCAACGCTCTCTCCTTGCCGTGCCTCTGGAAATTAGGCCACCATTAGCGGGGATCAGACCGGCGGGCGCCGAGAGTGAAGGAGGAAGCGAGGCGATAGTTGCGGCTGGCGTGATTACAGCGGCCGCCCCGGGAGCATTACGTACGAGGCGATAAGTTGTTTACCCAAGTCACGCAAAGGTCATTCCTTCATGTAACGTTTTTTGGCCTCGTGGACTTACACGAGTACGGGGCCACGACACAGGCTACGGATGCTTGGTATACCAAGAGAAAACGACATGGCATTCGGAGGTTATCTCATGAGGGCCGTACACAGGCCCGATTGTTTGCGGAAAGTAAACCGACCGTCTGCAATGAAGTATTCGTATTGGAATGAATTCGCAAATTAACCAAAAACCTCTGGAAATGTATTTAGATGTCACCCTGAATACCATGTATTATAGACTCGGACTACAAGGTAAGTTCTTCAATCAGCACGGTTCGACAAACTTTGGAAATGTAATTAAATGCACCCCTTTTTTGAGTCACGTACAGCTGACTTGAGATCGCTCTCCAATTAAAAAGTCTTCCCTCTAACCGACAAGACGCTCTCACGCATGCACGCAGTTGTCGTGTGGGCCGAGCGGTAGCGCTGCGGACCGGGGAACCATCACCGCCCGTCGCAGACAACCGTGCCCCGCTCGGCCTGATTAGTCTGACCCACCGGCATAACCACAAAGGTCACTGTGCACAGACCTCGCGGTACTAACGGCGGGTAAGTTAAAGGAAAGCTAAAGCCCTACAAAAATTACGAGTGCTGGGATAGCCTGGCACCATATAGCCTCGATTAATGTTACCATTTGAATTCTGATTTACATAGAGTTTTTCATTCATCATAATTTTTTTTTAGTGACCTGGGGACTTGTACAGAAAACAGAACATCGTCAAATGTTGATTAACGGCATGTGACACATCCAAGCCGAGTGAGTCATCTGGTACCAACACAAGTAGCAGCATCCAACAGTGCCACTCCCATTTCTAATCCCACCAGAGTACAGGATTGGCGACCTGCGCGGGTGAACTTACCACGATGCGTCCCCGTAGCACGGAGATGATCTCACCCATCATGCGCACCATGTCCTCGTATTTGTACGTGTTGTCCGTCAGCCACACGCCTTCGCGTATCGTGAGGATATCCTGAGACAAGAACCTGCACGAACACGACCAGAGGCACAGGGGCAGTCGGTCAACGTGCCTGCCACGCTCGTGTATCCATGCCCCATCACTTCCACTCTTTCTGCTGGCTCACACCATCACGTTGCCTGTGGATATACATTTAAAAAGATGCAATCGCCCAGGGCTATACACAATTTATTTGGGAAGTTGTTTTATGAACAATGAAATTCACCCTAATTAGGTCTCGACAGAACAGCATGACAATCATTGCCTACTTCTAAAATGTGTGCCAGAAGGGCAAAAATCCCAATTTTAAGCACTTCTTCAGATGAATAGGCCACAAGTTTGGATCCAGAAAAAATTCCCCACCCCCTCCCCCCCCCCACCTCAAGGTAGCTTTTTCTTATTGACAAACGGTGACCATCCAAGAGCCTCGCTCTTGAGGCAGGGTGTGAGATCCCACACAGAGGGTTTCACCGGTCCGTCACACGCTCGCGCTCACCGTGAACAGATGACCATGCACGCGATGCCCAGCAGCTGCAGTTTTGAGCGCTCGACGGGCCGCTGCAGCAGATATCGATCGAGGCACTGCACCGTCGTGTGCAGGCATGCACTCGACAGCTCCTTGGTGGTCACCACCTCTGCCAGCCAGTCGATTAGCAGGTACCTGCGGAGAACCCCGCAGCTGTCAACAAGCGGCGATCACTCGCCGATCAACCGGCGAGAGATAAGTGCCCAACCTCTACGCCAAAGCATGACTAATAGGGTTGTGACTAATCACGTCGGATTTCGCAGTTGTGCTGCGAGGCTCTGATGTGTCGTCGGGTTGTGCCTCGTGGCGTACAGGATGACGTCCGTTTCCCGCCGTGCCGAGCTTCTTCAGACACTGAAGAACTAAATAAGTTGACAGAGAACTGAATAAAAATGGAAGTTCCTCAGAAGACATTGGACATCTTGCCCAACATGAAGTAGCATCTGAAAAACCATCAGACAGACATGTAACTATTTGTAAATTAAAAAGAGATTGCTACCATCATTATGACACACACACAGTTGTGCAAAATAATTTCAGATTCATGTATGACATGGAGTGACTGGTTAACTGAAACCCTGCAGCCAATGCAGACTCCAAGCTTCACAAGCACAACAAAACAATTGATTCGTGATTAAAATTGTGACGATGCTCTCAAAATCGTGGAAAGGATAGATTGTTAAATCTCCAGCACTCACTACTTGATAATAAAGAACTTATATTTACGTTCATTAAAAGCAGCTGCACGACGCCAGTGCTGGCATCAGCGTCCCCACAGACTTGAGCTCGCACGGTTAAACTCGCATCTATAGCCCCATGCGCCAAGATCAGATATTTCAGTTGGTGGCTGCAATTTCTTTATGTGACCAATAACAGTGAAGTGCGATTATAAAAAAACACATTGTAATTGAGTGGGTTATCAAATAAGGCACTGCTATTAGCCATTTAAATAAATCTGTACCGATACGAGTTTTGATACATTTGGTTGTACCAATATCTGCTCTGGCCAAAGGACTTGGCAGCCGCTTTTCCGCATCCACCCGCACAAAAACCGCAAAGCCTCTCACAGCCAGCGGTCACCCTTTCCGATCAACAAAATGACATCGGCGCTCTCGCTCCAGAGAACAATGCGGGGAGGGGGGTGGCACAGCAACCACGCCTGCACTTAAGATGCCCACTCTGCCGGCAGGGACGCGGCTTGTCGCCACTTGGGGGAGGGGTGGGGTGGACGGGCGAGTGGAGGTGGCGGCAATGTCGCGCTGGCGAGTGCGTGATGGGGGGGGGGGGGAGCTCGCACACCTCATGTTCTCGTTCATGCCTTTCTGCACCCGGTAGAGGCGGTGCGTCCGCGTCGGCGACGGCGACTGGAAGAAGCGCAGCACCGAGTGCTGCGCCGCAGGCACCTCGGGGTCCATGAGCCACCCGCCCGTGCACGCTTGTGCCAGGGCCACCGCCAACGAGACCTGGGAAGACCGGGCAAGTTGTGGTTTTGTATGGGACGGTGGGGCACCCCTCTAAGGCATGTCATGGATGCATTGTTTAAAAAAACGATTACTGCAAAGCTTGGTATGCACGCATACAATTACGCGTGCACGCAATTGATTATTTAGATGTGTATAACGCAATTAGCTTGCGTTTCTCGTGATGGAAACAATGTGATAAATTCAAACAGTGAGAATGTAACTGGGGGGGGAAGGACAAATGGGCACAACTCAGATAATCCGCTTTGATATGGGAGAGGATACTCTGCAAGTAAAAAAAAATATGCAAACAATTTCCCACATTTTCCATACGCACAAACGAAGAAAATCTGCCATATGTATTTGTTTGCATTTTTGTGACTTGATATCCAAGTCTAACAAACGCACAATCCCCTCAGCAACCAGGTGAAGTCTGCACAGCTAGGCTGTGCGACGTTAAACAATCTGAATTTTCCCTGTCTCTCGGCAGCTTTGTTCTTCCCTATACAGCTACGTTTGAAACGGTGTAAAAAAATATTTCCCTTCGCAGAGCTGATCGCACACTGACTGGAGTTCTGCTGTACAGCGAATACGCGGTTCTAGACGTTATTCGTAGAACATCTGCAAACGAGGATCGTCGAAAACGACTCGCCACTACTGCTCACCTGTGCATCCCAACAGCCACTGTCCGAAAACTCCCTGAGCCTTCGGAGATTCTGCAGCAGTCGGCCTGGGTCCGAGGCCTGTAGGAGAAGCAAATGCAACGGGGCTGGTTAGTGAAACCAAGAAAGGGAATTAACTTTAAATTAAAAAACAACCCCCGAATATTACACCTGCCCAATCATGTCAGAATATTGTTACCCCTCAAGGTCTTAACACATCAGCTTGACATGTAGAGACATGAAATCATCCAGACCGCCAATGTATTAGCTTTCCTTTTTCCTGCTTCTAAATAAATAAACGTAGGAAAGAAGTTACATTCATATACACAAAGATCCACATTTTTCTACTAAGGCGAGGCAGGCAGATTACAAGTGATTGCTACATCTCACCTCGCCATCCTGCAAACACGAACATGTATAGATCACGAAAAACCACTGGCAAATGAAGAAAAGGGGACATGGGGGCAGGGAGTTGTGGCCCACCACTGTACGATGCCTCGATTTCCACGTGAGATAGGCGCTGAGCACAGAGCCTTGCTGTGCGGACGCATCAAACAGCCGCAACGCCTCACTTCTCTTCTCTTCATCCTGTAAGAGGGGCATACACGGGTGTCTTACGCATGCCCAGCAAGCGTACGCAGGTTCGAGTGCTGGATCGCCGAAAAGAAAGGCAGATTTAACGTGTCCAACGCCAGCAGCAAACGTGCTGGAATACTATCAAAAGTTGTAGCAGAAGCACAAAAGACGCATGGAGACTTAATAAAAAAAATGCATGGCATTTAAAATATATAGAATGTTTCCCTCAACATCGAGTCTATAGTTCTTATCCGGCAAAATCAACACTGCAAACGATGTACTTACATCAAAAAATCCCAGAACCTTTCCTAAGCAGTACAGCAGATGAGCACCACCCGTCTACAAGACAACAGTAAAGGTATTAGTGTCATGACCACTGTGAAATCATCCTCAACTTCTGCATAGAAGTAAAAGCATAATCCTGAAATTAATGACTGCTTGCATTTAAAAACTGTTCACTTGCGAGGGAACAGGAAAGATCTGCCACAGCACCGTGCATAATAAGGCACTTAATAGCACACGTCATTTTACAGACACACACGAGCAACCGTGCACGTCCTTGGACGTTACCATCCACCGTCCCTCCATCCCATTAGCCAGCCAAACTTATATACCAAACTACAATATAGTACAGGACGTGAAATGTACCCATCGTTAGACAATGGTTCTACCCCCGCCCCCAACTTGTCCCATCTTTCACTGGTGACAACCCTCAGGGCCCCTCTCTCGCGGGCGACAACCCACAGGGCTCCCCCCACCCAACCAGCATATCAACCCAGTTACCCCCCCCCCCCCCCCCCCCCACTGGCACATCCCTCCTCAAGCACCCCTCCCCGGTGCGTCCCCAGCCCCACCCACCACGCTTCCCCTCGGTGTCCACCCCCACCGCGTTCCTCCCACCCGCGTGATGGGTTACCCGCAAGCCCCCTTTCTTCTGCGGACTGGATGGTGCATGGCATCCAGCCAGTCACAAAGTGTGCTGGGCGACGCGTGGCCAGTGCAGCCAGCAAAAACGTTTAAAATAACATACCGTAGAAGGATATTGGACCTCCGTCACGAGAGATCACGACCACATTTTCTTATCTGTATTCGAATGTCACTGCTGGGTTTCACCATGGGCTATAGTTCCCAACCCCTCACCTTCGCCAGCTCGCCACTCCGTCTTGAGACTATCGAAGACAACGGCTTTGCAGCATGCCCCGCTCATGGACCACGGCGGGCGGATGAAGATCCACACGAAGGGCACCGCCATGCCGACGTTGCCGCAGCTGAGGTGCTCGGCGCGGCTGAAGTAGTGCGCTGCCTTGCGCCCGTTGCGCTCTGGCCGGCTCTCCTCCGCCACTGCTACTGCGACACGCCACCGCCACACACACAAACAAGTAAGACTCCCTCTTGCAAACGTTGCAATTGACAGCTTTAGTTCTCGCTAAACGTGTTTATCGTCACGGTCGTGCAACAGGAAATTAGAATTAGGATTTGCAATGTTTACGATGTTCCTACAAACCCACGAGGTATGTAACGGTTCACTGTTTCACTGCTACCATGAATCCGGCTTCATGATTCGACTGTGCCATTGTGGTGGGCACAAAATACAGGTTGGCTGCAGGCTTTCCGTGAACTACAGTCGACCTCTATTATCTGCAATACTTATTTATCCATAGTGCCTGCTATCCGTGGCCAGAAATTTATATGCAGAAACCCCCTTTAGCCATAGGACAGATTGCACCTATTATACATGGCCATTTTAGAGATAGAGGAGCAATCTGTCCAAGAGTTTAAATCACGACTGCTGCTTACTACAGCCGTTCCGTGAAAAAGGAGTCAACCTGAAGCAGCAGCCTATCGCTCCGATCACCATACTTATACAGGAGATTTCCCCATGGATAGTCTATAATAACATCTGCAAACAGTACCTCCCAAATCAATGTGGCTAAGAGGAGCTCCACTGCTCTTACACAATGTACATAATAACCTGTTCGTTACACACGCGCGCGAAATGTAGCGTTGGTGCCTACAGAACTTTGAGTGGCACTCACTGCCTTCATTGTAGAGGTAGGCCAGGGCAAGCTTCACGGATGCCTCAAAGTTTCCACAGTTGGACGCCCTGCACAGCGCAACAGGAAAACAAACACCAGGCACGCAAATCAAAACCACAGAAATGTCGAACAATTGCCACGAAGCGACCATGAACCATAAAAGTGGGTTAAACCATGAATTACTTAACCCTAAAAAAAGTTGACATTTTTGTCAGGTTGTAGAGTTTTGAATATTAAACATCTACGATGTAAAAAAAAAATCAATATTCACTTCAGTATTCACAACACAGACTACATGCAAGAGTATAAGGAGGACTAAAATGATCTGCACCTCAAGATTCTGAATAAGAGGGTCCTGCAATAATGACAAGGTTGGACAAGTCCTCTTTAAAGAGTGCTTTGCATTTGGGAAGAAAATGTTGGAAAAAACCCCACCAGGTATGAGGGAGTTAACACTGACGCTGCGTAGCACACGCGTGTTTAAAAGCTGGCTCGATGTTCTGGGTCTGAGATGGCCACAACCATCGCATTCCGGGGCTGTAGCTGAACCAGCCGGTGTGGAGCCAGGCTGGACGGCCGACTTCAGAGTCGGGCTACCCTCAAATACAGCCCGAATTCTTACCAGAATGTGACGTAATAAATGATTTATAGCTTTGTATTGATTCCAAGAAGATTCACAACCACCCTCCCTTCAAGTAGCGCTCAGAATGCAAGTTTACAGGTGATATGTACGGCTATAATTACACAAATGTTTTTAGTGTTGTTCATTTTTATTTTCTATTCACTTTCTTTATCTTATTATTTCTATCTACGTGACTTTACCGAAAGAACCAAAGAACATGAATTCCTGCAGTCACGAAAGTTAAGTCAAAATTTATGTTGTTAGTGGTTACGTCAATTCCCTATTGTACATTTTTGTACATATTTTTCAATAAACATTTTGCTACTTCATTTGAAATCACCGAAATTCCATAAAATGTGTGCAAAATTAACAAAAGGCATTGATTAACCACTAAAACGTATATTTGAGGCATAACACAATCTCACCTGGATAATTGTATTATCACTCGCTGCTGTAAGCACACCTTATAAAGGGCTAGTGTCCAAAATAAAGCCTGTTATATATTTTTCCTCTAAGGCAGTGTTATTGATGAATATGTAGTTTGTGTGTGAATTGTGCTTGTGCACCACTGCCATCACATCAGCGAAAACGCGTTTCATTTTGTAAGCAATGGCTGCCATCACTATTCTTGGAAGCAAAGACGAGGATATGACATCATCATTGACGTAACATCCGGGTAAATTCCAGCTTCATTTGCATACTGGTCGTGTGGACGTGCCGGTTCATTCAGGCCATACCAGGTACAACCACACGCAACGGGAGGGGAAGGGTCTGCATAGGGTGCGTGTGGATACAGAATCCATTGCTCTACACAAACGGGGGTTCACAACCTAACTTTATGTTCGGTCATATCCCGGCCACCTCAGACCAGCGGGTTTGGGAGTTTCACAACCCTCTACACGATTCCCATCTCCTGCCGCCAACTAATCTCTGATCACAAGCCTACGCTCTCACATGCCCAGCTGATAGTTTAAGACGGCACAGAGACATCGACGCTGTAGAGGCAAGAATCCACGGCGGCAATCGTTGACGGCAATCAACACCAGCAACATATGAACCATGAGCGACTTTGGAAACTTGGCAGGCAACACAATTGAGTGGCAGAGTTCTCTTGAGCCCATCACAGGAGTGCGTAGCTGAAATTAATCTGTTGAAATAGGTCAGTCCCATCATGCGTATCTTGACCATCACACCACACCATCAAAGCACTTGATCACACCAAAACACCATCATACCACACTAACACCCACCATATCTCGACACCACTACACCATCTCTACACACCACATACCATGCCATCACACATCGCCACACAAATGCACAACCTTTCCACAACATCACATCACACCACACCATCACACGACACCATCTCTTCCACATCCACTCGTACAAAACTTGGGGCAGCCATTACTTTCAATTTAAGAGAGCTTGACATCTGGTAGTCACGTGACCTGTCTGCGATCCGATTGGAAGTTAAGGGAAATGCGATCAGATTTGTTTAATATTTAAAAAGAGATTTTTTTTTTACAATGAGGATCAGAATATGTATTTATACTTGAAGAATCCGATGAGCTATAAAGCTCTTTTTCGCACATGTCCAAGAATAAATAGTGGCAACCATAGCCGGCAATGATTGCCATAAAATTGCCACAGTGAATCGTGGCCTTAAGAAATGGGTGGGTGGGTGTGTTGCCACTCACCGCTGGAAGAGCTGAATGGTGTCTGGAGAACGGCCACACCCCTTGGAAGGAGAGATTGGCCCACACGCTGGGATGGCTCTCCACCAGGTGCCGCACACTGTGGGTGGGCCTGCACCACCAAGGGGCACATCACACCGGGCTAATGTAACCGTAACACCCAGCCGGAGAGATAACGATTGCTGGGACAATTAATCAATTGACTTAAAATTGTAGACCATTTTTTTGGTGGACGATTACTTCGTGCCCCTTTAAAACAATGGCAGCCACCCCCACACCTCCTGTCTACTCAAGGCTGAAAACTTCCATCGTTTGTTAAAATTAAATGACTAAATTAACTGTGTGCAATGTTAGCAGTCAGCATTTAACAACTTCATAATACCCAAAGAAAAATAATTAATACAATTCTACATGTTACTTAGGAGTACAAGGCGGATTAAATTAACACGGCTGGCCACAAGAGCCAGCCGGAGCACATCAATCAGTGGTCACGCGGGGGAGGGAGGGGACCGTACTCACGGCCTGGAAAGCGAGCAGGTCGGTGACGGGCAGGTAGCTGAAGATACACATGAGCACATCCTCCGGCAGCTCCAGCAGATTGAGCCTGGGTTTCCACGGCTTCGACATGAGCGCCATTACAGGCATCGCGTGCCGACGTGGAAGCTGGGCATGACTGCAAGCAAGAGAGTGACAACAAAACGACAACTTACGTTAGAAGTGCTCGCGGTTCATTAAACAATTATTCAAATAGGTGCGAGGCTGCGTTCATTAACACTGGTGGACCTGAGCCACTGGGAAAATTCCACATTCCTATGCGGGAAGGGGGGACAATCTCGCCTAAGGAGAGACTTCTTTCCACAAGTGGTACGGCCGCACCAGGAGGTGCTCATCTTACTCGAGGCGTGTGATGGATGATTTGCACCATGTGATTTGATTAACGTTACAATTCAGGGTTGCGAAGTTATTTAAGATGTGCGTTTTTTTTATCATTGCCATGCATACTTTGCATCTAGTGGCTGAAGGCTTGAGGCTGGAAACTTCACATGTACAAATTAAAAAAATAACAGAACTTAACACGCACAATTTGATGCACGTATCATGAGCGTAATAAGTGATTTTGGTCGATGAATCGGTGGACCGTTATCGATGTCCGCTTTACGAACCCAACAGGAATGTGGACTTGTAAGTTTGATACTGGTTCAGGGCCACCAATGAAGGCAAGGACCGCCCAGGATGCTCGTGGAAAAGTGAAGACGCCGTGACTTTTTGTTACGCAACACAACTGTGCAGCCAGTGATTCTTTCCTCAAACAGATGACGCTACCCGACCGAGAGCTCGCAGAGTATGGAAGAATTAGATGTTTTATAATACAATCTTACGTGTAGTCTGGTAGGTGTGCGTGAGACATTAGATTTGTATAACTTTATTGATAGAAGGCACACGTTTAGGATGCGATTTATTTCACGGGACATCTTATAATCTGGGAGAAAAAGTAATACGTCTAATCTAATATTCACCTAGGCCGTCACTTGGATGAAGAGTATTAACTAGTAACTGCCACTGAACTGGCTACTAAACACTAATAATTATACATTTTAAAATGGGGAAAAGTATCGTTTGAAAATAATTGTAGTGACGTCAATATACCGCCATCATTCAAACAAAAAGGTTACTCTAGTGACGTCACGCCAGTGTCATAACGACGTGCTAAGTAGACACTTTAAGTATTTTTTTCATCATTACCATAATTTCAAAATCGCGTGGCCGCGTGGAACGACCCAGGACACACATCAACTTAGAAGAGCAGTCCTTTCCGTGCTGTGGTTTCACTCACTAGCCTGTGCCCTTAATTAGGTCTGTGTTACTTTCTCTAAAGAAAACGTATTTCTGTTTTTAGCTGTGTTTCGCACTTTGCTACCTCCGGGCGAAATGTTTAAAAAATTACTAATCACCATAATTCGGAATCATAATCATAATATTAAAAAAGCGGCCAGTTGAATTCAACACTTAAGTGAAACATCCCGTGAATTAACAATGGTGTAAATGGGAAGCGACGTGAGTTTTTTGCTATCCACGCTGTTTAATGCACCTGAACAAACACCCCAGTGCAAGAGGGAAGCACAGGCAATAACTACGCATGGCAAAAAAAATCGTGCATTTTAATTCACGCCTTTCTTACGAAGGGCTATCACAGAGGCGCTATGTATCACATGCCGCTGTATAAACATTGTTTTTCTCGCAAGGTAAACAACACGGTAGCAAGACGGTGGTGTTTGTCAATATTGAACTTTGTACGTGCACCACCCCCCCTCCACCACCACATCCTTGCGTGTCAATCCACTGCGATGAGGGGGTGGGAGTTCCTCTGTCCACGCCGTTGCGGGTCGTGGGGGGTTAATTGATTCAGTGTGGTGAAGCGATTCAGTGTGGTGAGGCGATTCATTGTGGTGAAGCGATTCAGTGTGGTGAAGTGATTTAGTGTGGTGTTTAAGGAAACGGCCGCGGGGCCATAAAAGCACGGGGCAGGCAGTCCTCGACTCACGAACGGGGTTCCGTTCCCGAGGCTCCTTTCGTTAAGTCGAACGGTTCCGCAAGTACAAGGGCCGTCGCTGCACCAACCACTGATTCTCACCACGGAGACCCCACGGCAGTCTATTATAACGCCCGTTTTACATATTGTCGCTCGTACCGAGCACTATTACAGGCTCAAAACTGCTTAGCTTCTCAGATTTGCCACGATCACAGGCATTTAGGTCGGTTTGGTCATTGGCGTTAGAGGGTATCACTGGGTAAAGACAGCGGTTATACACGAACTGCGTACGTGATACAATGGTTCTCAATGTTTATTTCTTTCAAGAGATGAGACACTTTTAATAAGGGTACGTTTGAATGAGATCGACTAAAAACTGAAACCCAAGTTCGATTCCCGGCCACGACTAGATAAGTGGCGGGCGAGTGATATATGAACCAGATCCCCCCCCTTCCACCCACCCGTATTGACCAAAGTGGTGAAGTATATCAACCCCCAAATACTGACGACGTTGGGGCATGTGGATTGACTAAGAACTCTCTCAATGTATGCAATGAGATTCAACGGATTCTCATTCATTTCAATGTTGAGTTTACACTCGCCCAGAGGCAGAAGAGAGATGTTAATCTCCCATAACGGCTTCATCGCCCCCCCACCTTCAACCTCAAGAAGTCTATGCCAAGAGCTTTCCCGCTCAAACCGACTGCGAGAGACGCTCAATCCCCCAACCAACACTGGACATTCCACAGTCATATGGCGCGATCCATGAACCACATTGGGTGACTGCTGTTGGCGGCCTTTGGGGGGGGGGGGTGGTGAAGTTTTCTTCACGTAATCAATAGGCGCGGTAATTGACGGAAGTTAATTCCTTCATAATTAACGATACATTTGTAAAAATTTAAAACACGTTCATTCAAACCTCATAGTTCAGGCGATAGCGGGCTGCGGTGCAGGCCTCGCCTTTAACGTACGCGACAAAACGGGACTGTTAAAAACTAAATTAAACTTTTTTTATTCGTAAACCCGCGTGAAAACGACGCTCTGTTTCACTCTTAAAACACGGTCCAATAAAAAATGTCCACTCGGAATAAACGAAAGTTTCGCGAACATCCAAACTCTGTTTTTTTTACCGCCAATTAACTTAAACTTGCCCCCTCAGCTGCGCCCGAACGCAAACACGTCACTCCGTCTCCAACTCACCTTCTCGCCTCATCACCAAGGGCGTTCGGACGCAACGACAACAAAAACGCAATGTAAATCTAAACAATCTTACGGTAGCAAAAAAAATACAGCAATTGAGTTGAGGTGGAGTAGACGAGGGGGAGGGGAGCGAGCGAGCGACGTTCCGCTTCAGCCGAGGCGGCGGCGACTGAATGCGGAGTCGTTATTTTTAGGCGGTGACGTCACCGTTGGCGATTCGAACGGTGGGCGTGGCCCAGCGGAAGATGCGCTCGCCGCCCATTGGTCCGTTCGTGACTTAGGCCCCGCTTACTTTCTCCCCTCCTCCCCCACCGCCCCCTCTCCGCTGCCCTCCCCACCCCTACCCCGCCCCCCCACACACCCTCTGCCCACGCGCCGCCCCCACCCGCTAAAGTCGCGACCGTTGACCAATGAGAGAGCGCGCCGCGTGAAACTCAAACCACGCGCTGCCAAGGAGGCGCACGTGGGCCGGGAGGCTCTTGCCAGATGAGAGGTTTTTTTTACCTTCAAGGCAAACAATGCAAATCACTTTGGTGAATGATGCTGCTTGCTGCTTCTGTGGCAGTCGTACAAAAGCACAACGACAACAAACAACACTCAAATAACAATGTGGCCTCAAAGGTAAAATTGTATACATAACAGGCGACGTTTCGGGGAATGGACCTTTGCAGCACAGCAATTAGAGACGCCAATGCAGAGAGATCGAGCAGATTTGGAGGCCGCAAATGTATTTTAAAAACCACAAGCAGTATAGAGGCGTGCGTGCGTATGTATCGATTTGTTTACGAAAGAGATCAACTATTTTACCAGGTAAGGTCCACTGAGCTATCTAGCTCCTTTTGAGAAGCGGCCTGGTTATCACAAATGATAGCTCAACGAAGTCGGCTTATCGTGTAGAAATTTATAGCAGCCGAATACTCGTGGTATGATATTCGTTTGTCTTTTGCAAAAAAATGATTGATACCGCTGTAAAGTAAAAGTGTGCAAAGGTTATAAGCATAATGCACGGTATTTGATTTTCATTGCTGGTCGATAATGATGCAACATCATAAGTCCACAATGGCTATAGGCATGATGGCATTTGTTATTTACAGCATGTGCCTTTACAGACCACAAATTGCAGTATATGACGATGCGTCCCCGAAAACCCCGTCTTAAATGCTGTAACGCCGTGTGATTGGGATGGTCTTGCCAGGGGAGACGGGTTTTTTTTTACCATTCGGGGACACGGCAAGTTTGTCCGTCGCATTCAGAGTTCCACAAAGCCTAGAGGAGCACCAGGGGCTGTGACAGGCAATAAGTAAACTAAGTGCTGTACAGTAAACGCTGAAGAGACCCAAGCTACCCAAGGGCCATGTGATTCATGATTAAAAATAATGCATCAAATATCAGCTCCAATTGAAATCAGAGTAAACATCGGTTCATTAACCTACGTAATATCAAACAAAATTTCTCTCTCGTCTGTCCATTTATAAGTCTCTTCTCGAATCCAAAGGTAATCTATCCATCCATTTATAACGTCTGAAAATCTTACGCAGGGCGAATAAATCGTAGAACGAGCGTCTCTTGAGCAGCGTTTAAAACGAGGAATTTCACAATTGCCTTTAACGAACCTCTGGCGTTTTTTGAAATGCGTCACGTGGGGAGGATTCTCTGGAATGCAGAGCAACTGATGGGGGTCGCTTTCCAACCGTTTTGCCGCTTTGAAAAGTTGTCTTCGTCATTCCAAAACCTTATCTTCCCTGGCTGGTCTCGTTGCAAAATAGCACGCATCTGTATCATAACAATTTACAGCCCTTTGGCAATCCACTGTTGGATTAAAGCCCTCTCCACCTTGTGTGTGTTCGTCATGGTTATGGGGTGGTGTTGACCATATTTCACCACTGTGACCAGTGTGGATTGGTGA